CTTGAAGAAAAAATATATGTGACCTTTGGTACTTAGTACAAATCAATGACGTTACGCAATAATTACCATCATTAGCTAGTACTAGGAGATAAGCTCGCCGGCTAATCAACATGATTAATTTGCTTAGAAATCTTTTTTGGTGCATCCGGCGATCTGATTGGGCCAGGCAAGATGTTTTCGGATTCTTTAAGGCAAAGTTGACGTTGTTTCGCTAAACCGGAGCCGGTGAATAATTAAACAAGCTGCCGAAGAAGATGTGATGCGCTGCTGGTTAATGGAATTAAAAGGGAATCAGACTAACATCATCTAGTTACATGATCGAGCGACATTTCCAGCATCTTGTTAATTAGTAAGCAATTATTTCTTCCATGTCGATCGTTCAAGTGAGCTAGACAACATTTTTAACAACATAATATGGCTATACTCTTAGGGCCATCGGATTTGTAGATATTTAACTATTTACCACTTTTAGATGTGACAAATAACTTTTTGCCACTGGATTCACATGTCATAGATACATGTGGACCCACATATCGTTGAAATAGGGGCAACAAATAGTTAATTGCCAATTGGAAAAGTGGCAAATAGTTAAATGCATACATGTGTCTTATAATAATTAAGACAATAAAGACTCTAATCATTAACCTAAAATATATTTTTTATTTTCTATTCTAAAAACTCTAAAATCCTGTTGAGTGAGACTAAGTGCCTTTTATGAATGATTATTGTACATGCCATATTAATTAGTGATTTGCTGAAACATGCATAATGAAAACCCGTGAATTAATTTTTGTATGGTACAAATTCCATTCCTTGGCTGATCTTCAACGGCGATGCAAAGCCATATAGTCCTATATGCAGGCAGGGGCAGGCATGAAATGTTCCCTCGTGACACTTTTTTTTTCCTTTGCTCTATGCCTTTTTCTGTACCCTAGCAAATTAACAAGTTTTTGTTTTCTTTATCCTGTGCCTTTTTGTGTAGCCTTGGAAATTAACAATGACAAATAAATATATGGAGTATGAAGGACACTAGATAGTGCGTCATGCCGTTTTCGGCAGCTTCTTTTTCTATCTTTACCGTGTATAGGAAAGAAGGAATCGGATTCCTTCCTGAAAGACAGACTTGATGAGAGAAATGACTTGACCAATTTTCTTGCATGTTTACTAGTAGTATGCCGGAAGGAGTCAACAAGTTCAACAGATTGCATATAATCGAGCGAGACACACTGCATTACATGGTAGCACAATCTGTAGCTTGCATTTGTTTGGTCTTAAACGACAAAGTGCATTAATAGTATTTTCTCCTTTCAGTTCAGTAAGATGAAGATTTTCCCTTTTTTTTCGGCATGTTCTTTGTAACTGATAGATAAAATTAAATTCATGACAATTATTTGAGGACACAGCATAATAAATTAAATATTAGAAAGCTGAAAAATTGATTTGAATTTTTTTTCAAAGAAATGTTGATTAAGAAACTTTCTTCACTAGAATTTCTTTGAATGTTTTAGAGCTTAGAAACTATGCCCGTGGCAATCCATAATCTATAAGGGCATGTTTAGATCCCCGGTAAAATTTTTCACGATGTTATATCGAATATTTGGACACATGCATAGAATATTAAATATAAACGAAAAAATAACTAATTATACATATTACGTGTAAATTGCGAGACGAATATTTTAAACCTAATTGCTCCATGATTTGACAATGTGGTGCTACAGTAAACATTTGCTAATGATGGATTAATTAGGCTTAATAAATTTGTCTCGCGGTTTACAGGCGGATTCTGTAATTTATTTTGTTATTAGACTACGTTTAATACTTCAAATGTGTGTCCGTATATTCGATGTGGCACAGTAAAAATTTTTACCCTGGATCTAACCAATGTCTAAGACAAAAAGAAAGGACAACCCTGAGTTCAGAACCGGTGTGACAGGTTAAGCCAATCCATTCATGTTTATTTCAGGGTAGTTAAGAATTTTCATGCAATTTCCAGTTGATCAGGACATCAGAAGAAAACTTTGATCCGATTTCTCCCGTAATAGTAGATTCACTGAGATACCTAGGATGATCCAATATTATTCCTTTCCATCCATATCGTTTGCCTGTTGAAGGGACCCCACCAAAACTGCCCTAAACCCCTTGAGCCAATCAATCAGTTTGACCGTCCGAGTACTACGAGTACGAGCAGTACTAGTAGTATTTGGTTTGCATAGTCACACACTAAACTGTCAGATGATCACGTTATCCACAATAGGGTGTTGTGTAGGTCACTGCAATTACATAGTAGGCTGTGTTTAAATCCAAAGTTTGGATCCAAACTTCAATCTTTTTCCATCACATCAACCTATCATACATACATAACTTTCCAATCACATCATCTTCAATTTTAATCAAAATATAAACTTTGCGCTGAACTAGACACAGCCGTAGTAGCAGAGTGCTATGATAGCCGGCATCTTGTGCTGCTCTTCTCTTCTCCATACGTTTGTTTGTTCATTTGTCTCTGCCTTTATCGGACGTCCAATCCATCATTGACTAGCCATAGCCCATGGCCAGCCAGCCAGCCCTCCTTGTGTTGCTCATCCAATGCCCAAACGATGCAAAAGATGTCAGACTATGCACAGTGTTTAGTACATGTCCTCCATTGGCATGCTTCCTTTGCTCTGGGACGGTTACTGTTGTGCTTCTATTATCCGGCTGCATTTCTTCACTATTTTTGAATTCAACATGTAAAAGCCTGTACAATTTATGTTACAAGCACTTTTACAAATATTGGTACGAGTACGTAGTACTGGATGTTACCAGCTATAGAGCTTGATTGAGCAAACTCACGGAGATAGCAAGGACAAAGAATGTACTTCCTCCATTCCACGATGCAAGGGCCCCTTTGAATCGCAGGATTGAGAAAACGTAGGAATATAAAAAACGTAGGATTTTGATAGAAATATAAGACCTTATTTAGATGGGACTAAAACTTTTAAGTCCTTATCACATCGGATGTTTAGACGCTAATTATAAACATTAAACGTAGACTATTAATAAAACACATCCATAATCTTAGACTAATTCGCGAGACAAATCTATTGAGCCTAATTAATACATGATTAGCCTATGTGATGCTACAGTAAACATTCTCTAATTATGGATTAATTAGGCTTTAAAAAATTGTCTCGCGAATTAGCTTTCATTTATGTAATTAGTTTTGTAAGTAGTCTATATTTAATACTCTAAATTAGTGTCTAAATACAGGGACTAAAGTTAAGTCCCTGGATACAAACACCACCTAAGTGTAAAACATAGGATTGCAAAATGCAGGAAAAACACATGAATGACCGTTTGATTGAACCGCGGGAAAAACACAGTAATTGGATGATAGAGATAGACTCGAAGGAAAGTTACCAAGAGGTTCTACCTCATTGTTAAATTTTCTCTAAAATTTGCATGGGAAGAGGCATTCCATAGGAATTTTATAGGATTTCATAGGATCCATTCCTTTGATTCAAAGGGCTATATAGGAAAAATTCCTATAGGAATAAAATCCTCTAAAATTCCTATGAATTTCCTTTGAATCAAAGGGGGCCTAAGTCATTCTAGCATTTCTCACATTCATATTGATGTTAATGAATCTAGACATATATATCAATCTAGATTCATTAACATCAATATGAATATAGGAAATGACAGAATGACTTACATTGTGAAACGGAGGGAGTATAACCCATGGTTTAGAGTGATGAATCATATGTACTGTTAGGCCGTGTTTAGTTCATCCCCAACTACCCTAAACTTCCAACTTTCTATCACATCACATCACATCTAAAACTATCCTACACACATAAACTTTCAACTTTCCTCAAACTTCCAACTTTTTCCAGAAATTAAACACAGCCTTATATGTCAACATTGGGTTTTATAGCAGCTGAAGAGCTGCATAGTGATTGCTTTATAACTTATGTCTTGTATTACAGAAACACATAGATGATAGAGATTTTCTTAAATCTCAACCACCTGCTCTCTAGCCATGGATCTTAGCCTAGTAAAAAACATTGTCTTCAATCTCTAGCCAACAGAGAGAGGGACGTGAATCCTGATGGAGCTTAGAACTCAAGGTGATGGAATTATTTCCTACGATTGTGACGTGGCAGTAGTACAAGCAAGGCGGTGAAAGCAACAACGCCCAGAGGGAGGAAAGGAGGGATTTATGTCTCTTTTTTTTTCTTCCAAAATATCTTCCTCTACTACATGTCCATCTACATTGGCATGCTTCCTTTACTCTGGGACAATTGCTATTGCTGCTATTATCGACCTGGAATTCTTAACTATTCTTGAAATCGCATACAAAATTTATGTTAATGGCACTTGTACAATAACTGGTGGATGTTAGTAGGGCGAGAGCTTGATTGAAAGAATTCAGAGGTAGCAGGGACAAAAGAAGGTATAACCCATGGTTTAGAGCGGTAAATCATACTTACCGTTATATGTTAATGTTAGATTTTGTACTAGCAATTGAAGAGAAGCACAACGATTCCTTATATAAATAAATATATGTTACAAAATATACTATAGATTGTGATTTTCTTAAATCTCAACCACCCGCCCATCTCCCCTCTCTAGCAAACAGAGAGAGGGACATGAGTTGTGACAGCATTGAACTCAAGGTGTGGTGGCGGAGTTTTCTCCCGCGACTGTGACTTGAGAGTGATATAAGGAAGTCAGCGATAACAACATCGATGAACGGGATGAAAGGAGGAAGAAATTATGGGCTTTTTTTTTCCTTCCAAAATATCTCAAATTTGTTATTTTTGTGTTAGTAAAAAAAGTTCTACAGCAGAAACACTAAAATATCCCAAACAGAAAGCCCCAAAAAACTTCTTTTGAGATTGATGAGGCACCTTGGGGTTGGGCCCAGCCAGCCCAGTGGAGGTGGAGTACTCTGCTCATCCCCACAAGCCACAGTTCTCCCTCCAAAAACCAAAAAAAAAAAGTTGGAAAATACTGCTTCCTTCTACTACCCCAGCAATACCTACAGCCCTGGAACATTGGCCATGCCAAAAAGTTAGGCTTTCTTTCCATTCATTCATTCATTCATCAGCTAGCAAAGCAAAGCATTTTCTCAGCTCAAGTTGCTTGCTCCTCTTCTTTCTTTCTTCCTCCTCCCCTTCCCTTTCAGGACTCCTCCCCCCACATCAGTAGCTTTCACTGCCCAAACCCTCTTTGTGGGTGGCAACCCTAGATTATTAATGTCCTCCTCCTCATCATCACCATCTCCTCCTCTTCTTCCTCCCCTGCTTCTCTCTCCAGATTCTCTTCTCATCTGGTCCCTTCCTTCCCCTGCTTTGCTTGCTCAGGTAAAACCTCTCCCCTCCTTGCAAGATTCTCCCCTTTCTTGGCATGCTCCAAGATTTTTCTTTCCTCCTACATCGCCGGCAAGATCGCTTCTGTTAATGTTTCCGCGCCATTTTTTTTTGTTTGCAGCTAGCTGATCGCACGTGGGTAGGGTGAGTGTGTGTGCGTGTGTGGATGGGAGTCCACGCAATGTCGTGCCACGGCGGCGGCGGCGGTGGCGGCGAAGGGGCACTGTCGCGGCAGGGGTCGGTGTACAGCCTGACGCTGAACGAGGTGGAGAGCCACCTGGGCGAGCCGCTGCGGAGCATGAACCTGGACGACCTCCTGCGCACGGTGCTCCCCGCCGCGGCGGCGGCGGCGGAGACGGCGGGGAGGAAGACGGTGGACGAGGTGTGGCGCGACATCCAGGGCGCCAGCACCGGCCGGCACCACGCGACGCCCATGGGCGAGATGACGCTCGAGGACTTCCTCTCGCGCGCCGGCGTCGCCGTCGACGGTGCCGCCTCCGCCGCCGGCGCGCATTGGCTGCGTGGGCACTACCCGCCGCCGCCGCCGCCGACGACGACGACGCTGCAGTACGTGGGCGGCTCCGGGGCGGTGGTGGACGGCGTGTATAACCGCGTGGACGGGCACGGCGTCGCGGGGTTCCTCTCGCAGGTGGGCGTGGCGGGGCGGAAGCGCGGCGGCGGCGTGGACGGCGTGGTGGAGAAGACGGTGGAGCGGAGGCAGAAGCGCATGATCAAGAACCGCGAGTCGGCGGCGCGGTCCCGAGCACGGAAGCAGGTGAGCTTTCCATCCATCGAATCAATCTGCAGAGAAGCTTCAATTTCCTTCCCCCCCCCCCCCCCCCCCCCCCATGGATTCGTGAGACGCTCATGTGGTGGCAACGCAGGCATACACGAACGAGCTCGAGAACAAGATCTCGCGGTTGGAGGAGGAGAACCAGCGCCTCAGGGAGCACAAGGTAACAACAAAAAAAATGTTTATTAGTAGCTTCTCCTCCTAAATCCTACTAATTGCTCACTGCTAGTACTCAGTTCCACTGATCTTGATGTGAGCTTCAGCTCCACTGTTTCTTTGTTTGTTTTTAAATCTTTTCTGTGGCTCCCAGTTTGCACAAACTCTGCAAAGTCATTTTTTAGTTAAAGCCAAACTAGAAATATAATTTTCTTACTAGTTGTTAGGTTTATAATTGAGCTGGATGCTCAGTGGAGAGAGAGAGAGAGAGAGAGAGAGAGAGAGAGAGAGAGAGGGGTAACGAGCCTTGATTAGCATCTTGTGTGTGTGTGTGCAAATGTGGTACTCCTTGGGATGCTGGGTCATAGATGGGCGAGCAAAGGTTGCAATTTGAGGTTAAACAGGTGACATTGTGGACAAATCATGCACGTAGTACTCTGCAAAAAATGGTTCTTTATATCTTACTTGCTCTAGTATATTTTCTCAATGTACTAATTCCTCCAGATGCGCACTTATAGGACAGATTATGACTGTTCAGGGTGGTACGAATTTCTAATTTGAACTGAACGATCGTCTTAATTAACTAGGGAGTAGTATATAGTTTTTTCTACAGTTCAGTTGATGCATTACTGAATCTTTGTTTTTATGAAACAGGCTGTTGCTGATTTCTCAACATTCCCTAGCTGCGTCGATTTCCTGAAAGCATTCTTGACGCAGAAGCTGGAACCAGTAATGCAGATTGTGCCCCAGCCGGAGCCGAAGCAGCAGCTGCGACGAACTACTTCGGCCTCTTTCTAATCAACCAACCACAATGTTCATAGCGAAATGATTTAAACTCGATCTCTGTAGGAAAATCAATGGGGGTTTGTACTTGGGGATGCTGGCTGTTGTGAACAAGAGCTGAAACGACGAACTCTTTTCTTAACTATCGATCTGCACGTCTCTTCCTCTTGCAAATTTCACTCTGTGGTTAAACTTTCAACGAAAGATTCACTCTGATGGGCGTGATTCTTGTGTTGATCGATGTGGTGCGAATGATTCTCTTTTGCAAGGTTCGAGTAATTCTCATTGATCCTTGTATTTTGCTGTTTGTTTCTTAAGTTTCTTCGTCTTAGAAATGCTAGTACTACCTCTGTTTTTTTTAAAAATGTTAACTTTTTACATCATGTTTGATCACCTTGTTCAAAAAATTTAAGTAAATATCTTTTCATGTGTTGTGGTTTGATTTGTCAATAAACAAAATTTAAGCAATACTTATATTTTTAATATTTGCATAAATTTTTAAATAACACGAATGATCAAAGGTTGTAACAAAAATTAACAACTTTATATATTATAAAAAGCGGAGGAGAGTATAGTACCGGTATATTGTGAAGCAACATATTTTAGAGCTCAGGTAACTTGGGCCCTTGGCCCGTTTTGGAATTAAGAAGGCCTAGGTCTCGTTCCGTGGAATAAGTTCATCTGAGATCCCTTAACTTGTCAACGAATCTTATTTTCATCCTTCAACTCAAAAATCAGATACAGCGGGTCCCTCATCTATCAAAACCGATGCAGATAAGATCTCTTGGCGGTTTAGATGGCGGTTTTGGCTGATGTGACTCCTACGTAGCTATTTTGACTATGTGTTCATCTGACGTGGCGTTGACGTGGCAATTTGACCAAGAAAAATAACAAAACTTGTGGGACCCACATGTCAGTTTCACACACAAAATAAAAAATGGCAAGATCGACATTGGGTTCGCGCTCCTCTCGTCCTGCCGGAGAGACTGAGGGAGGGAGGATAGAGTCATAGAGATAAGATGAAGGGACCTCTGTTGTACCTGGTTTTCTGGTTGAAGGACGAAAATCAGATTCGTTAACAAGTTAAGAGGCCTAAGATGAACTTATTCTTCGTTCCGTTTGACGTCGCGTAACGGGCGTAAGGCCTGCTAATCTGGCTGTCTGGGCCTCCCTTGGCGTGGCCCACGTGGGCTTGGGTCAGGCGGATTCATGTACGCACGACGCACGGTCACCGCAAGATCCAACGGCATGCAGTCTCCGGAGCTAGGTTAGCGAGAAAAATCCGTGCAACTTTTCTTTCCAACGAACCAAGAGGGATCAACATAGAATAGACTAGATTGACTCTGTATTTAAAAAGTAAATTATATTAACCTAACACAAACCTAATAGGTGGATGCAACATAGTACAGTGGAAAAAATTATAAAATACTTGTCACAAACTTGTCTGGTGTGTGCAAAATTAATGACGCCAAAACCGTGGTTGATATACTAAGTTGAAACATGCTTAGAATGGCACATGCACACGTCAGGAGGTCATGAGGCATACTATATGTGCAAATTACCACTATTTTTTTTTCTTCCATTGTTTTTAATTCACTGCATCACTGGTATTTTTTTCACTGTATAATTAGCATCCCCTACTATGTATTTGATCGAGTACACATATGTCTAGATGGCATCATTCTGAAATGTGTACCCATGTAGCATCCTAATAAACATTCAAACTTAGTAAGATTAACCATGGCATGCTTATTTGGTTCTGATTCGCATGCATCAACATGTCCGTACATTAAAACGTGTGTTTTACAAGCTTATGTAATTCGTTACATCCAATACAATTTACTCTTTAAAAAATAGGCATCCAATTTGTCTTCAACATAATTCGAATTTGAATGGTCTAGGCATACACCCATACCCATCAACCAACTGAGCTAAGCCCTAGAATCCATGCTAGTGCTTACTACTAGCATGCGGGCGAAGCATATCGATATCGATGCCACGAAGCGGTCAATTTTTTTCGAACAGCCGGTCAGAATTGACTGGCGTTATATTGATAGAAGGAGAAAAAGTACAAATAGCCAAAGGGCTAAGAAAGAGAAAAACTGTACATGACAACATGCAAACAAGCTTGCATGTAGCCTTCCTAGCTCCTCATTGCAACATTCTCCCAATGTGTTTAGCGCCGGCCATACTCCACCAACCTAATTCCTCTTGGATGTGACTAATCATCTGGTGTACTGTCGCCTCCTTTGCTCTAAAGATTCTTGCATTTCGTTCCTTCCAGATTTCCCAAACAATGAGCAAGAAGAGAGTTCTGAGTCCTTTCTGTTTTGTTGCTTCCGGGTCGCTTGTTCCTTGTGTCCACCAATCTAAGAGGTTTCTACTTGTGTTCCATTTCGGGATGATGTGCCCTTGGTGCAGCCATGTGAGAATCCCAAACCAGATTTGCTTTGAGACCGGGCATTCAAACAGAAGATGGTCGATTGTTTCGAGATTTCGAAAGCATAGCTGGCAGAAATAATTATTTGGCCATCCCCTGATCTGTAACCGGTCAGCTGTCCACACCCGGTTTTGAAGAACCAACCAACTGAAGATTTTGCACTTTGCCAGAGCCCATGCCTCCCAAGACAACTTTGTTGATGGCGAGAGTACCATTCCATTGAATTGGAATTGGTACGCGGATTTTTCACTGTATTCCCCATTAGTTGTCCATTGCCAAACAATCGAGTCTTGTACCCCCTCTATTAGTTGTGGGGTGTCACGGGCTAAAATTTCCTAAACATAGAAGGATTCATCAAGAAGGGGAATGGTGAGGCTGTGGCGGATGTCGTTAATCCATCTTTCTTGTTGCAACGCGTCCTGGACGGTGCGGGTTTTCCTCTTCGAATGCCTATAAAGATTCGGTGCTTGACTTTTTAGGCTTTGGCCACTGATCCAATTTGATTCCTAAAAGCTCGCCTTTTGTCCGTCACCAATTTGGACTCTCGTTGATGCCGCGAAAAGATCCTTATCCAATTCATCACAGGGTGTTTCAGTCCATATCCAAGGCTTCTCTGGCGTCCTCCATTCGAACCATAACCATCTCAGTCGAAGAGCTCTGGCAAACTTTTCTAAGTTCGGAACCCCCAAACCACCGTACCGGACAGGTGAGCAAACTTTAAGCCAATTGACCTTGCATTTTCCGCCATGCATATTCTTGTTACCTGCCCACAGGAACCGCCTTCTTGCTTTGTCAATTTCTTGAAGAGATTGTTTCGCCGGTTTCAGCACCGTGAGGGTGTAAGTTGGGATGGCACTTAGAACTGAGTTCACCATAATTCGGCGCCCCCCCATGTACAACAATGATGGCTTCCATCCCGAGAGCCGACCTTTGATCTTATCCTGGAGAGGCTGGAAATGCACCTTACGTAGGCGGCCAGGAGTGAGTGGTAGCCCTAGGTAAGTCAGTGGGAAGCTGGCTCTTGCCCCCGAAAAACTACGCAAGACGTCGTCCAGATCTACTTCCTGGCATCGAATTGGTGCCACCAGACTTTTTCCAAGATTGACGTGCAGCCCTGTTGCCTTGCCAAAGTCCCTAAGCATGGTAATAAGAACATCCACCTCGCTTTGTACAGGGTTGAGAAAAACAGCTGCATCATCTGCATAAAGCGAAGTCCTCAATCTAGCATGGCGACTTCCGATGTTGGTTAGTTGCCCACCTTCGGTCGCCAGATGTAGAAGCCTTTGCAGGGGGTCGATAGCCAGGATAAAGAGATAGGGGGATAGGGGTCCCCTTGCCTCAAGCCACGTCTGTGTGCAATGCATTCCCCCTGGTCTCCATTTAGGACTACCTTGAAAGTGGTGGTGGAAAAGAGCAAACAGATCCAATTTCTCCACCGGGGGCCAAAACCCATGTTTTGCATCAGTTCAAGTAAATATTCCCAGGAGACCGAATCAAAAGCTCTAGCAATGTCTAGCTTGAAAAAAAGTGTTGGCTTTTTGCTGGCATTTAGGTTCCTGAGCACATTCCGAACATACAGGAAGTTGTCTTGAATGCATCTTTTTTTTTATGAAGGCGCTCTGTGCAACCGAGATCAGTCCATCCATCTGCCTGGCAAGCCTTATTGTTAGAACTTTGAATATCAGCTTGGCGACGGAGTGAATGAGGCTGATTGGCCTAAAATCGGTCACCAAGGTAGGGGCGTTCCTCTTTGGAAGCAAGGTAATTGCTGCTCTGTTGAGTGCTCTAAAGTTTCCTCCTGACAGGTTATACAAACACTGGAAAACATCCATGATATCCTGTTTAATTAACTGCCAGCATTTCTTGTAGAAGGTACCATTAAAGCCATCTGGACCTGGGGCCTTTTCTGCCGGCATCTGCTTTAAAGCGGCCCAAACTTCCTCCTCTGTAAAAGGTTCATCTAGTTCATCGGGGTGAACCTGTGGTAGATCCATCGCGTTTCAATTTAGGGTGCAATACGTAGCGGTCAATTTGACTTCATTAATTCTAGGGTGCATTCATGCAGTTGACTTCCTTTAATTTGTTACGGGAAAGCGATCGGTTAATCCATGTTGAGGGCAAACATCCTTATCCGAAATGGAGTTGGAACCATTTGAATCATTAGGCAGAGTGAATCGAATTTCAACCAGAAATTGTAATACGGTGTTGGAGTGTCATTTGGGACTGATCATGCAGCTCCAGATCGAACGCACATATACGAAAAACCCACCGATCTACACTAAAATTAGTCACAAATGTCATGGACATACTCATTCTCAGGCATCACTTTGGTCCCTATGCACCAAAACAAGTTTTGGGTTCATTTGATAGGACTCTAACTCCTAAATTCTACTCCCTCCATCCCAAATTGATAATCACACATATAATGTTTGTGCACTAAGACAAAAAGTTATTTAAACCGCATCGATTAAGAGTTTAAGACGTCATGCACAATATACACACATTATCTCATAATGCATGCATCGATTAAAACACAATTCATAATTATATCCTTAGCATGCACTACATTCTCCTATGCTACATTAATTGTACTCCGATGAAATCCGTGTCCACGCGATTATATGACACTAATCAATTTGAAAAATTATATAATGATCAATTTGGTAAGGAGGGAGTACTTTAGAAGGATATATTAGTCGTGCTAGCTTATTTTGTGAGAGCACTATAATCAGCTCCACTTTACTTCCTTTTTAAGTGAAGCTAAAATTATTTGGTTGAGGTTCAGCTCTATATAAGAGATGAAATTGAAGCTAGAACTACGCCGAATTAACACTTACTCTGATACTATTACGCCAACGATACACATGATGACATAAAACCAATAACAATGATACTAGGACAGGAACATCTCTCTTGTATGAACAACGTATAAAATACTCAGAGCACAAGATCGATCGATGTACGCGTGTTACGTGGGCCTGCCTCATCCAACAAAATAGAGGCGTGGGCGATCGAGTGATGAGACACTCGGACATCAACCAACGTTACGTTACGTGCCTCCCTCTCTACGTGGCGCTCTTCTAGTTCTCCCTCGCACGCTGCCTGCCTGATGCCGATCGATCGATGCTGCGACGTGATCTCCATGCATCGCCTGCCTCTCCATCTCGAACATCAATTAGGCATGTTTTAGCTGGTGAAATATTTTTTTTTTGTCACGTTGTACGTTTGACCGGATGTCAAAAGGGATTTTCGGTCACGAATAAAAAAACTAAAACCACGAGACGAATCTTTTAAGCCTAATCAATCTGTCATTAGCACATGTAAGTTATTGTAGCACTTATAGTTAATCATGGCCTAATTAGACTCAAAAGATTCGTCTCGCGATTTATATGCAAACTATGCCATTAGTTTTTTATTTATCTATATTTAATGTCCTATATATGTGTCTAAAGATTTGATGCGATGTTTTTGAGAAAAGTTTTTGGAACTAAACACGCCCTTAATGGCTAGAGCCAGGTGCTACTGCTTCGCAGGTACGCCATGAACATCACCATGTCCGAGTCCGAATCCTCCTCGCCGTCGCCGTCGCCGTCGTCCGCCGCCGCCGACGGGCTCTGCAGGAGCCGGCAGCGGCAGAGCGGGCACGTGGCGGGCGGCCGCGCCGACAACCACCACCGGTCGAGGCAGCCACGGTGGAACAGGTGCCGGCACCGGAGCTCCCTCACCTCGTCGCCCTCCTCGATGCCGCTCAGGCACACCGCGCACTGATCCGGCCGCCCACCATCATCCGCCGCCGCCGCCGCCGGACGACTACTCTCGCTGCCGCCTGGTTGTTGGACAGCACTAGCGGCAGCGGCGGCGCTAGCGCTACTGTACCGCGCCACGCGCAGCAGCTCGTCGCGCGCCGCCTGCTCCGGCGCCACCTTCTTGGCGATCAGCTTCCTCACCGACGACGACCCCGACGGCCACGCGAGGCTCGGCGCGGCGACGGCGAGGAGGGCGGACAAGGGTGGCACGAGGAGCAGGAGCAGTGCACTCACCAAGATCTCCATCACTAGCTAGCTATAGCTACTCGATCCACAACAATGCAGTGAGACGCGAGGCGACATGGGAGACGACGCAATATTTATATATCTGCGCAGCAGCTTCAATTCAAAGCTTAATGTCCTCTAAATAATTTATCTATTTAATTAATACCCACTCCATCTTAAAATATAAAAATTTAGAATCGGATAAAAAATACTCTTATATTTTAGAATGGAAAGAGTACAAATTAAGATGATCGTTTAATTAATTTATCTTCGTCTATCTCTATCGCTATTGTACACAGTTGCACAAGACGTGTCCAACATCGTGATCAATAGGATGGCTGAAAGCTCTAGTGCTGTAAATGTCAGCTTGTAATAGAAGCATCAATGGCTTTAATATTTGGGTCTCGTTTTCAATCGGTAGCTACAGATGAACTTCATCTAGATCGTCTTTTTGGTTTGGTGCAACCAAATTGGGCATTTGCTCCTCTGCAAGTAGCTATGCCGTCGAGCATCAGTAAGGAGATATCATACTTAGTTCGTCCTTCTGACTTTTCGATGTGTTTTTGCATTCAATATGCAATCCTTTCAGGACAATGACTTCAAAGAGAGGTAGAATAACAGATAGAGATCGTGTCACCGTGCCATTCAATGCGAGTCCTACCTGTTCACAAGTCACAACACCATCTCATATCTAGGCATCTGTCTCCCTTTCTCCCCTTAATTTCCAGAGCTACTATACCCAATCGATCACACGTCTCCTCTCTGTCCCTGGTTCATTTTTTTTTAAGAGATGGTTGATGCTTCTTCATATATAGTCCAAGAAACCTTACAAAAAGGAGGGCAAGTTAATTAGCATGGGCTAATTGAGAAAAATGGAAGATTTTTCTCTCTTAATACTACTAAACAGGAGAGGAAGAGACTAGACATACATGCATGGATGTAATAATAGTAAAATCAATTGGGACGTCCAGGATTCAGGAAATTCAGACATGAGGGTAGCTCTCCAAATCTTGTTCTGGTCAACTTCTTTTTTCTAATCCGGATTAGGCAAAAACTTAATGCCTATCTTAATCAGTCTGTACCAAGATCAACTTGAACATACTCCTCTTCACCGATGTTCACTGACCAAATATAAATATCCCAGAGAGGATTCTAGATTGCCAAAAACAAATTATTCAGAGTTCCAATGCAACATACACTTTCGGAGTGATGTAATCGTTTCTTAATGTCAAGCTCAAAAGTTAAACAGATCTGGTGCACTTATAGTTAACCACTGAGGTATTCCTTCACTTCCACTCAATAAATAATGTATACACAGTGTCCAGACTTAGGGTGCGTTCGTTTGGAGAACAAAGCGAGTGAGTTTGTTTCGTTTTCCACGCGCACGTTTCCTGAACTACTAAACGGTGTGTTTTTTTAAAAAAAAATTCTATAGAAAAGTTGCTTAAAAAATCATATTAATCTATTTTTAAAGTTTAAAATAATTAATACTCAATTAATCATGTGCTAATGGCTCACCTCGTTTTGCGTATCTTTCTAATATTCTCTATCTCGTTCTTCTCAAACACACCCTTAATGTCTGTCTGACACAAACTTATAAAAATAATGAATGAGAGGTAAGACTACCTTACGCTGCCGCTGCTCACAAGCTTCAAAGCCACATGGACAGAGAACAGGCACACCTATCTTAATTTGATTCTTTTATACTCCCTCCATCCCATAAAAAATCAATCTAAGATCAAATGTGACATATTTTAGTACTATAAATTTGAAAACATCTGCTAAAATATGTTATATCATCAGATATTAAGTTGGTTTTTTATTGGACGGAAGGAGTATGTATCTACTAGTACTTTTTTTTTTATGGAACCTTGCATATCTATGTCAGACGCCCCTTTTCACCCTTCATTTTAATGAACAGACGAAGACCATATTTCAGCGTACAGTCCCTCAGAGCATTGCACCAGTGGTTGAAAGATACCTAAAAATCAAATAATTATTCAAAAAGGTTGGACAAAGCCAAAGCCAGGAACCCCAACATATTGCTTAAATACCAAATTTGCAGGAAGCAGAATGAAACTGTCGCATGCATTTCATTGAAAAAAAAATTGAAACTACTGCAAATGCTAGATGCTAGTTGCTGCTGATCTACCACCCACTAATGCAGGTTTTGGTCTCCAATCGCTCCCAGTGCAGCAAACAACACCGGCAAAAAGGACACCTGAATTGTCTAGCTACCTACCATTAGGCCATCAATTCATGCAACATGTGCTCACTCTTTGATCATCAGTCGATAAAACAAGATAAACGCATTGACACTGGAATATCTCATTCTACTTTGCCACAACTTCCGGATTCATGAAGAGACATGAACAAAACAGAAAAAAAAAATGGAATAGTCGTTGAAGCTTCCGAAATTAAGATAGAAGTACGCAAGCTTTACAAAAGGTATAAGCTGGGTAATGGGTTGCATAACATATCGGTATGGAGTAGCGAAGATATTGTAGAAGCATATGAACACTGTATTCACAAGCATCTATCTTTGTCTTCAGAAGTATAAACTATTGAGGCTATCTGACAATCTCTGTTCTAAAACCTTTTCTGTGTATGCAGTTTTCACTCCAGGCCAAACTCCTTCACTGATCTAGGACTGCAGATGAAGTCAAGTTGAGGATTCTTGATGTTATCTTGTAGTATTGATATCTGACCCTCCTTAACAAGTATGTCTTCCTCAAGGGCTTCAATTTTCTTCTTTAGTGAGGCAGTCTCATTTTGCATGATGCTGATGGTTTTTCTCAGCTGCTTTGCTTCCTGCCATAAAAGGTCCCTCTCATCAGTTACTGTTTTCAGCGTTCCTCTAAGGGCACTAATCTCCTTTGCAGATTCCTGGAAATCCAGCTGGACCTGACTAATGATCTCATCTTTCTTCAAGCCCTGCTAGTGCAACAAGTATGTAAACAAACAAGGTATACAAATTGTAGGTTCTAAAGGAGTGCATGGGAAAAAAATGCCACTAATACAAAAGGACGATCATAAGCATATAATCCGACATAGAGAATTTTCACACGCCTTGCAAGTTACACCACTAGAGGCTCCTGGTACTGGTCAAATAACATGCTAAATGTCAGATTATAGACTGTCTCTATACATAAACTGATTTAAGGACCCTGGTGAATTTTCATGCTTCACTTAGTATAACAAAGAATATCACATTGTAATCTCATTTACCATTTATAGTCAGTTTGTCTAAGCATTTATTTTATGATCCGTGAGCTGATACTGATATTCTTGTTGACCAGAAGCCACTAAAAACTCGCATAATTTCATACGCTAATTCAGAGTCTTAAAACTTTGGAACTTCTTCTACAATAATCTGAAACACCTCAGTTGAAGAACCTATCAAGAGGCAAATTGAAGAGCTTCCGTTACTGACCTAAGCTCCAATACTAACAGATGACCTTTTTCTCTCAGATTGTCACTAATATTTACGGTTTAGGTCATATGAAGTCTGATTTCATTAGTGTTAAACATGTCCCTTGTAGCACACGTATAAAGTCATAAGTTGATTCTTAGTAAGACAAAAGCACATTTCATATTTTCACAACCAAACCAGAGGACTAGTTGAAGGTAAAAAATAACAAAATAGATTTTTCTTCAGGATAATACAGTAAAACAGCATGACAAGGGAACTCATTGTTTCAAAGAAGGGTTTTGTTGGGGAATAAGGGTAGGAAAAATCTACCTGAAGCTCCAAGTGCTTAGCCTTGTGGTTCATGCAAGATAGTTCGTCCTGAACTCTCTGGATCTCATTTCTCATGACATCCTGTATACGAAGTGAAGATGCCAGATCTGACTCTAATTGTTCAACATCAAGTTCCTTTGAAAGGAGAGCCTCCTTTAGCACTCTATTGAGTATAGCCTCTTCTTTCAGCTTGAGTTCAGGAATATCCTACAATAAGAATAAGATGGTGGTAAACAAAGGCTCAAGGAGTCAAGGTTCTGCACCTGCTGAACTTATAACACATATTATACTACACTAATTATTTTTCCAGCTGAGTGCTCCCCTGTCTTTTCTTATTCCAACCAAAAAGGAAAAAAAACTTGATTGAACAGAAAAAGATTTACAGTAAAACATAATAGGTGCTCATACCAGAGGTAACTCATCTGTGTGCTCCCTGGAAGGACTAGATCCAACTACAGTCTCTCCAGAACTTCCCTTTATATTTTCCTTTTCAGTGAGGACAGAACTAATAATCCCCAAACTTTGCTTCAGACTCTGGATTCGTCCTTTGATGCTCTGGAACTCCAAAGTGTAGTCAGTGACAGTTAATGCAGCTATGCCATTGCCAGCTTCATTTTCATGCCTTTTGCATTTCATTAGTTCCAACAATTTGATGCACAGTTGGCTAGTCTTATCAAGCAATGACAAGCCATGTATCTGCAAGTTATCCACTCTGGCTAGTAGCTCCTGGTCAAGACGAATTGAGGACAAGCGCGGTCCATTTCCAGTACTTTGTATACGATTTAAAAGTGCAATGTTCTCTTGCCTTAGGGACTCTGATTCAAGATGACAAGATTGAACTTCACCTCTTAACTTCTGCTCAACTCCTGTCAGTCTAATAAGTTCCATTTGCATTCTCTTCTTTATCTTGTCACTGCACTCAACAGATTTCTTATCTAATTCAGTACTGTATCCCTGTCTTAAGCCACTGATTGTTCTTTCTTGTTCATTGCATATGGTTTGTAGCCTTGAAATCACTTTATGCAATGCTTTGTTCTCACCATCCTTATCTTCCAAGAATTTCCTGAGATGATCTTTTTCCTCCACAGCCTTAGTAAAACAATCATGTAACTCTACAGATGAATTCTGGAGATTGTCACAATTGTTTCTGACTTTCTCTAGCTCATCAATTAGTTTTTTGTTTCCCATTTCCAAACAAGCAACCTTATTAGAAGCATCAACCTTTTCTGCTTCAAGAAAAGTAACCTCTCGCTGAAAGGAGACATTCTGCTCTGCAAGTTCTCTCACCCGATCACGTAATCTCTCTTCCTCGCACTGAAATCTTGATAGTCTGATTGACCAATCGTCTGATCTTCTATCCATCTCTTTCTCCAAAGTAGTTTGCACTTCCATCTTTTCCTTCTCTAGCCTTCTAGTTCTGATGTCCAACTCTTTCTTCAAATTTTTGCATTGCTCTTTGGCAGCAAACCTTTCTGTAAGGCGTGCCTTGATCTGTGAAGACAATTCATATGCTAGTTGTTTCCTATCTTCAGTCAAACATTGGATCATCTGGAACATGTCATTTGCGCTTAGCCTCTTGTTTTTGGACATGTTAAGCTCATATTTTTTTTCAGAAGAGACCATGAACTTTGCCTCAACCTCTTTTGCCCTTTGGAGCAACTTGTCATCAGTTTCTACATCCTCTGTTGCAAAATACAAGCCAATATCAGAAAAATTGTTGGGCAATCATATATAGAAGAGTATGGTAATATAGCATCTTGAGTTGATACCTGAAGTAGGATCGATGGAGGGATGATTAAAGTCTTGCAAATCCTCATAGATATCTTCAACAGAAGTAACACTTTCCGATTTGTAATCTTCTAAATGTGAAAATCTCTCAGAAGCATCTAGCAGACCTGCATGGTTTCTACTTGCATTGCACAGTGTTGTAATCTTGCATGTGTCTCTTGTATCCTCTTGAGCTAGTTGGTGGAGATGTTCATCCTTTACATCCTCATATGGGTAAGTCTCAAGGATCTCTTTTGTTAGTCTTGGCAAAGATGGTACTGTAGACTGCGGTCGAGGCGGCCTTCCCAAATTCGAAACCGCAGATCTGGTGGGAGAGTTTTGCTTCTGTCTCTCACCAAGGATGGTGGCTTCCTGCTCTCCATCAATGTATCGATCTAGAACTTCATTCTTGTTCAATAAATTGGTTAGTCTTGTTGACCTGCATCGAATGGCAATGGGAGAACTAACAGGAGAGTGCCCTGTTGAGCATGAATAGCATCTCGAACCAGGAGAGTCACTTTGCAGGACTGAATGTGCTTTTGGATCCTTTATTGTGTATTCTCTTGGGGCTGGACGCCTTTTTGGTGACCATGCATAGCAGCTGCAAGTCAGTACGCACTGTTAGGACCAGCAAAAAAAATACACACTTTATTATCATCACTCAGATGAAAGGAAATGGTAGAGTCACAATTGCACATAATTCACTTAATGAGTGAGGATTGCAGGTCCATCTAAAACTATTCTAGTTGAAATGAGTGAAGAATTACATTGGGAAAATGGGATTTACAAGTAACTGAAATGCCTAAAGAAAGCTCTGAGTGCATTGGCTGAACAATTTATAAGGAGGGCAATCACCACCGTATAATTAAGCATTTAACAATTATAGCTGATAAGCTGAAATGAGTAAAGTTTGCAAGTGCACAATACTTCTCCTTTTCTTGTTTCTACTAATATGGATAAAAAAGGGAATAGGGTGTTGCTACCATGTATTGGTTTGATGATGGCAAAAACATCCTAGGTTTCAATGCACTATTGAACTGTTGATGGTAATCAAAATGTAAACCAATCACTTACTTAGCAACATGATCGGGTGCATCAGATTCATTAAACAGAGAAGATGGGACATCACCCGAGAAGCTGAAGCTCCGATCCTTCAAGAAACTGTTGCCGGCTGGTGATGAGAAGGACATAGACCTCCTGAGCTGCTTCGGATTAGATGGTTCCTCATTGTTCAGATTTCGACGCCGGCTCTTTGATCTACACACTTTTGTGACAGGGGAATTGGAAGCGGAACTGGAGCTGCCATTGCTGTCACCTCCGTCCAATGCCTTCTTCTTAATCCTGCTATCATCGTCACTTGGTGTTTTACCACCATTCCCAGTGCTTGCGGTGGATGATCCAAAGAAAAAGAACCTTCTCATCTTACAAATGTTCAGAACATCCGCAGATCCCCACAATTGAATCAGTCCCTACAAGGAGCGAATCTTGATCAGCAAAGAAGTAGCAACGAGAATAAATCTTGTAGCAACTACTGAATGACACCAGATGATCTGCAAATATACAATAGCAAACCCTTGTGCGAGGGAGGAATAGCCAATAATAATAATTAAACAGGAGTAACGAACCAAGCAGGAAAAGCGATATCTAAATGAAGTTTCAAGCAATTCCACGTATCCTTTTGCAGGGAACTCTGCAACTAAACCACACATCAAACTAGTTTGGGCCAGGAAATTGATCGAGCAGGTGACACGCAAGGCTAAATGAAACCAAAACACGCCAGCAAAGCATCAACAAGCCACAGGAGACAAACCTAACCCCAGAATTCAGAAGCACCAACCCCTTGATTTGGCGCTTGATCCCGGACGCAACACCAAATCCAAACCCCAGAATTGAGATTCGCAAAGCACCCGAGACACCAAAAACGAACCCAAAACGAAACGAAGTCGCAGGAAGGGAGAGGAGGCGAACCTCTCGCGGCGGAGGGAGACGAAAGGGAAGTGGAGGAGCGTGGTGGCTTTGCCCTACCAACGGTCAAGAAATTTGGGGAAAAATCAAAGCAAATCATACGCATTGATTGCGATTTAACGATGGAGACGCGAATCCGGGGGAAAAGGAAAAGGGAAAAAGGGTTTTCAAGTCGAGGTGGGAGCGGGACGGGAAGAGGAAGAGGAAGAAGAGGAGCGTCTTAAATGGGCCAGGCCGAGCCGAATCGCTTCTGTGGGCTTAATTGGTTAGATGGGCCGTAGCGGAGTAATGATGCGTCGAGAGGGAATAAGTTCACCAGAGGTCCCTCAACTTCACAGCGAGATTTTTCGAGGTCCATCAACCACAAAACCTTCTGCCCCTAAATTCAGTCAAACCGTTCACCACCGGAGGTCCTTTGGCAGTATTTTTGCCCGGTTTTCCTGACGTGACATACTAGTCAGCAAAAAAATTAAAAAAAATCATACGGCTCACATGTCAGCTTCACATATCTCTTTTTCTCCTCTTCAGTCTTCTTCTCCTCTTCACTTTTCTCTTCACCGGCGGAGCAGCGGTGGGCGAGAGGTTCGGCTGCTGGCGGCGCCGACCAGCGACGCAAGAGAAGGGGAGGGCGTCGGCGGCGGCGGGAGGTGGCCGGAGGAGGAGGTCGTCGGCGAGCGCGCTCCTGGTCCTGCTCTGGCTGTTGATGCGGCCGGGAGGTATCGCCGATATAGGGGCTCGTCGTTGGTCGTCGTCACGGGAGGTATCGCCGTCCGCTGGGGATGTCAAAATGCAGAGAGTTCGTGTCTTAGAAGACGGCCATGAGCTTGGCTTCTCCCAGCACATGCCCCTCGATGGCGTCCATCAGCTTATCCTTGATCACCTGTAAGCAATCAAGAATCAATCACAGTTAATTAATCCTTAAACAGCAAAGATAATCGCTAAAAGATTGTTCGATCGACTTGCCTTGTTGCCGAGGTGCACCTCGTCGTCGAGGACGTAGAGCTTGAACTGGATGCGGTGGCCGCAGGAGGGAGGGATGACGACGACGCCGGCCGCACCGCCGAGGCCGCGACTTGCGCCAGGGCCGGCGCCACGCTCGCGCCGAGCGGCCGCCAGCCGCGCCTAGCCGCATCGGCGCCGCCGTCGCTCGGCCGAGCTCGGCTGCATCGGCGCCACCGCCGCCGCGCCTGCGCAGTAGCAGCCAGAGCAGGAGCAGGAGCAGGAGCGCGCTCGCCGGCGACCTCCTCCTCCGGCCAGCTCCCGCCGCCGACGACACCCTCCCCTTCTCTTGCGTCGCTGGCCGGCCCCGCCGGCAGCCGAACCTCTCGTGACCCGTGGGCCGTGGCTCCGTGCTCGTTCGCCGTCCGCTTCGCCCGCAGCCCGCCCACCGATGCTCTGTCCGCCGCCCGCTCCGCCCGTAGCTGGCCGCCGCTCCACTGCCGCGCTCGCCCACCGCCGCTCCGCCGGTGAAGAGAAAAGTGAAGAGGAGAAAAAAGATATGTGAAGGTGACATGTGGTTTCCACGAAATTTTTTTTTTTTTTCTGTCTAGGATGTCACGTCAGCAAAACTGGGCAAAAATACTGCCAAGGAGCTCGGGTGAACGGTTTGAATGAATTTATGGGCGAATATTTCTGGTTTTGTGGTTGAGGGACCTCCAAAAAATCTCGCTGTTAAGTTGAGGGTCCTACGATGAACTTATTCCGCGTCGTGAGCGACTCGGCAAGTGGGCCCGTGGCGACGCGCCACACACACGCACATCTGCAGTTACTCACTCCTCTTCGCCGTCGCCATTGCTGAGCTGCTGCTGTTGCTGTGGCTGGCTGATAGGCGACGGCAATGGCGCCCTCCTCCACTCCTCCTCCGCCCTCCCCGAGCCGCCACCTCCTTCCGGTTTTCTCTACACCCCCGCGTACCCTTCTCCAGTCGCCGCAACTCACACAGACACAGTACTGCATCCAAGACGGACGGCCGTGCCGCGCAAATTTTTCACCGGCGAGGCGGCGACGCTGGATTCCTTCGCCGTCCAAGTCCAGCCATCCGGACGCTATCCAGACAGGTTCTTTCTTTTCTTTTTCAGATTTTCTTGTTTATATTGGAGTAATCTGCTAGCAGAATGGATGAGAACTGGTTGGCTTCTTCCTGATCCCTCCAAACCCTTTCTTTTGGGGGGAGTTTGCTTGACAATATGTATATAGTCTCTTGTCGACTTCAATTCTAGCACATGAATTAACTATGGCAGTTACAAAATCATGCAGAAGGTGATCCTACCACCAACCTGTGGTGATTGGTCTCAAATTTTCATGCCCTAGTAATCTCTGCACAGCTTTCAGTGCTGCTGCTGCCCTTCAAAATGGGGGTGGCGCCTTCTAAGATTGAGGATGATAGGGCCCTCGTGTTATGCCAGGAGAGGAAGCGTTTCGTCAGAGAAGCAATCGACGGAAGATGCGCACTTGCAGCTGCTCACTGTGATTATATTCGGTCACTGAGAGACACTGGCTTTCTGCTAAGGAAATGTTTTGAACATGAAGCATCTGAAGAATCGATACCAAATAATAAATCGCCGTCTTCTTTTCAGGCCAGTCATATGAAAGCTGCCATGAATTCCATTAGAACTTATCTGGAGAAGGTGGCAACTCCTGTGACAGTGACTATGGTCAGTGCCTCATCTCAAGATCCTACTGGTACTTCACCATTGGACCATTTTGACCAAATTCACCCAGGTGACAACCAGTTTTCACCTAAAGAAAAGGATAGATCTGGCCAATGTTTGGACAAGGTGGATGATCCTAGACCCTTCCTAGAGGAGGGAATCCCAGAGCTCGAAGAGGAAGGGGAGAGAACTCCTTCGAATGAGGAGGATGGTTTTGCAGAATCAAAAGATGATTTTGCAAATGAGGAAGAGAATTTCTCTGAATCAAATGATGCTTTCCTCAGTCCATCCATTGAAACGTTTGTGCCAGTGTCAAACAGCAACGACGTGTCTGATAAAAATAGTTCAACAGACAAGGCACCTGAGCATCATGGTCATGGAAGTGTGGCATCAAAAGATATTGCTTTACCAAATACTGGTTGCCAAAATGATAACCCCCAAAATGAGAGGAGAATGACTGACATTCACACAAATGAAAATTATAGCAATTCTGCTGTGTCCCCAGTTAATGTCGTACCACCTTCAGGTGCTGCCTTTCCTATGGTCTCAAAGGAACCGTATCCTTATTTAAGCATATCTGTGAAGGGCCTATATACAGGCATGGTAGAGATTGAGAGATTATTTTCCAGAGCTTGTGATTCGGGAAAAGAAGTCACAAGGGTTCTCGATGAAGATAAATTACAGTTTCGCGCCCTACTACCACAAGAAACAGGTTAGATATCTTGCAATGCTTTTTTCTGTTGCACTATTTCTTTTCATATCTTCTCTTGTAATTTGAGGTGCACAATAATTTCTGGCAGCGCGTGGATCAGCATCATCTAGTTTTCTGTCAACATTGTTTGCCTGCTGCAGGGAGGATGTCCCTCTTCCTGAAAGTAAGCTTTTTTTTCCATTTATTAGTATGAAATTCTATTTCCTGCACTGCTCAGCCCTATGTACTCCTTTTTTTTATAGACATATGACATATCACATGGAACTTGTAATGTTTCTGTGTAATTGTTCTTATTGTCATACTCCTCTATTGTAATAGATGATATCATACTCTGCTATTGATCTCATTTAGTTTTGTTTTTTTTAATCTCTCAGCTATTGCATTTTCCTTATATTGTAACAAATGGTGTCTCATATAGTCATATCTTAGAGTCAAGATTGTCCGTCGTAATTTGACCTTGCTGTTTCTTTAGTGTTCTATTTTCCTGTGTAAACTGTAATACCTGTGTGTTCCCACTGTACAATGAATTTAATGTACCATGGTATAATGCAGCTCCTTCTCAAGCTGAGGTAAAATACCTTACCTGGCATAGGTCAGTGTCTTCACAGTTGTCGCTGTCTAGAAATCCTCCTGGGGCTATTACTGTCATGCATACCTCAACACTAGATAAACTGTATGCATGGGAGGAAAAGCTTTATGATGAAGTCAAGGTAATTAGCTTTTTTGTGGCTACTCTATGTGAAATACCTAAATCTTTTAATTTTGGCTGACAGTTTAATCCATTTTGATTTATGTTCCACATGTCTGATTGCTTGTCACAACATGACTTTCTTTTCCCCGCCTTTCAGAAACCATCGAATATACATTGATTCTTCTGATTAATCCCTTAGCTGGAACTCCCTACATTGATCGCTAGAATTCATAGATAGATTACTTGCTTCTTTAATCATAGAGGTTTCAGATATTGTATTAGTCAGAGTTTATGCAGTTTATGACTAGTGGTAGTGATTTTTTGTCAAGAATGTTCAAATAAAATCTGATAATTCTTCTGAAGTTTCACACCAAATGATTATCATGATTCTGCTTTCAGGTCAACAGTGCCATATGCAGGAGATATGATGAGAAATGCAAGCAACTGAGAGACCAGGAGTCGAGAGGGAAAAATCAAATTCTTGTTGATTTTACCCGCGCTACTGTAAAGGATTTGCATTCCAGAATTCTAGTGGCTATTCAGAAAATAGACTTCATTTCTAAGAACATAGAAGACATAAGAGATAAAGAGCTTCAACCACAGTTGGATGAACTAATCAGAAGGTATATTTGCCGATTCAGTTTTTATAGAATAATTTGTAGTTTGATGTGCACAAGAAGAGAGTATTGTGTGCTTGAGTGTCATGCATTGTTTCAGGATTTTCTCAGACTGTTTTAACAGAATGCACCAATCACAGTATGCAGTTTGCATTAAACTGACAGCTATATAAATCTGACAGTGTCTGCCTGTCTTTACTGTAGTTTAACTAGGATGTGGGAAACAATGCTTGAGTGCCATCATCTTCAACTTGCAATCATGAAGCTAGTATCCAGCAAACGGAGTGTAAAATTATCATTTCAGTCAGAGTCTGAATGCCAAGATGCCCTTCTCCTCTCAGCTAAGCTAATTAAATTATGTTCAGACTTCCAAAACTGGGTGGCATCACACAAGGTTTACCTGTCTAGCCTTAACTTATGGCTGCACAAGTGCATGAAACCGCTGAAGAAGAGGAAGGGCTCCAGGAAGCAAAATGTTGTTGATGTTTCTCTAACAGAATGTGCTGTTGCACCCATATTTACAACTTGCGAAATCTGGATTAAATTAATTGACGATTTACTGACCAATGAGTTGGTGAAAGCCATTGAAAATCTCGTTGCAGATGTCGGCCGTTCCTTTCCGCACCAAGAGCAGGTGCTAAATGGTGAAACAGGAGGAGAAATCCTGAGAAATAATGCCCCTGCTGATGTACAGTCAAGTCTGATGGCATTCTTAGAGAAGCTTGAAGCCTTTTCAGCAGTTTCACTGCAGAAGTATATTGATCTGCAGAAAAACATCGACGAGGCAAAGGATAGGTTTTCGAGAGAAGATTAAAGTACGATTGCAAGTAGCTCAAGTGAGCTCTTAGTAATATGGCCCCCCTTGAGTTGGATGAGTAAAATGTTCCATATGTAAATTCCTGGTTGTGATGATATTGTGTATCGAGTCGTTTTGTCAGTTGTAAATGTTTTGTGTAGTCTCTGGTGGGAGTATGGGGCTACAGTTAAGTTAGAAACATGAGAGGACAATACGCTGTAAGATACTGATATGAACATGATGTATGCACCATTTTTCCAGAACAGTTCAGTGATTTGTCAATGTAGCGTTGAAAGCTAAGTCTCCAATCTCATGAATTTGACGAAGTACAAATGATCAGTATGAAGACTTTATGAAAGAACAAGTCCTCTTGATGCATATTTTAGATGATACCATCATCATCCATGTAGGGAAAAAGTTATTTCTGTCAAATACTGGGTACCTGTTCCAATGCCCCAGCACCCAGCTGGGCAAGTGATGTGAGCTGAAAGCCTGAAACATTCAACTTGCCTGACAGAGCACACGGATGCCTAACTAGAGTGGCATTCAACTGTGATGCAGATTGCTGCTTTCTCATTATAATACGGGAAGGGAATCAGACCATGCATCTGACCTCTAGGAAACGAACAAACAGGTCGAGCAGATTCCTGCCTGTTTACCCTCGAGAAAGGACAAAGCCAAGCTGATCCATGGCCAAAGTCAAAAGCCATTTGCACTCACCATGATGCAGATGCAGTGTTCCTTCCCTTTGTTTCTCATATATACAAACAGGCAGCTTGATTGTCGAGTCCCCTAGCTGCTCAAACTGAAAACAAAAGAATACTGGTCTACTGTTTGCTGTTCCCAATATTTATTTTTTTTCAGCATATGAGAAAATGGATTAGGAGATGTCATGCTGTTGCTTAATTTAATAATGCCAGTGTTTTAATAGCATAATGCAGGAGAGAGGCAGGGGTTTAGAAAGGTACAAGCAACAACCATGCAAAAAACAAAGCTCTGGGCCGTACCCAGCAGCTTTCCATGTTCTGAATTTTTCTGATGAGGCATTGACCTAGGGATAGGGACGTTCTCGCAGCAAATACATTACATGTCAAAGGGAATTATGCGACAAGGAGATGGTCCAAGCTTAATTGCTTTATAATTCCTAGGGAATCCGGCATGGTTAGGTACAGTTATTTTAGTTTTTGTGTACAGATGATTATATATCTTATATATACTCCTAGCTAGCAATCTTTGTTAATCTGAAGGTGTTAGTTCAGTATATTCTGAAACATGTACGACTGATGCTATTACAAGGAACAAGTGGATGAGGAGCAGGTGTGATAAGTCAAAACAGCCTAGTGTATCATCACATGAAGAGAGCTCTCTGATGATGTGCATGGAATCCTTTAAATAATGCACAGTGGATGGCCACAGCATGGTGATCTCATCATGCCCTCACTACTTATGTCATTTCTTTTCCAATCTAATTGCCACACATTTTATCTTTTGCTGATGAAAATGAAGAGGACTGATGAGAGTTTCAGGCTGTCTCTGAAAACGGTTCAAGTCAGAACAATCATACCGTAATTTTCTCCCTTTTCTGCTTGATCAGCATTCAACAACGGATCGCATTCTGGATGACTTGGATTACGTAGATCATTGAACAAGTAAAATACATCTCCGATGTCAAAGTAGGTTTTCAGCTTTGCAGTTGAAACTGACCTATGCAAGATGTGCTGATTAGTGAGGTAATACTACGAGCTAGTGGAAGTAATCAAGTGTTTGATGGACCCAATGACACACACAAAGTCTTCGAAAGCACTCAATCACAAGGGAATGCCTCATGGGATGTCTTGATTAAACTAATTTAGCCATGCTCCTACCTCTCGATCGGTGCAAAGCTGCTGCAACTTGTGGATTTGTAGTAGTGTTGACTGCTAGCTTGTGGGTTCGAGATTAATTGGAGTGGGTGGCTGCTGAACTGTTTTCAACGCTGACAACTGCCGGAAACCGTCAAACTTGTTCAGTTTTGTGTAGGAGTAATCTATAAGCCTCCGTCCATGCTGTCAGCTCGCCTGTTCATCCTGTGCGCCTCTCGTCCCTGTGTGCTGCCATATGCTGCTGGTCAGCTACTATCGCATTCTCAGAAACCTGACGAATGGCGATGCAGTTTGTTCAGAGAACATCTGTCCACGCCTTGTTTGAGTGTTCAGACTGATTTCCGTAGTCTGAATCACAGTGTTCAGAAAACGAATAAGGCTGTCAGAAGCATTACCAAATTGCCCTTTCCTGATTACTCATCTAATAATTTCCTGATTGATTTACAGCCTTACGCAAATATGCACATGACAGCAGAGCACAGTGGTGGTTATTGAAGAAGGGGCATGGAAGATGTGCAGTCGCATTTTGAACACACATTTGGACTTGTGCAGAGGTCAACGAATGGTACAGCATCGATGAGGATTACGCAATTTGGTTTGAGCTCAATGTCGTCGTCGCCTCACGAGACCGATTCCATACAGTTGCAGGGTTTGATTATTACTATTGTTTTTTATTCGGTGGACAGACACAGTTACAGAATACAACATTTTTCTTTTTCTGAAACTGAAGATTATAGTATTAAAGAGCTAGAGCTGGAGATACTCCATATAGGCATCGTGGAATCATTCAAATCGTTGGCCGGTGGTCCTTTTCACTGGATAGGTGAAAACTGCAAGCTCACTCATTTACACTGATTTACAGTGGACGCATAGAATCACCGTCAGAAAAGAAAACCAAGGAAGAAACGAATATTCAGAGAAACGCTTTCAGGTAAAGTTGGCACCGCACCATGGACAGAACGACCGATCTCCTCTAGATCTTGGCAGAATAATAATCTGGTGCAGTAGTGAGTAATAATATATCTCATGCGGTTTTGTTTGGTGACGTTACGGCAGCCAATATAAAGAAGAGATCTTTAAACTTTTTCTCTGAAAGAAGAAAGAGGAAATCTTTAATTAGGTAATACTCCATCCGTTTCAAAATGTTTGACGCCGTTGACTTTTTAGCATATGTTTGACCGTTCGTCTTATTCAAAAAATTTAAGTAATTATTAATTCTTTTCTTATCATTTAATTTATTGTTAAATATATTTTTATGTAGGCATATAATTTTACATATTTCACAAAAGTTTTTAAATAAGACGAACGGTCAAACATGTGCTAAAAAGTCAACGGTGTCAAATATTTCGAAACGGAGGGAGTGTGGTTTAGGTGCTAGAGCTAGCATCGATCGGAGGTGGATAGATGGATGAATGGATGCAGAGTGTGATGGACAGGTGGATTGTGATTCTGGGTAGGGCAAATTTGGCCATTTTTGATGAGCGAGGTTGATCGAGAGGGGTGTAGGGGCTAGCTAAGGCAAGCTAAGCTAAGGTGGAGTGTAGAGAGAGATCTTTGATGTTTGGGTGGGTAAGGGAGAAAAAGAAAGAAAATCTGGTGAGAGCGACAAGGAGCCCACCCCCTCTACCCCCCGCTATTCCCGCGATTGTACTGCTGATTAGCCGGGAATGGATGCTCGATCTCTCATGGATAATTTGCACATATAATGTGTGCTACTGCTGCCTTTGTTTGTTACTTACATATGCTGCTGATTGCTGCTCGATGAAAAGGATGGAAGAAAATAAAAAAAGTTTGAAATAAATTGTGTAGTATTAGTGGATTCGACTCCCTGTTCCTTCTGGTCTCTTGGCAGTTGTGGAAGAAGCGGAACTTCTGCAGCCTCATCTTTTCGCTTATACTTATGTTTATCAGCCAAAATTTGAATTTTTAACTTCAATTTTGGAGTTGATTTTGAGGGTTTTTTTTTCATCGAAGTTTATTTGTCAACCTTTACTTTTAGATCGTTAAGAATATGTATATAAAAGTTGTATTTCACAAATTATTTTTCGTTTGCAAATATGTTGTTTCGCTTATCCCCCGATAAGTGAACGATGGGGCTACAGAGTTTTCGACTCAGCCGTCTCCTCGGTCTTTGTGCGTGCTTGTAGTGTCTGTCCACTCAGAAGGTCGTATGCGGTATTCCGCTGGTATAACAACTTTTAGGGGATTGCTGTGAGTGTAGCGTGGCTCCGCCTCCTATCTCTCGTTTGTTTGGAGTATCCTTTGTTTCATAGTAGCCTCTTGGTTTTTCGTCCTTCCCCCATCCCGGCATAGGCCTGTTTAGTCGATTGCGTTGTGTAATTAAACTTAATATATTAACGTGTAATCTTTTACGCGTTCACAGAAAAAAAAATAATATTAAGTGGATGCATAGGTGAGACGTTGGCAAGCATATTGCGGCCGACAGACAGTTGAAAGGTCGTGCATGGCGAAGAGAAGAGACTGTTGCTGGCTTGCTCGCTTGGCCAGCAGCACAGGGATCGAGCGAGTTATACCTATTCCATGCTCGCTACAGTTAGTACGAAACACTTGGCAATTAATCAATTAATCAGCAACTAGTACTCCACATGCATGCAGTTGAGTTACCTGAAATCGCGAAATGGCACAGCATCAGCATGGGCTCCCAAACCAAACCACCAAGCGATATCCAATAGGCGATGGATGGCATATGCCACATGCCACCGTCGCGCGTCGACAGCGCCACCACGCGATACGGCGCGGCGCGGTTGGCGGTGGCCTCCGACACCCAGACAAAAAGCCTCACCTCACCCTCACCCGCACACGCCGACACCCCGACGCGTTTTCCACTGGGTCCCATGGGCCATGGCCTCTCTCTATATACTCGGCCCATCCCCGCCTCCTCCTATTCCCACCTTCCACCTCCACTTCCTCCTCTCATCGAAGCTAGCTGATCTGCCATGGACGCTCTCTCCTGCCTGGCGCCGCACGCCGCGCTGCTGCCGTGCGCGGCCTTCACCGACGCCGACATCACGCGCGCGCTCCACTTCTCCTCCTCCATGCCCGACACCTCCTCCTCACCCTCCTCATCCTCCTCCGCGGCCTTCCTCGCCGACTTCTGCGGTGGTGGCGCCGGAGGAGGGTTCGTGGTGTCGGCGCCGCCACCGACGATGCCGGCGATCACCTGCGAGTCCGTTCTCGTGGCCGACAGCGCGCGCCCGTCGCCGGCCGGGCCTGCGCGGCGGCACCAGCAGCAGCAGCTGGGGCTGGGCCCCGCGGGTGGGCGCGCCGGGAAGCGGCGGTCGCGGGCGTCGAAGCGCGCGCCGACCACCTACATCAGCACCGACCCGGCCAACTTCCGCCTCATGGTGCAGCACGTCACCGGCGTCCAGGCCGACCCCGCCTCCCTCGCCGACGGCGCCGCCGGCATCCTTCCCACCACCACCACCACTGCGCCGTTCGACGCCTCCTCCGGCCTCCACATGCTCGACACCTTCGCCGCCGCCAACCCGCTGCTGCAAGCCGAGCAAGCGGCGGCGCTTCAGCAGCAGCCGTGCTTCCCCACGCTGGACTCGTCGTGGAGCGCCGTCATGTACGATGGCAGCGACCTCCTCTGAGCATTCCTTCATTCCCAGCTGCTGCTGCTGCACTGCAGTGCCAACACTAGTTAATTAGGACGCCGCCGCCGACGACGACGACATAGCTAGTAGATTTCTTGCTCTCGATCGCAGTGGCCGGCCTAGCTAGCTCTACATCGATCGATCAATCCACTACCATTTCTTACTTGATTAGTTTGTCGTTGGAGCCAAGATCGTATCGATGATGCTCGCTTGATCAGGTTAAGTTGTTGAGTTACTGTAGGGTGTTACTACTAGTATTATTGTACAGCTAGCGCATTATGCATGTCATGTCGTCGTCCGTCGGTCAAACGGAGTGTGGCTGCTATATATGCCCACATTTTATGCAGTAGTAGCTGTCTATAGCTGATCTCAGTTAATTTAATTTGTACTACGTGTATGTCAAAGCTAATTAGTCAGCAGTAAAACATCAGTTTCTCTCGCAATTAATCTGGTGAATTCTAGAATGCATGCTAACCATCGTACTACTTTCGTTTCATATTACAAAACTTTCTAGTATTATCAATATTTATATATATGTTAATAAATCTAGATATTTATATATGTCTAAATTTATTAATATCTATATAAATATAAATATAAGCAATCCTAACCTGAAACGGAGGAATCACATGCATAGACAACGACTTGCTCCGTGCTGGAGTAATTCATTGGCTCGCAAGACCTGCGTGTTGGAGGTAGTTGCAGCTAGCTTCCAAACCCACGATCTGGACATCATTTTGGATTTAAGCTATATATCTGCAGGTTAATTAATTATTATTAGTCGCAAGAATGAAAGATCGAGAGAGATCTGTTAAAGAATAAAATATACGGTAAACGAGCGTACTCAATTAATATTGCCGCCTTTTTGATAATTGAAATGAGCACGTCGTGGGTCGGTGGAATTGACCTGGTCGCACCATGGATGCTGCTGCTTCGTCATCGACAGACGGATCATGTATATGATCCGATCGAGTGGAGATGGAAGGCCGAGGGGTTTGGGCCAGGCCCATTCAGTCTCTTGCCGCCTGTACTAGGCTTTTCTCATCGATAATATATGTGGGCCCATACTAACTAAAAAGGAATTTTGCACTATTTATCACAAAACTTCATGTATTTTACACTATTTATCATAAAACTACAGATTTAAGAGCTTGTTTCACAAAATTATAGATTTAGTGTCTCTATTTATCACAAAACTATATGTATTTTGTACAATCTATCACAAAAGAACATATTTAAGAACTTGTTTCACAAAACTATAGATTTAGTGTATTTGTTTATCATAGAACTACACATTTAGTGTCTTGATTTATCACAAAACTACATATTTTGTGTCTCCATTATCACAAAACTACATGTTTTAACCTGTAGTTTTGTGATAATGAAGACAATAAACCTGTACTTTTGTGATAAATGAAGATATTAAATCTGTAGTTTTGTGAAACAAGTTCTTGAATCTGTACTTTTGTGATATATTGTGCAAAGTACCTGTAGTTTTGTAATAAACAAAGACACTGAATCTATAGTTTTGTGAAACAAGTTCTTAAATCTGCAAACTTTAATCAGCCTAAAAGTACAGATTTAACACCATATTTTTCATAAAATTGTAGATTATAGCATTGTATAAAAAAATGAAGATTAAACTCATTTCTGTTACAAAGCTACAACTTTTATAACTTTAATAGGGCTATGGTTATAAACTCTAATATCGGTAGTTCTTTCATAATTTCATCACTAAATATATAACTTTGGGATACGATTCCTTAAATATATATAGTTTTGCAATAGTTTGTTTGAAGTACTTGTACTTTTAAATTTACTCTTTTACCTCTCGCCGAACAACACGGCCCCGGCCCATGATAATTCCATCAAACGACCGCTTTACACCGGAATTGCTATTTAGTGCAGCAGAGTTCTTAACTCATTTTTTTTCCATTCATAAAAGTTTTCGTGTGAACATTTTTTGAACAAAAGTATTCGAGACGAAAGTTTAAAGAAAAAAGAATGCGCTGGGACCTGGGAGCCTGGAAACACAATCGCGCTAAATAGCAATCCCCTTCACACCGAGATGAAAAAGTCTGCACATTACCACTGAGAAGGCCCACAAATAGGAAGCCCAAAACCTTTTTGGGCTCCCGCCAATTTAGCCCATCGGCGAAGCTGTCTCCAGTCCACTTGACCACTTCCCAGAACTGATTTTATTTTCTGGGCGAAAAAGAAAAAAAAGAAAAAGAAAAAAGGTTCGCGTTTCTCTCTCTTGGGCAGCCATGGCGTCCCCGCGGCCGCCGCCGGCGAGCCTGCGGAGCTTCCTGGACGCGCACTTCGCCTCCCCCGAGGACCTCGCCTCCGCACCGGCGCTCGCTGAGCTCCTGCGCCGCGAGTGCGTGGGCCTGGATGCATCCCTCCGCCGCCTCGAGGCGCAGCTCGCGTCCGTATCCGCCTCCTGGCTCGCGCGCTCCGCCGGCGCTCGCGCATCTCTCCGCCGCATCCGCTCCCGAGGTTCGCTTCTCTGAACCCTAGTACGGTTTTTGTCCCCCTTTTGTTTCGTTCTGGATTTGTAGGGACGCTCACTGTTACAGTATTATTGCTTCGGGGATTCCGCTCGGGTTTCAACGGATTTTATCGGTGGTAGGCGGGGGATTCGGAGTGGAGGAGGATGATGGCGAGGAGACGCTGCGGAGCGCGGAGCTGCCGGCGCTTGTGCAGGAGATCCATCGGATCGACGCCATTCGACTCTATGCGGGTCAGCCTTCCTTCGTCTCTTCGTGCTTTCCTATTAACTTGAAAATTCCGATATTGGATAGTTACAGTGCTAACTTTTGCAAGTTAATTTGGATTATGGGGTCACTCCGATTTTAGAAAAAAAAAAGCTCTTAGAATTTCAGTGGTGTTTTACCTGCCAAATCAGTTCTGAGTTGGGCAATAGCAAGTTACGCTTGTGTCGAGTAACTGGAATGTCCCAATCTTGGACTAGTTACAATATTAAATTTGCAAATTAGTTTGGTAGATGTAGTTGTTACCTACTACCATATTAGCCTGTATGCTTGAGCATTGAGTAACTTATCTATGCATTGCAATATGGATCTCTTGATGAATTGTTTCTTCATACTTCACTAGACACTAAGTACTTCCCTGAAATAAGGCACTAGCTACAATAACCTGGCAATGCACTTCACGTGCCCACGGCCCACCCACCACTCAATCTCAAACTACTGTAACTTGATGATGTCAATGGAGAATATCTGTGTTAAACAAAGCTATTATCAACATCGAGTTTTTTTCTCAACAATTGTTACATAGAGTCAGGGGCGGAGGCAGCATTTTAGCTAGCTGAACCATATAGCTATAAATTTTTTGTGCAAATTCTACGTAAATTTCAGTGTTTCTCCATTGAAAATTTTTGCCACGTGTGGGGCCCAAGCCCAAGCTGCCCCACACGTGGCTCCGCCCCTGCATACAGTGCAATGTTGACCATGACCTTTAAACTGATTAACGCGGATTACCTGCCAGTGATCTCCATGGGAACATGCCATTTGCGCTAAAGAATTTGTTTGGTGCTGCAAATTATATTATGTCTCCTCCATCATATCCGGCATGATGTAGGAATTTGTAGTACCTTCTGTAACTTTTCTATGCTGACATTCCAGAAGCTGCTCTACAGTTGGAAGCTTTTGTTGGTAACCTAGAAGATGCAACGTTTTCCATCGTTAGACAGGCCTCAAAGTTGAACTTGTCCTCGGTATTTAGGCCAGCATCTAATGTGAGAAGCTGAGAAACCTTCTCTTTCCTTTTTCTTCCTTAATTGTTATTTTAGGTACAACCTACAATTATTGGTCATGCCGATATGACGTCTGTTAGCAGTATGTTTGTTTGATATGTTAATCACGCTTTTTTTTCTCTCTCCAAATGTAGGAAATGCAATGGAAGCAAGAAAAGTTGCTCCAGGCTGTTGATGCCATGAGGGATATTGAACTAGAGTTGCTACGGATCAGCACGAATAGGCCACAATGGACCAATCTTATCATGGCTGTTGATTCTAGAGTGGACAAAACCCTAGCAATTTTGAGACCTAAAGCACTAACAGATTATCGAGCTCTACTTGCAGCACTTGGCTGGCCACCTTCCTTGTCTTCACCAGATGCAGCAAATAATAAGTACTCGGAAATTCCAAACCCCCTCATCTTAATGAATGAGGCAAATAAAGAGAAGTATTCACAAAGTTTTCTAGCACTGTGTGCTCTGCAACATGCGCAAGCCAACTGTGAAGCGCGTCAATGCCAAGCGAAAGGAGCAAGTGCTAGCATGTCAGATTCAAAGTACTTTGATAAAACTGCTGCATGCTTTGATAATGGACTTTGGGCAATTGATGAGTTGGTTCAGCCTATTGCTTCCAGGTTGGAATATCATTTTGCTAAATGGTCTGAACAGCCGGAGTTCATTTTTGCCCTTGTTTACAAAATAGCAAGAGATTTTATGGGTGGTGTGGATGATATATTGCAGCCTTTGATTGATCGAGCAAGACTTGTGGGATTGAGTGCTAAAGAGTCTTGGGTAACTGGAATGGTGAAAATGCTTCTAGGTTACCTTGAGAGGCAAATTTTCCCAGTCCTTGTCACATCTTATCAGGCTACTGATGACAAATTTGAAGTACATTCCTCATGGATGCACTTGAATGACCTGATGATTACTTTTGATAAAAGAATGCAGTTGCTTGCAGATTCAGGAATACAGAAGATAGCTTCAATTTCTGAAGGCCTGTCCAGGTCCTTATCTGTCTTTTCCATATATAGCGAGCATTCTGATTGGCTTCACATGTGGGCTGGTGTAGAGCTTAATTCTGCACAACATAAGCTCAAATCTGAGATGGAGGATGAGATAAATTGGTCATATAGTATTAAAGAGCTTGGTCTACAAGAGATCACTAGTAATTTTCTTCTGTCTACAAGAGAAGATTACAAAGCTCCAACAATTTCTGAATTTGTGGTCAAAACTGCATCTGCTATGATTGAAAGAGGCCATGCTCTGCCAAATAGGGGATTAAGGATTCAGTATAACAGATCCTCTTCAGTCCAGTTCCTGAGTGATTTCTTTCTTGTCTTACGTGAACGATGTGAAGCCCTACAACTGACAAATACAGCTTTAGAAGATGATTCTTTACTAAAAGCTTCATTTGCAATTAATGCTGCTCGATATTGTGAATATGTTCTTCGGGAATGGGATGACGACATAGTTTTCCTGGAGATGGGTGCCCATAGGAAACATGTTGATGAAGGCCAGGGACAAGGCCACAAACACAGTGCCCAACATCCATGTTCTTTCTTTGGCGATGAAATCGCCTTCTTGGCTAAATTGGGGACCGATTATCTGGAACAGATTATGTCTTCCGTTCTGCTCGAGTTTGAAGATCTATCCTGGGACTATGTCCAAAACATTGGATTGCCCAATGAGCAGATCCATCCAGTTGATGAGGTCCTGGATGAAGAAAATCTCGGAGTATCTCCTGGATTTGTTGCCTCTCTAGAAGTTGTGAGAGACAGAACCACCAAACTGATGCTACATCTTAATTCGAAGGATTTCCTTGATCTGTGGAGGAGTATAGCAGAAGGCCTCGACTACTTCATCTACAGCAGCATACGATGGGGGGAGTTGACATTCTCTGACCAAGGAGTTGTACAGCTAAGAGTCGATACGAAGGCCCTTCTCCACATCTTTAGGCCCTTCTGTTTAAGACCTGAAGCCTTTTTTCCATTCATAAGTGATTCCCTGAGGCTGTTAGCCATGAGAAAGACAGATGCACGATACCTGTTGGAAGTGCTCAAGAATGCCAAGGAGAATGACAGTTGCCTGAGGCAACAAGGACTGCAACATGTAAATGCAAGCCAAGCTATGAAAATCTTAGGTAGCAAAAGGTCTGATGGATAATCTTCTTACCTTAGCGTAGAAGACCTGCTGGAGATGATCAGAATATGATTTTGCCTATGCTGGGCTGCTCTATGTCACTATGATGACGGCAATCTTCTGCCTGTCCTCCTTCCAGGAAACATCTCTTCTGAGAAGTTTAACACGTGGTTAGTGGTTACCGGCTGCAATTCCAGGCCCACTCCAAGGATAATGCGCCTGTTGGAACGCAGGATAGCAAAACAGTTTGCGTTTCAAGATTGAAGAGACTTATCTGGTGTTCGCAGCAGCTTCGCGTTGAAACTAGTTTTGGCATGTACTACATTCTCTCCAGGGTGATGAGACCTGCGAGTCTTGGACGACAAATTGGAGATGGCCGCTTTGCAACGCAAAAGTCCGCCGCCGCCGCCCCCTGTTTATCGCTTCTTTGACCGGCTCGATCGTAATCAACCCAAACACATCATGTTGCATGCAAAGCTAGCAGATGTAACAACAAAATATTCAAGATCTCGTCTGCCTCAAATTCTCTGAGTAATATAGTCAATGTTCACCGTCTCGCAGACTATGATTATGTCGCATATCTCATGTATGCCGTGTTAATCCTGATCCGTACCTTGAAAAAAAAGATTATAATCTTAATCTTGATCTACCTGGTCACCAGTTGCATGTACATAAATAAAACCGCCAGATCGCTCTCCTTTGACTCCAATTGTTTGACGCAGCGAAGATACGAGGATCCGAGCGTACAGTGCTTGCAGATGCCAATCTATGACACCCATTAAAACTCATTCTAGTTTGACTAAAAATTTGTTTCTATGTTTTTGGTTTCTTCCCAGTTCGACTAAAAAATGTTTTTATGTTTTTGGTTCCATTCCAGTTCGACTAAAAATTTGTTTTATGTTTTTGGTTACTCCTACTTGGAGGAGAGGCCAACACAAAAGAAAAGGTTGTTTTTATGTTTTTGGTTACTCCTGCTTGGAGGATAGACCAACATAAAAGAAAGAAAATGTCAATTAGAAATAATATTTGCTGATCAGGTCAAGAAAGATGAGCAGGAGCTCATGTTGATGCACATGCATCTGACTTTGAGCTTGCAAAAATGTAGTTTCTTCTTTCTCTCGAACACAGAAATGCAGACTATTGATAATATATTTTATTGAACCTTGTGAGATCCATGCCCTGAATCCTGCATTCTACGGTCAAAGCCCAACAATCTGTAGAAGATGTGAGCCAGTATCTATCAGTTTGAATGTGTCAAAACTGAAAAGCAATAATCCTGTCTTGGTAAAACTAACTGCAGGACAGGAGCTATTTTGTGCTAGTTACCGGCTACAAGCAGACAGATCTTCAACAACTGAAAATGATGTGATAGTGCACATTACTAACCTTTTTCACACTAATGTGGATAGCTACTAGAGGACTACTGATTGTTCTGTTCTTGTCCTTTGTGAGCACTAGTTTGAGCTGTTACTGAATCACACCTTTTGTTTCTTCCAGCACTGTACTCTGCAGTTGACAAAGTAGCAAATTTTGCCACCTGTTTCAGTGTTAGTGCTGTATGATGCTACTAGTAGCTGCTAAGCAATAAAGTTTCTCTCCGAAACCAAAGAAACTATCTTTTTCTGCCAACATATGTATTTTTTTTCTTCTACCCAACATGTTCAAAGTTAGAAGCTGTCAAAGACTTGCACCTAATGCAGTTCCCATTATGAACCATTAGTTTTATTAATGGTGAATGCCTTGCCTGCATCAAATTAATTGATGGTGTTTAATTAACAGGGAAGGCTACATCTAATTAGAGGTAATTAATTTATCAGCACTTTGGTTGACTGACAAAACTGGAGGAAGCCTCCAAGTAGGCATCTAGTACTAGACATGTACTCGTAGTCAGTCAACTGACAGTTTGATCAGTCATCTCTATCCCTTGAATTCTTTGCCTTCCTGTCCATATATTCTTCCATGCCTCCCATCACAACCTAAGACCATACTCCATTTTGGAGTTCGCAGCAACTGCTCATCTGGGATTGCAGTTGCAGGTGATCAAGGATTAAGAGGTTCATCCAAAATGGGGAACTGCATGGGCTCATCCAAGTGCGCCAGTGCATCGGCTCCACTTGAATCAAGTAAGATGCTACTCTGATATATACATCATATTTCTGTTCGTGGTTTGATTAGCCAAGAAACATGATGAGGAAGAAGCAATCAAATAGACAATTAGCAGTATCCATGCTGATCTATGTAATATGGTTTGAAAATTATTCAGAGGTTACGAGAAGCAGCAACTCGACGACGACGACGGACAACACCTCCAAGGCATCGCAGCGCAGCTCGTCGGCGTTCTCGTCGGGGCAGTTCTCGCGAGCCAGCTCCGACGAGTCGTCGGCGGCGCCGTCGCTGTCGTCCCTCAAGTCGTTCAACATGGGCGACCTCCGCGCGGCGACCAAGAACTTCGGTTCCAACTCGTTCCTGGGAGAGGGCGGGTTCGGGTGCGTGTACAAGGGTTGGATCGACGAGCTCACCCTCGCCCCTACCAAGCCCGGCGTCGGCAAGATGGTCGCCATCAAGAAGCTCAAGAAGGAGAGCTTCCAGGGTCACAAGGAGTGGCTGGTAATTAATTAATTAACTAACTACACTTACTAATCATTTCAACTTTTCATTGATTAATTAACCTTCGATCACTTGCAGGCAGAGGTGACCTACTTGGGGCAGCTCCACCATGAGAACCTGGTGAAGCTGGTGGGCTACTGCTCGGATTCCGACAGCAACAAGCTGCTCGTCTACGAGTACATGCTCAGAGGCAGCCTCGAGAACCACCTCTTCAGAAGTGAGTAGTATATAGTACACTGTACACTGATCAAATCGAATCGATTCTTCAATTCAGAAGTGAATGTAATGGATGTTGCATACTGTATGATGCATGCAGGAGGGACGCAGCCGCTGTCGTGGGCGATGCGGGTGAACATCGCGGTGGACGTGGCGAGGGGGCTGTCCTTCTTGCACGGGCTGGAGAACCCCATCATCTTCCGGGACCTCAAGTCGTCCAACGTCCTCCTCGCCGGCGACTACCGGGCCAAGCTGTCGGACTTCGGGCTGGCGCGGAACGGGCCCACCGGCGACAAGAGCCACGTGTCCACCCGCGTCGTCGGCACCAGGGGCTACGCCGCGCCGGAGTACGTCGCCACGGGCCACCTCTCCGTCAAGAGCGACGTCTACAGCTTCGGCGTCGTGCTGCTCGAGCTCCTCACGGGGCGCCGCGCGCTCGACGCCGCCCGCGGCGCCACCGCCGAGATGCTCGTCGACTGGGCGAGGCCCCACCTCGGCGATCGCCGGAAGGTCAACCGCATCATGGACACCAGGCTCGGCGGCCAGTATCCCAAGAAGCAGGCGCAGGACATGGCGGCGCTCGCGCTCCGCTGCCTCCACCACGACCCCAAGCTCCGCCCCGCCATGCCCGACGACGTGCTGCCGCAGCTGCGCCTGCTGCAGCAGAACACCAAGCCATCCTCCTCGTCGACCTCGGCGCCGGCGCACAGGTCGAGGCCATTCCAAGCGCTAGCGAGCTAGCTAGCTAGGCGTCTTGTTAATTAATTACTTCGTCATCTCTCAATTACTCCAGTATTATTTGTTTGTCAATTTCATGCTAGCATAGTAGCATGTGGTGTCTATACAGACAAAAGAATCGATGAACATCTAGCTACCTAGTTTGTAATTAGTTAGGTAGGAGATATATATCATTGCTGTGTGAAAATTGTGAATTATATATTGCTAGCTGCAAATTAAGTAGATAATATTATTATAGCTAGGTTCAGAAATTCCATGCATTTGTGTGCATCATCAGTATAGAGACGATTGAGGATTTGTGATTTGTTTTGACACTATGTTCTTGCTTTCATTTCCTTTTACCATCAAATGAAGGCTTTGTTTGCTCATGCCAATCTGTTGAACTTCAATTGATTAATTACGGACGCTGTTAGAGTTTTTATCGAATATGTGTACAGAGTCGGTTATAGTTCAGTAATTGGAGTTGTACTAGGTATATGAATAGAGTAAGAGTCAGAATCTATCCTATAATCTCTTTTAAATAGAGAGACGGACCTGTTGTAACCTCATATCGACTTAGCATAACGAGAGAGAATAGCTGCCGGTGACGGCCGGCTGTGAGCCGTTGTAACTTGTAACTTTGATAAGCGCTATAATATGCTGGATCGGGGAGGAGCGCCTGTAATCAGTACCCCGAAGATATAGGCTTCGGCTGAACCTCGTTAACAAATATCATATCTCGGTATCGTTATTGTGTTTAGATATCCTATGATGTTTCTTCCGTGTTTGGTGAGCCGGTTTTATAACAGACGCTTCTCCTTCATATGTGGAGTAATTAGCAGCTTCAAAATGGTTCAGTCAGCGCTCAAGACGTGCACGCTACACACAATTAGCCTAGTCATACAGCATAAATCAGACGACAATCAGTAATAATATTCGGATTTGCTGCCTCACTTTTAACCGTGCCTAATTTCGCATCTTCGCGCTTTCAGAAAGCAAGAACTGATTAACACCACTATTACGATATCTGTCTAACTTTGTTAAACTGGTCATGATCTCGCATATATATAGATGGTATCCACACACTTTATACTTTCAAAGGACAGTACGTATTCACACACTCAAGTTTCAAAAGATAGTATTCACACACGAACTTGGTGATATATTGACTATTTGACTAGAGTCATCCATTTCATCATGATTGCGCGCCGTATGTTGACTAAAATGACAATCACTTCCTGCAATAACATACACCCTTCATCCTAAAAATAATTAACTTTTAGAAATATATTTGAACGTTGTCTATAGAAGTTGTTTTTTTTTTTGACATATGGAATACGAAGCTTCTTTTGTAGATCAAAAGAGGATCCGCTTCTTTTTTTTCCCCTAGACAATATGGCATAGCGAAGAGGTAGAGAGTTAATTCAGTGCATTATAAGGAAAAAAGACAGTTAATTTAAATCGGCGACTCTGTTAGGGCATCATTACGAGTAATAAATATAATGTTCAGTGAACAAGACCACTGAACTTAACTCTGTATGATCACTGAAAGGAGGACAATTGATCTTGAGTAGAGATTCGATCAATTTAGGCCCAATGGATTACAGAGAGGCCTAATTGCAAAAACGAGCCCATTAGGCAGTTTGCATAGACGGACTGGGCTTTGCATTTTCGCCGGGCCTATTGGGCTTTTCTTAGGCCATCATGGACTGGCCCACGGAATCACTCCCGTCACTCCTCGAGTCCGGCGGCAGCGGCGCCGGCGCTGGCGACGGCCACGGCGAGGCGTATCGGTATTGGGGAGCGGCGGCTAGAGAGAAGGTGGTGGCGAGATGCGGCTTGGCCACCTACTCGGCGTCCGCCACCGTGGCGGTCATGCCCAAGAACAAGGCCTAGGGAAGCAACTGCGGCGACCGGCAGTGCCGCGGCGGCGGCAGCGAGCCGTATCGGGGACGCCACGGCTTGAGAGGCGGTGGCGGTGAGATGGTGAGGTTGGCCGGCTGCTCCCCACCCGCCATCGTGGCGGACATTCCAGTATAGGTACGGCAAACCTATGCACAAACAAATAGGCAACTATCTTGAATCAGATTCAGACTGATTTCCTTCAGAATTAAGCCAAGCAATCAAGCACCATTGATTTTTCTTCTTGTTTTCTCCGACTCTGAGAATAGTTTTTCGTGCGCCATCTTATCGAGGAAAATGACGGCACCTGGTTTTGCTTCCCCGCGACGTGCAGCAGTGGATGGAGAAGTAAGCTTCAAACAGAATGCTGATGACGTCCCTATCGGTTCTTATCTCAGTTCCTCCCCTTCTCCTTCTTGCCTAGCTTTGCTTCCACTCATGCAACTGCTTTTGCACAACTTGATGATGCATGCCTCGATCGTCTATCTCATCTTGTAGTGCGTTTCGGCCTTTCAGGCATATATATGGACCGTGCATTGAGTTGGTGTGAGCTGCGAGCTCATTGAGCACAATGGCAGTGCAGAGAACAGATGCTGCCTCTTGGCTCCGTGAGCTGGTTCTTGTTTACGCCATGTGCTGGACAGTCTCACTGGGTTTTGTTGCGGGTCAAACCGGGCAGTTGAATGTCGATGCCTCGCCGCAGAATGCAAGGAAGATCCCTGATAAGATGTTCGGTATATTTTTCGAGGTGAGACTGAATCTGGATATTGGTATCTGTTTAGAACAACATTTGTTTTCTCACTCAAAAAGAAAATAGAACAAGCATTTTTGTTCTAACCGGTATACGAACTAAAAGGGACAATTACTTGTATAAACTTGGTGCCAGCACAAACATTTTTCCTAGTTGTAGACCATATTGTTCAGATAGCATTTCTAGTTATTTACTGAATCTCATACAATTAAAGTATGCACTGTTTGGAACACAGTTATTTTCTCCTGATTTGCAACATTTTCCTATATATAGTACCTGCATATCAAATGAGGTTGCTTCGACTTCTATTCCATGCTGGGAGCTTGAATATATTTGTGGTTCTACTTGTAGGAGATCAACCATGCTGGGGCTGGTGGGTTGTGGGCAGAGCTTGTAAGTAACAGAGGTAAGGCAAAGCATATCTGTGTTAATCAAGATGATAGAAGTTATAGAGGAGCTTGTAAGATGATAGGAGGAACAGCGGTGGTTGGGATATCGTACTTTTGCTTAATGTTTGTAGTGCTCAAATTTATTTCCAGGTTTTGAGGCTGGTGGACCTAATACACCTTCAAACATTGACCCATGGCTGATAATTGGGAACGAATCAAGTATCATTGTTGGGACTGATAGGACATCCTGTTTTGAGAAAAATCCGGTGGCACTTCGGATGGAAGTTCTTTGTGATTCTAAAGGAACCAATAACTGCCCTTCTGGAGGTGTAGGAGTCTACAATCCTGGTTATTGGGGCATGGTATGATGTGTTTCTTATTTATTTATCTGTCCGTCTACAATTTTTTTTGAAGTTTCCGTAATCTTATTTGACAGTTTAAATTTGATCTGGCGTGTATTTAACTGATTAAACATCATGGAATACACTATATAGTATTTCTTCACATTTTCCAGAATATTGAAAGAAGAAGGGTTTATAAGGTGGGCCTGCACATTAGATCTTCAGATGCAGTATCCTTAACTGTTTCCTTGACAAGCTCCGATGGTCTGCAGAAACTGGCCTCTCACACCATAACGTAATATTTATGTTTCCATTAATATCGCTGGGATGCTGCATTTTTTTCCCTAATAATTGCTTGAATTTCCATGTTGCTTCCAGGGCTAGCAAGAAACAGTTTGCTAAATGGACAAAGATAGAGTTTCATCTGAAATCTAGCCAAACCAATACTAATTCAAGGCTCCAGCTTACAACCAGCAAAAGTGGGGTGATTTGGCTCGACCAGGTGTCAGTTATGCCATCGGATACCTACATGGTATACTTTATTCATGTCTCATTTTATTTCTTTTGGTGTACCATTATCTTTACTTATTTCGTGCTTCAGCTGCACAGTTTTGCAGACTATTCATCAGTAAACGCCAGTAGACAACTATGATTTTTTTAAGAGCAAACCCATCACTATACTGGATGGCCCATATCCTATAAGGGAAATTCCTTTTTTGCCGGGTCTATAAGGGAAATTCCTACTGAGTTGCCATCAGATTTACAGGTGTTTTATACTTATCAGTTCCCACCTTTTATTCATTGTTATGTTTTCATTTTAGGGACACGGTTTTAGGAAAGATCTCGCTTCTATGTTGGCCAATTTAAAACCTCAATTTCTTAAGTTTCCAGGTTTGCCAACTTTACATCATATATTTTTTTTCTGAAGTTAGGTATATCAATATTATCATATAGTTTTGATAATATGTATCAAACTTAGGTGGTAACTATGCCATGGGAAATTATCTGCGAAATGCATTTCGATGGAGTGAAACTGTGGGTCCATGGGAGGAAAGACCCGGTCACTTCAATGATGCCTGGGGATACTGGACTGATGATGGACTTGGATTCTTTGAGTTCCTTCAGGTAATTGGAACGTAGTCCATGACTTCAAAACTAATATTTATTAAAATATACTTCATAAGTTCATATTGATATTCATATACTGCAGCTAGCTGAAGACCTCGGTGCTTCGCCAGTATGGGTGGTCAATGATGGTAGTTCAAATCTCCATGGATTATTAGGTACAACTAACACTCTGTTTCATGTTGTGTCAATAAACTATTTTCAACATTGCAGGAGCAAGCCAAAATGAAGAGGTATCTACTGCAACAATTGCATCATTAGTGAAGGTTTGTTCTTCCAAAATATTCAATCCTTTGATAAAACGATCAATCTAGTACATCAATACCTTGTTCCCCATTTCCTTCGTTCTTGTAATGTTCAGGACGTGGTTGATGGCATCGAGTTTGCCAGGGGAGGGCCCAAGACTACATGGGGTTCAGTTCGTGCAGCGATGGGTCATCCACAACCCTTTAACCTTGACTATGTTTCAATAGGGAATCAAGAATGCTGGATGCTCTATTACAGAGGTCTGTAGCTCTTCAGTTGCACGTCCTTCCTAACTTCATACCAAGAATTGATGTTTGAACTTAATGCATCATATTCCTGTACTTCATGTTGGAAATTTTTGTTAATCGAATAATGTCATGTTTGTGCTTGCAGATGATAGACCAAGAGTTTCCTTTTCCTTCTTATACATCAATTTTTAATAGCGTTTTAGTCCTCTATAAGATAATTTGTAAAATAATTTCATCTACCTTTATATCTTGTGGGTAAGCAGGGAGAGCTCATATTATATGATCTTTCAATTAACAGGCAATTACCAAAAATTCTATTCCGCGATTAAAGCTGCCTATCCAGACATCAACGTCGTGTCAAGTTGTGATAAATCCACTATTTCTCCGTCCAACCCTGCCGATCTATATGATGTTCATGTAATGTCTATTCATTATGTTCCTTTCCTTGTTTGTTTTCACAATTTCGTGTTTTTTCCAAATTATGGTTTCGTTTATGGCTGACAAAAACATCATCTATACCACAGGTTTATACCTCATCTAGTGATATGTTTTCCAGAACTAGTATGTTTGACAATACGACGCGCAGTGGACCGAAGGTATGCTCAAATGTTATCCCTACATCTGATATACATAGATACTTCCACTTTCCATGCTCAGAAATTGACTTGGGGAGCTCTATGACTCTTTAGGCAATTGTAAGTGAGTACGCTGTGACTGGAAAGGATGCTGGCAAAGGAACACTGGTAGAAGCACTAGCAGAGGCAGCATTTCTCGTTGGATTAGAAAGAAACAGGTTAATAATCATACTTTTTTTAGAGGAATATTTATACTTTTATTTTCTCTCCATCATGGATTTCTGCTGTGTAAGCTCTGCCATAAATTGGTCCATGATACCAAAGATTTGAAACTGCTTGAAGATTAAAGCTTTGGGCATCAAAGGGCAGTGTGAACGAACATGCTTCCCCTTCAGGCTACCATGTCTGGGCTTTCTGCATCACTGGTTGATTGCATTGCAAAGATAAACATTCCGTACCTTGTTTTCCTGCAGCGACGTGGTAGAGATGGCAAGCTGTGCACCGCTCTTTGTAAATGACAATGATCGCAGGTAAGGATCCAACAACTCAGGAATTCTTATTTTTCAGATTGCTTTCTTTGTGTCATATCTGACTGAGTTCACAACCCTCAAAAATAAAATGAAATGATGCATACCATAGATGGAGTCCAGACGCAATTGTGTTCAACTCATGGCAGAACTATGGATGCCCAAACTACTGGATGCTACATTTCTTCAAAGATTCATGCGGCGCAACGTTCCACCCATCAAACATTCAGATTTCCAGCTACAACCAGCTGGTTGCATCTGCCATCACTTGGCAGAATAGCAAAGACAAGAGCACTTACCTGAAAATAAAGGTGCGAACTTTGTTAAGCTGCTCTTTGTTTCAGAGAGAGTGAGCTATGCATTGGTTTAGCTTGGAAATGACCAAGTGAGCACAAAGCGAAACTTTTTTTTTTTTTGCAGCTAGTGAACTTTGGCAACCAAGCTGTGAATCTCAGCATATCTGTGTCTGGGCTGGATGAGGGCATCAAGAGCTCAGGGTCGAAGAAGACCGTGCTTACTTCCAGCGGGCCGCTTGATGAGAACTCATTCCAGCAGCCACAAAAGGTTAGTACACTACACACTGACTGACAGCTGATCATGTATCCTATCCTGTAAATTAAACAAAACAGATGGTAGTAACTATATTGAATGTGTACGAAATTGTTGTAGGTGGCGCCAGTGTCGAGCCCGGTGGACAACGCGAATGAGCAGATGGGCGTGTTGGTGGATCCATACTCCCTCACGTCGTTCGACCTGCTGCTGCAACCGAGCAAGCACTCGACCATATGAAAGGAGATATATACTGTAGTAGTAATAGTCTTAAGAATATTTATTAGCCTGCAAAAAGAGGGGAAAAGAGAATAAAGGAATGTTGATGGGGGGCTTGATTGCTCAGGCTAACTGCATTGCATGGAACATAATATGCCCATCAATATTCTTATTCGATTCAGCCCAAGAATAGAGAGATTTACCAGGTGAGGGTGAGTCATCCGACTCAAGAATTGTTGTTTCAATGAAATTCAGATTAGCTGACGTTGCACCGCATCTGGGATCTTGGCTGGCACACAGCATATGTAAGTATGTACATACGTGCATACCATCACCACCTGCTAGTGCTAGGAAGCTTCCTAAATTCCTTACAGTGGCAATTTCCTTGGCTTATTAGGTCGCATAAAGCTATAACATAATGGTATATTACTTGTCAATTGTATTGCTATGCAATTTTCAGATGTTTGGTGTATATATAGCTGTATACGCGTCACCTAAAGTGCACTTATTGTATTGTTCGATCGAGACACCCATATAGTTCAGGCTATTTAACTTACTGAAGGCGAAATCTCCTGGAAAATACATCATCTTAGCTTGCAATGCAGTGCGTTGATTGATTGAACTACCGATAGCTAACCAGGCTGCTGATCGGCGACCGCTGACAAAAATATGCTTAATTAATTCCCTTGTGGCTGACATGATAGATGACGTATAAATTAATGACCTGCAGAAATGCTTAAGATTAATTAACGGCAAATTGTATATGCTTAACCTCCACAGTTGACTGCTCCAATTAAAATTCAGACGTGCGCGCATCTGAGTTTACTCAAGTTTTTCACATCATCGTGCTAAGCATGACGTCATGTTCTGATGTGCATGCTGCAGATGCCTAAAAATCAATGCATTTGAGATCGATTCATGTGACCTGAAAAAAATCAAGCTACTCCATCCGTTTCACAATGTAAGTCATTCTAGCATTTCTTATATTTATATTGATGCTAATGAATCTAAACATAGCATCAATATAAATGTGGGAAATATATGTCTAGATTCATTAGCATCAATATAAATGTGGAAGATGCTAGAATAATTTACATTGTGAAACGGAGGAAGTAACATGCTAAAATGGAGTTAAACAGCCCGGCGAAAAAAATGGAGTTAAACAAGCTAGCTAGCTGCAGGTCAAGGCAGTTGTGTTAGCCTATATTGATTCCCAAACAATTCGCGTCTTCAATTTCCTCGTACCTACGGGCGATCATCATCTTGTTCTCTTGTATTGCAAAGCTAAGAGAGAGAAAATAATCTGTCAATGGTTAAATAAAACCTGCCATAGTTGCATGTATCACGCGACCTGAAGCCTCTACTTGCACTTCTCAATTCTCAGCGTCTGACCATCTGATCAGTAACTTATGAAAAATATCCGCTCTGTTCATAAATGTAAAGGGATGATGTTGGTGGTACTTTCAAATGTAAGGGGTGATGTATTCCCTCCTTACAGAAAAAAAATCCAATCATGAGTGATGTGTCCAGATCCAAACTCAACATTGAGTTTTTCTTTTACATATATCTAGATTTAAATTTAGAATTGGGTTTCTTTTTGGAAGAAAGGGAGTAGTATTTGACAGGAATATGATAAAAAAATGAAATGCCAAGATATTGAATGGACAAAAGAGAAGAGGTGATGTGATACATTTTTTCTACTCAATATTTTAAAATCTTTTAAATTTATGGATAAATGAAAGAATTAAAATCCTTATACTTCACCCGTTTAAAAATATAACAACTCCTAACATTTAATGTTTGTCCCAAAATATGACAATTTCTTCATAAATATTTTCTGTCTCAACCAATTATAATCTTCCACCATTCAATTTTCTTATCTACCTTCACTTCTCAACTAATCATAATATTCTTCTATTTAATTTTATCTACTTGCTTAATACTCATATTTAATTTAAAAATATTCTTATATTCTGTGATGGAGGGAGTATATTTTTAACGGAGGAACAAATGGCTGGACGATCGGATCTAAGTACGGACAGCTAAAAGTTGATGTCAGTGCATCATTAACCATTCTTCTGTTCAACTTAAACATATTCAATTCCTTGATTAAATTCTGCGGGCAAGAGAGAGGAGTCGTTTGCTGCAAAAACAAAACCAAACAAAACAGCTACGGGCCCCTGTCTCTTCCCCTGTCGTCTCCACCTCTCACTCTCTCCTCTCCACTGTTCCGGCCTCCTCTCCTCCATCCTCCCTCTCCCATTCTACCAGTTCTTCTGTTCTTGAATGCTCCGGACTCCATAGATCACCCTTCTTCTCCCAAAGGTATGTCCAGTTCTTCAGCATTAGTTCCTGTTCCTTCTACCTCTATTAGTTACGCCACTCGCCGGAGGAGAGGAATGCTGTTTCTCATTCCAGATGCAAGGGAATTCCATTTGGCTCCTGACTGCGATTAACTATGTCTCCAGCTGCTTGCATGTGCAGCATTCTTTCGGTATTTCGTTCCATTCTGTCAAGGAATACATGGAAAGATAAAAGGACTCGATTTTGACCTATTTCAAGGGTTCGAATATGGCTTGTTTTGATTGAACATGGCTCTGTGTTTTCTTCCTAATACATGAACAATGAACATGATGTTTTATTATTTGTTAGCTAGTGCCTTCAGATTTTGGTTTCTTTTTTTAAACCGGCGTCTACATCCTGAAATGGATGTACACAGCCAATACTTTGGTTTCTTGTTTTGCTGGTTATATTAGGTCGATTCCATCAGCGTTTAATTTCTGCACTTCTGCAAATTTTTAGGAGATTCTAGGGACTAAAAGCTTGCACCTTGCAGATTAGCTTACAGTTAGATTTTTCTTTCATACTATTTGATACAATCTCAGTTGGAATTTTCATTTGCAATGAAATTTCGTATTTCTACTGCAATGGATTATTGTTTTCTCCTTTTGATTAATAGCTTTCCATTCAGATTCAACATAATGCAATATCTTCTGTTTTTCTATGTGCTGACCATCAAATGGTCAAGCTTTATGAAAATAAATCTTGTAATATTCCCTGTCAGATTCAGTTGAAGTCTAGTTTGAAGGAAGGATTTTTTTTTTTTGACTGAGGAAAGAATTTTTTTTTTCTGGAAGATGTATAAGGCTAAAAGGACTGCTGCCCAGAAAGTAAGGCGCTGCCTTGGAAAATATGAGCTTGGACGCGCAATTGGTCAAGGAACTTTTGCAAAGGTTAGGTTTGCAAAGAACATGGAGACCGGTGATCATGTTGCTATTAAGATCCTTGACAAAGCGAAGGTTCAGAAGCACAGATTAGTCGAACAGGTTATTTTCAGAGTCAGATAATTACTCACAATATTTTGTTCTACTTTCCTAGATTTTTTGCAACAACGAAAATAGCCAAAAGTATCTAGAAAAAAAATATTCCTGTGTACGCGCCAGCTGTGCTCATGCCACTCTAAAGTCTAAACTCTATTGCAGATTAGACGGGAAATTTGTACAATGAAGTTGATACAACACCCCAATGTTGTTCACCTGCATGAGGTAAATCTAAAGCATGAGAGACAAGAATATATCTTTCATTATTACCATGTTGCTAGTTTGAAACTTTGTGCAGTAGTACACCCAAGCCTTCTGTTTATGATAACTTGGATTACTTTTGTGGTGTTTTATAACAGGTGATGGGAAGTAAAACAAGGATTTTCATTGTTCTAGAATATGTGATGGGAGGAGAGCTCCATGATATTATTGTTAGTACTATTATACCTCTGAGGCTCTGATCCCCTGTATGACATTTTTCCTTTGCAGTAGCTGTAATTGAAGTAATCTCCACTTACTTTTTTTTTTGCATGACAATTAAGTGAATTTCAATAACTTCATAAATTATAACCAGGCCACAAGTGGAAGGTTGAAGGAGGATGAAGCACGGAAATACTTTCAGCAACTGATCAACGCCGTAGATTACTGCCACAGTAGGGGTGTATACCACAGAGACCTGAAGGTCTAGTGTTAACCCCATTGCTCTGGTTTATAAGTTATAACTATGATCTGGCATAAACAATTGGAAATTGACAAATTGATGTTTTATGCATGACAGTTAGAGAATTTGTTGCTTGATACTGCCGGGAACATCAAAGTCTCGGACTTTGGCCTAAGTGCTATATCTGAGCAAGTGAAGGTAATATCACACAACTACTCGAAAGTTAAAAAAAAAAGGTTCCTGCACATCTATATTGTTTCTATGTCGATTGATTGCCTTTTTTACTGTGTGTGTGTGTCAATTAACTTCAACTCTGTCAGGCTGATGGATTACTACATACTACATGTGGAACACCTAATTATGTTGCTCCTGAGGTAACATTTGCTTGTACAACTTCTCTTATTTTTCTTTATCCAGAAATGAGTTTCTCCTATAATAAATATCTTTCTGTTTTGTAGGTTATTGAAGATAAGGGCTACGATGGTGCTCTTGCAGACCTTTGGTCATGTGGAGTAATTCTTTTTGTGCTGCTTGCAGGATATCTTCCTTTTGAGGATGAAAATATTGTCTCCCTTTATAACAAGGTAAATTTAGAAATTTAACCAAATCTTGAACACCAATATACCAGGTTATGATACATTTTTTTTTGTCATTCTGATGACAGATTTCTGGAGCTCAGTTTACTTGTCCCTCTTGGTTTTCTGCTGAAGCTAAGAGGCTCATTGCTAGAATTCTGGATCCAAATCCTGCTACTGTAAGTTTTTTGACACTTACAAAATGTGGATAGAAGCTCTTACAGAAGTGACATTTTGAAGTTTGTTTAAACTTTAAATCTTTTATTTTTTATCACTGATTGTACTGACTAGATAAAGTTGCAATTTGGATCAGTAATCAGTGCCCAAAATTACTTGTTTCTTCTTACTTGGTTTTCTTTGTTGCCAACCAGCGGATAACTACTTCTCAAGTGCTACAAGATCAATGGTTCAAAAAAGGCTATGAGTCCCCTGTTTTCGATGACAAATATTACCCTTATTTCCACGATGTTTATGATGCTTTTGGAGACTCAGAAGTGAGTTAATTAATCAATAGTATTATATCTACAAGGGTACTTATCCTTTTGTGCTTCAGATGTTCATAATCTTAAATATACCGTCTAATAAATTTGCCAGGAAAAACATGTGAAAGAGGCTATGGAAGAGCAGCCAACCTTGATGAATGCCTTTGAGTTGATTTCACTAAATAAGGGTCTGAATCTAGACAATTTTTTTGAGTCTGATAAGGTAAGGATCTTTTCTGATTGCAGCAGTATGGTTAATGAGCCAGTGGGCAGTGGGATCAAATATGCACGTATCATAAACATTTTTCATAAATTACTTCAGAAACTATGCAATTATTGCAGTGGACTCACTTTTTTATTTAAACATGACAGAAGTACAAGAGAGAGACAAGATTTACATCGCAGTGCCCTCCGAAAGAAATCATCAATAGGATCGAAGAAGCTGCTAACTTACTAGGATTTAATATTCAGAAGAGAAACTACAGGGTATGCTAAGAATCCTTGCAAGTAATGTTTGTCTTACTAGTACCACTTTCAGCTCATTTGTACAAACTATGAAGAAGTTGAATATCACAATGTGAGATTACCTTTATCACCCCTGCGCTGCGTCCTGAACCATGACAAGCATCTCACTCGTTTTTTTCTACTGTTCTATTTAGATGAGAATGGAGAATATAAAGGAAGGAAGAAAAGGACATCTAAACATTGCAACTGAGGTATAGAAAACACAAAATTAAAGAAGATATCTGTCACAAGAAACATGAGGATTGATCAAAATATTATCCCGCTGTATAGGTTTTCCAAGTGGCACCATCCTTACATGTGGTTGAGCTCAAAAAGGCCAAGGGAGATACCCTGGAGTTTCAAAAGGTATATGTCTATCAATGGGGTTACTCTTATTATGGTCAATTGATCACCTTCAGTTTTGTTTAAATGACAAAGTAACTGAGCAAAATTATTACTATGAACAGTTCTACCAAACGCTCTCGACGCAACTAAAAGATGTTGTTTGGGAATTAGAAGATGCGGCTGAGGATATGAGCTAAGCGGAATGAGGTTTGCTGCAGAATAGATTTCAGAGTTTAGTGCTAGATTTCTCTGTACATATCAAAATTTCCGAGTTGCAGTAAATCCTTTTGTTACCCATGTATGGATAGATTCATATAAGTACCCAACAGGATTAGGCAACAGCAGGTCACGGCTTCACTGCTCACCATTTGATTTGTTCCTTTTAGAGCAGAAAATCTACTCAATTTTATCTTCCACAGATGTAGGTTGACATAGGATCAGTATAACCATGATCAGTGATATGCTCTGAATATTTCCACCATGTGTAATTTGTAGTATCGTTGTTTTTGGCACTGTAATAGTATACTACTGTATCAAAAAACATTGTGAAATGAAAGTATTGTATTGAGAGGGTTATTTAACAGGATCTTCTGGAATGGAATTGAAGGTAGATGAAATGCAGGTCAGAAGCGAGGAATTTTATGGTCCTTGAGAAAGTAGCTTGAGGTAATTTAGTATCTTAAGATACTTAGTGCTTAGATGTACCAAATTTTATACTAGAAAATATATAGATACCTTCTAAAGGATAGTAAAATTATCCCCAAAAGCAAAGGATGGATGGTGGGCGCTTGCATCGAGAACAGCTTCGCCGTAAGCCGCCGCCACTCGACGGAGATGTGGCTCACCTTCTCCGTCTCCGGCGCACGGCGTCCAGATACTTTTCCTCCTTTTCTGCTTCGATTGGTTCCTGTTTAAATTGGATCTAGCGGCTGAAGTTGGATCGTTCGTGTGGCCAAACTGCCCAACTTGGATCTTAACTCGCGGCCCAAAGTTGGATGGGCGGCAGAATCAGGATTGAAATCATTTCACTTTTGTTTTTGTTTTTTTGCCTTTTTTGTTTTTGTTTCTGATAATGGAATTCACTCAGCCTCTGAATTGAAAATCATCTCAGTTTGAACCTCAGAATGTTTTGTGGACATTTTACACCAATTACTCTCTCAAGTAGCTGGAGCTACAGTGATGAATCCCTGAATCCATTTGGTCCGGTTATGAGTCGATTCAATTAGTTCCCCCAGAGAATACAAGCAGTACCCAGGCAAATATATTTGTGGTAACAAAGTTTTTAAACATCTTCGCTAAAAAAGAAAGCTCTTAAAGACTTAAACATTTGGATAGATCGAGTTTCATGACGGACTAATCCGGTTTAATTTGAAGCAGCAATCAGCTCCAGCCTCCAGACAGTGTCAAGACTGTCAGTTACCATACTCAAGCTGCAATTTGCTCCACCAGGTTTTCACCGGACTCTGCCACGGTATTACCCTCAGATGGCTTCTCCACAATTGAAGCCTTGGCAACATCATCTGCATTCTTGATGTCTTCCAGGATGCTTGAGCTCCACTCAGAAAGCTGCTTCACACTTGCCTCATCTGTGAATGAACAATTTCCACTCATTAATACTTAACAAGCAAGCAATGTTGGTGAACAGTTTTAAGAGGAGTGAAAAGAAAAACAAGATGGAATGCAAGTGCTGGGTAGGGTGCATGCATACCAAGCCTAGGGACAGTGTGGCCCTGGGGATGTCTTATGATGACAGGGTCCTCAAAGGCAGCGGCCAGCTCCTCGGAAGGCACTTTGAGCCAATCCTTCTCTCCAATGAAATGCACTGATTTCACCTTGATCGGATCCTTATAGGCTACATTGCATATGCTTGGGTCCCTGAACTTGCTCCCAGCTATTGAGACCATGAACTTGATTGGTGGATGATCATTCAGTACTTTGCCCTAAGTCATTCAGCTTAAGTAAGAATCCAGATGGAACTAGATACTGCAGACTTTGAATAACATCTCTCATATAAAGGACTTATCCCATAAAAGAAGTACCCTGCTCAAGTCCATGTTCTAGTGAATGAAATGTTGGTGCAGCTTACAAAAGCTAGCACCTAGCTAAACGATACTATTCAGTATTTACCATAGCCTATAGGAGTGGGACTTTATATTTGTACTAGCATTTAACAATTTGAAGCCAAAACACATCACCAACAACTGAATAGCTCATGGAAACTGCTAGGTTCAAATATGGGACCTTGATGTCACAGTCGTTTCATGAATATTCACACATTATTGCCCTCTGTTCCTTCAAACTACAACCAAAATTGAAACCTTCTGCAAAATTAAGAGTACAAGTGTACCTGTGCTTGGTAACCTATCAAAAGAGCAGAAAGAGTTGCACCCTGGAATGAAAAAGAAATTAACAGATGAGCTGAAGGACATGAGCAGTTGTAAACAAGATGTTAAACAAACAGTAAGGGATTTCGGTCAAAACTGAATTATGATATTGTTCAGTAAGTCAGTACTGATTAAAAAATCTAAAGGTCTGACCACAACCCATGTCTTTTGGCTTTCCTATGTGAGTGTCTGGTCCAATAGAAAAACGTGAGTACACAGGATTCTGTAAAAAAAAATGCGAAAGTTTTTGCAACTTGGATATAGAAATAAAATAAGAGATCGACTGCAAGGAGTGAGTGATTATCTATATACAGCAGAAGCTTCAGATAATCTAGTGTTGCTCAGTGTGTCGGAACTGAACTCATAAATTACAGCACCTCAAAAGTTGACAATTTAAATGGTGAATGCACTTATCTGGAATTTCATATGCAAATTCTTGGCCCAAGATCTCTAGCATGCACATAATAATAACACTCAAGTACCAAGTGGGTCAAATACGTTTCATAGCTAGGTTCCATTTTTACCTGGGAGAATCCAAGCAGGCCATCAAAAGGTCCATTTTTCACCATGTAATCACACAGGTATGAAATGCACTCATCCAGATTTGTGTATTCAGTGAAGTCCTGTGTAGGAACATGCAACAGTAAATAAATGTTTGTCTATCTTTGGTTTGAGCCAAGGCACACTGTATAGTATAGCAACAAAACTGAAACTATAGTACAAAGTAAGATCTGACAACGCTATTGCAAGTGTTGTTTCAGTTTGGGTTCCATCTGAAGCATTTAACCTTGTTGAACTGAAACCACTCAAAGTAGGGTGGGGGAAATATGCCTTCTATCTCTGATTTCCCTCCAGCTGGGAATATGCCATCAGGGAAGACCTGAAAACCAGGAAAATCATGTAAACAATCAACAAAGCAATACAAAAACCTGATCTTTGGATCCAGCGTAGTACCATGTCAAATTGTTGGAAGATGGAAGGATTCCATTTGCTGATTTGCTTCTTCAGAAAACTCCCACTTGTCCGGAAGCCGTGCAGGCAAAGCACCTTAAATTTCTTGTCCAGCTCCATGCGCAATCGTGTATGACTCTTACAAGCACAGAATACATTCAGAAAAAGGCCTTAAGAAGGCCAGGAGCATGTGGTAGTTGCTACCTACTGCCATACTCTCAGAGGCTGCACGCAGCTATCAGTCTATCATTCAACACTTATAATTACTAGTAGTTGTTGCAACCTGCCAGGCAACCCTCTTTGAAAGGCATGCCTGCCTTTCCCATTTGCTCAATTCAAATCCAATTCAAACCCCAAAAGATCCTTCTCTGCAATTGAACAAATTCTTCTGCATACAAGCAGAAGAAACATATGTAGATCGAAGAAGAGACCAATGGAATAAAAAAAATACCAGATATCCAATTGATACTAGACTCGAGCATAAATTGATGAAAAAATATATAACTACATACAGGCCCAACTGCAATCTGGACATACCAAGGACAAGAATTACTGGTTCACATAAAACACAAGAGATCTGAAAACACACTTCAGAGGAACATAGCAGGAAAATCCTTTTTAGCGACTACAGCTAGTAGGATGCTTCACTGGAAATTGATAAAACAAGTGTTGCATCTTAACTAGGACTATGCAACACACAATCTCCTCTGCCTTAGAGTATGGTTCCATGGCTCACTTGGCCATCATGACCTTCACAAACTCCTCATAGTTTATCTGACCATCACCATCAACATCAGCCTCACGGATCATCTCATCCACCTCCTCGTCAGTTAGCTTCTCGCCAAGATTTGTCATCACATGGCGGAGCTCAGCAGCGGAGATGAAGCCATTTTGGTCCTTGTCAAACACCCGGAAGGCCTCCTTGAGTTCTTCCTCTGAATCAGTGTCCTTCATCTTGCGAGCCATCAGATTGAGAAACTCAGGAAAATCAATGGTTCCATTGCCATCAGCATCAACCTCGTTGATCATGTCCTGGAGCTCAGCTTCCGTTGGGTTCTGCCCTAGTGAACGCATGACAGTTCCCAACTCCTTGGTTGTGATGCAACCTGTAAAGTTCACAAGCAACCAATTGTACAATCAATTGCTGAACAGTGTAGTCATTATAACTAGATACTAACAGAAAAACTAGGCACACACTACACTTCCTAATAACTAATAATAATGTCAACATGCGTCTAATTGGATCCATACGGAATGGACTGTCTGATCCTAACACTGAAGTCCAAACGTAATTACTTGTTTGGTTTGAAGAATGGAATGTGTTGGTACATAGCAATTGCATCCTCAGAAGGGCATGCTAAGAAGAAAATTGAAGAATGGGATCATCCCAACAAAATCAGGGGATGACTCAACAATAACCAAATCATTGTAGGATGATTATCCTAACCAAACAGGCCATTAGGGGATATTAACTTAAAAAAGAAAAAGAAAAGGGACTCCTTATTGGCTCATCACCAGTTGTAAAGAGTTTGAAATAGTACGATTATGTCTATTTGAATATGCTGAGAGTATTCCGTTAAAAGTTACAAGGCTGAGTGATATTTGCATATTTGGATGCTTTTAACTGGGTGATTCACCCTGACAGTAATATCAAGAAGGGATTGCTGCAGTCAAAACATTTCAGCACAAAGTTTCAAGGTGGGTATCGATCAACTTTAAAGCCATACTTAATCAATCAGTGAGCTAAAATGTTAGCTGTTCAACAATAACTAGTCCAAGACAATTTCCACGAACATTTCAGCTCAAAATTTCAAGGTGGGTGTTGTTCAACCTTAAAGCCGTACTTAGTGAATCAGTGAGCTAAAATATTACCAGGTTAACGAGAAACCAGTCGAAGACAATTTCCACCAAGGTAATTGCAGGGTTATGGTCTTTAACAAGGTCCAAGGTAAACCACAAAATTATTTGCATGTACTTGCTGTATAATTTTTTCAACGTGCCCCCATGAAATTTATACAGGATTTCCCTGTGGACAAATTTCTAACGGAGAAGGTATTCCAAGGGCTAGGAATCCAATTACCTAAACTGAACAGCTTTCAGTAGCGATCAAGTTATTGATACAACTACAGCCCACCATAAAAAGGTTGAAGCTACCAAATGCACTAACCTAAGAAAATGACCAAAGTTGCATGCGAAAGGGAGCAGTTGATAGCTAAGCTACATCCAACACATACACTCCTCTCTGTTTTCGACTATGTAATAAACCTTTTCGTACATAAAAATCATTGTAATGAAAGTATATTATTCTTTGCTGAGCTTATTAACGGCATGATTAATTAACTACTGTAAACTTGAAAATTAATTTTTTAAAAAGAAAATTATATATCCGAAGTTTTTGCACGAAAAAGAAAAATGAGGGAGTAACTAAGCAAACTAGCTGAATCAAACAGGGCCTAATATAAGTTGAAAAGTTATTATGATGTAGAGTAAGTGTTCCCGAACCAAACAGGCAGCGAGACACGATTGCGATAGTGAAGTCGAGGGAGGTGGCGCAGTCAGGAAATGGTCAAGTCAGCACAGCAGATAAGCGTTGCGTCCATGTCGGACAATTCGCCACTGGACACACAGGACGATGACAGCGACCGGTTTCCGTCCAGATCCGTGCCCGGATCGGATCTGCCACCCGACGACGCGAGGAAGGAAGGGCACCCGCGCGGTGGAGGCAATGCCACAGGCGCGAGACGGCCAGCGTGTGCAAACGAGAGAGATCGATCCAACGAACAGATAGAGATGGAGAAAGAGAGAACAAGGTGGTGGTGGTGGTTGTTGTTGTTACCATCGCCGTCCTTGTCGAAGAGGCTGAAGGCCTCCTTGAACTCGGCGATCTGGTCGTCGGTGAGCTGATCCGCCATGGCCTCCTCTGCGCGCGGCGGGTGAGTGGATCAACGAAGAAGAAGAAGAAGGGAAGCGGAGATGGGAGGAGGAGAGACTTGTGTGGCGTGGCGTCCGGTGGAAGTTTCCCACCCCCGATTTATACCGCGTCTTCCGTCACCTCCGCTTTACCTTCGACCACCTGCTTTTCCCAAACTACCCCTCCTCATTAGTAATGGGTATAATGTTTTTCAAAACATAGACATGAAAATAGTTTCATTTTATTACAGGATCATATTTTTATTAACATTTTTTTACACTTTAAACCACCCCGAACTCTTTTATCCATCTACACCTAAATTGTCATATGTCAAAAAACATATAATCATGATAGTTTATTAAGGAACCGACATACTCAAAATCGCTCTCATATGTTTCAGAAGAGAGTTGAAATGATCTAAAATATATAGTATATAAGAAGATAAAATGGTCCAAAGTAAAATTTACTTACTTATTTGGTAAAGTTGCATTTTCTTTAGCTTGTCAATGTCCAAATCATCCTATATTTGTGGTGGCATGAGTTTGCTTTGAGCCAATCCCTCAATTGGTAGGATAAAAAAAAATCAGTCCCTGGATTGGCGGGATTCTACCTAGCTATTCCCTCAGTCCTTTCGCTTAAAAATATACTTCCTCTGTCCCATTTTAAGTGTAACCATGAGTTTTCGCGTCTAATTTTAACCGTCCGTCTTATTTGAAAATTTTTTATAATTAGTATTTTTTGTTGTTATGAGATGATAAAATATGAATAGTACTTTACCCGTGACTTATGTTTTTAAATTCTTTATTTTTTCAAATGAGACAGATGATCAAGTTGGGCACGAAAAATCATGTCTGCACTTAGGCTCTGTTCGTTTCAGGCAGTTCGGAACCCAACTCCCCTGCACGGAAAACGGAGCAATCCATTAGTGTGTGATTAATTAAGTATTTGCTTTTTTTCAAAAATAGATTAATTTGATTTTTAAGCAACTTTCGTATAGAAACTTTTTGCAAAAAACGCATCGTTTAGCAGTTTGAAAAACGTGTGCGCGGAAAACGAGGAATAGAAGTTGGAAACCTGCCCAAACGAACAGAGCCTTAAAATGAGACGGAGAGAGCAACTATCTTTTTATTTAAAATAGAGGAAGTACTATTGTACATGTTCCATTGATTCTCTATGTATGCACAAAAGCAAATTCTACAGGATTTTCACATAAAAACAGTTTTATTCTTTCAGAATTTACGTAAAACTCATCCCAAACGTCAAAGTACAGCATGTGTGTGAGGGCATTTGTGTAATCTTGAATGTTCCGTCAAGGACAAGCCTCTGTGACTTTACGGCATGTGGGCCTGTAAAACGGTGGAATTTTCCGATGATGGATGCTTTCTTGACATTTTTAAATGAGCAGAATGACGTATGTACCCTCGACGCGGTTTGGACGCGGAGTGCATTTTATCAGTAAAGTCCCCCGACTTTCCAAGCTTTCGTGTTATGGCCTTGTGGGCCATATGAAACGTGTTACTACAACTTGGGCCTTTTTCCTGGTTGGATGCTCGTACTGGGCTTTGGGCCCATCGCCTTTATGTGGGCTCAATTTAAGCTTTCTGATATCATCGTATCATGACAAACTGAAAAGGGATTGGTATGCCCTTTGATTAGAAATCCTCTTTCTCCCTACAAAATATACATATTAGAGAAACCGAAATATAACAAAGGGATAACAAATCTTGGAACGCAACAAGATAAGAGATGTGAGCAAACGAACACAACTACAAAACTGACCAACCCTGACACACACACACACAAAAATGTATGAAAGAGTATCGATCACCATCTTTATTCTTCTGGTAGATCCTTAATATGGCGTCAGCAAACAAATTGGTGACTGAAAAGCACATCAATGGGTCTGTTTTTGTTCCTAACACTGATGAAATCATCACGGTCCACGCCCTCAAGATTACCATTATTATTACTATTCCAAAACAATGAATGAACAGAATGCATGACTAATTTGTTCTAGCATTGCCAGCTAATAAAGCTATCTGTCCTCTCTTTGGATGGCCTTGTAGAGGACTTTGGTGACAAACTTGGACTGGAACCTGAAGGTGGTGCCGAGGGCAGCGACCATGGGTGGGGTGCCCTTGCCGATGAAGACATGGCCGAGGACGTTGTGCTTGGGCATGGCGCACTCTCCCTCCTTCCCGCCGGAGCCTCCTCGCGAGTTGAGCACGCCCAGGTGGAGCTGCGGCGGCAGAGCGGGAGGCTCCTTGGTGAACTCCTTGTCGTCAGGAGCCAGGAAACCGTAGCTGGAGTCCGGCGATGGAGGAGCCATCAGCTCTGACACACTGTCCACGCTATCCGGGACATAATCCTGCAAGCATATGCACACCAGTTATACATTCAGGCAATACGCAAACACTGAATTTTCAAGAAGCAGAGATAGGTGATGCATTCGTAGTGTGTGTTTCAAATGCTAGCAGATAAATCATGATGTGTGGGAATGATCTGTGCAATGCCCAGGCTTTGTGCTCCTTCTTTGGTGCTTTGAGTTGTAGTCTAATCCTAATTACATTAGAATTGTTTCTCTCATATATATGTGCCTCCAAGTTAGACTCTTGCAAGACACAATGAAGAACATAATTTTATTGATTATAACGAAACAAGGGGACAATTGGTTATACTAGTGCAACGATTATTTGCATCATTCAATTGATTCTTACTAGGCGAGAAATATAATTTTCAGATATCTGAGCTTGGTCCCTTTCTTAATCATCATCAAGTACTTGAGTGGGAATCTCCCTAGCACATTTTCTTGGGTTTAAATAATCATGGTCAAGAGTAAGTTTTGCTGATCAAGTTCGCACAAACAATCGTACGTGCAACGGGGAAAAAAGTTGAATGAAAAAAAAATACTCACATGAACATCAATAAGATTTGAAATGGTGCCCATAATGTCAGCTTCACGGGGACGATCAGGCTGAAATCTTCTTTCTCCATCAACAATGAATCTATAACGGTAAACTCCAGATGCAAGCCCTAACATGACGCAGTGATCCTTTCCACATTTATGGACGAGTTGCCTGTGATACACACTAACAATGTCAGAACAAAATCAGTTCTATCCTTAAGCTTCAGTTTAGGTACTAGAAACAAAAGGGAAATACTATATGCTATCTCTCCAAAAAATAAAAATGTACTTTGATTTCCAGTTATCCCATGATCCTTCTATATAGACATTCTTCCCTCCAAGAGTCCACACAAGCAGAGTAGGAATCAGCTTGTCAGGGGGACCATCGTGATCCTCCTCTTGTTCACTCGTTAATATCTGGTTAAATACTGGAGGAGGTCCATCTACAGCTCTATGCAATGGAGTTACAGGACTCTGCAGTACATTTATATCAGTGCATTAAAAACACAAAACTTAGAACAATGACATTTGGGAAGAGGTAGACTGACTTGGCAAGAAACAAGGTAATTAGATCATCTGAAGCGACCGTAAGATTAAACATGTTCGCTAGTAGAGCAACTGAGCAAAGTTGTATGCCTGTACTACCTCTGTTTAATACATGAGACGTCTTATTTTTTTCAAATATATATAAAAAATCATGTCTAAGGAACTGATAAATCAAGTCACAACATAATAAATGATAATTATATTAATTTTTTATAAGACGAATGGTTAAATGTATCTCAAACAGTCAACAACATCATATACTAAAAAGGAAAAAGGAGGGAGTATTATTCTAGATAAATCTGATAAAACAACAGTACATTATTCTACAATTTTAATTGTCAAAGTTGTAACGAATATATTTCATATTATGAACTTTCTAAAGAACATATATTTCAGATCATGTTTTTTTAAAAAAAACAAATTGTTAGCAACCAAAATAAATCATAGAATCAGCGAGGAGTCCCCAAAATGCAACGCCGATGAAATTGTGGCATGCACATTACAAGTGCGACGCGCGTCACATGCACTGATCGATCAAGAGGATGTATATTGCACATGGATGGGTGGAATTGAAATCGAGATCGAATTGAGTTTAGCGTGATCTGACCTGCGGCACGAACATGCGCGGGGAGTGCGGCCGCGGGGGGGTCCCCGGCGGGGACGACGACCCTCCGCCGCCGGAGTACCCCGCTGCCGACGACGGGGGCCGCACCAGTCCGCCGCTTCCCCCGGCGCCGCCGTACGGCGGGAGGCCAGCACGGTCCATGGGGCGCAGCGAGGAGGAGTAGTCCCCAGCGCCGGCGCGGTTGCCGCCTCCGCCGCCGTCATCCATTTCGGCGTCGGCGATGTCGTCCAGCCTGCCGCTCGCGTTGCCCATCTCCGGCCACCGGCGCCGCACCACCTTACCAAGATTATATACACACACGCGGAAGAGGAGGAGAGGAATGGGCCTAAGCCCATTTTTTCACTTATGGGCCCAAATATCTGTTGGGCCGAAAATGTGGCTCTGCAGTTTGGGCTTGAGGAAGCTTGTTGGTCTTTATAAGTCAAGATTTACATTTTAAAACTTAAACTGATTTTATGTTTTTTAATCGTGGTTAATTTAATAATATTTGTTTTTATCACTAAGAACACATATAAAATTTTACCTATAAATTATTATCTATTATATTATTAAAGGAATAAAAAAAGGAGCTTCCACGTTCGCTCTCATGGTCTAGAAATTCTCACATTAATCGGAGAAAAAGAAAAAGCAAAGTCCACATAGAAATACAATTTAGTAATAGCTGAAATTTGGAATTAAAAAAAGGAGCCTCCACGTTCGCTCTCATGGTCTAGAAATTCTCACATTAATCGGAGAAAAAGAAAAAGCAGAGTCCATATAGAAATACAATTTAGTAATAGCTGAAATTTGGAATTAAAAAATAAGGAATATTAGAAGAGGAGACTAGAGTCCATATAGAAATACAATTAAGAAAAAATAGAAATTCGGAATTAAAAAGTAAGGAATATTAGAAGTAGAGTATAGAGTCCATATAGGAATTTAAAACTAACTAAAATTCGGAATAAAAAGGAGCCTCCACGTTCTCTCCCATGACCTAGAAATTCTCACATTAATCGGAAGAAAAGAAAACGCAGAGTCCATATAAAAATACAATTTAGAAATAGTTGAAATTCAGAATTAAAAAATAAGGAATATTAGAAGAGAAGACTAGAGTTCATATAGAAATGCAATTTAGAAATAGTTAAAATTCGGAATTAAAAAATAAGAAATATTAGAAGAGGAGACTAGAGCCCATATAGAAATACAATTAGGAAATAACTGAAATTCGGAATTAAAAAATAAGGAATATTAGAAGAGGAGCTAGAATCCATATATAAATACCATTAGGAAATAATAGAAATTCGGAATTAAAAAATAAGGAATATTAGAAGCAGAGTATAGAGTACATATAGGAATTTAAAACTAACTAAAATTTGGAATAAATGTAATAAAATTAAAAGTAGAGTTTAGAGTCTGTATAAAAATACAATTTACAAGTAACTAAAATTCAAAATTAAGAAAAACATGGGAAGAAGAGTTTAAAGTCAATATAGGAATACAATTTAGAAGTAACTGAAATTTGAAATTAAAAATTAAAGAATATTGAAATATGAGTTTATATAGAAATACAATTTAGAAATAGCTGAAATTCGGAATTACAAAATAAGGAATATTAGAAGAGGCGACTAGAGTCCACATAGAAATACAATTTAGGGATAGTTGAAGTTCGGAAGTAAAAAATAAGGAATATTAGAAGAGGAGACTAGAGTCCATATAGAAATACAATTAGGAAATTACTGAAATTTAGAATTAAAAATAAGAAATATTAGAAGTAGAGTATAGAATCCATATAGAAATACAATTAAGAAATAATAAAAATTCGGAATTAAAAATAACGAATATTAGAAGTAGAGTATAGAGTCCATATAGAAATACAATTAAGAAAAAAAATAGAAATTCAGAATTAAAAAATAAGGAATATTAGAAGTAGAGTATAGAGTCCATATAAGAATTTAAAACTAACTAAAATTCAGAATAAACATAATAAAATGAAAAATAGTGTTTAGAGTCCGTATAAAAATACAATTTACAAATAACTAAAATTCGAAATTAAGAAAAACACGAGAAGAAGAGTTTAAAGTCAATATAGGAATACAATTTAGAAGTAATAGAAATTTGAAATTAAAAATTAAAGAATATTGAAAGATAAGTTTAGAGTCCACATACAAGTACAATTAGAAATAATAAAAATTCAGAATTAAAAAAAGAAATATTAAAAGACGAGTCTAGAGTCCATATAGGAATATATATAATTTACAAATAACTAAAATTTGATATTAAAAATAATTAATAACTAACACGTATATAAAATACAATATGAATATTACACATTAGTAGTTTCTTAAAGTTATTGCAAAATTTAAAATTATGTTGTCATTGTAATATATTTTAATAATATAATGAGAAAACATATATGCTATTATATGAGAAAGAATATAATGATGCTAGCCACATGCTAGTTTTACTAATATAAGCGGTACAAATAAGCATAAGAATAAATGAAAAGGTGGATGTTGGTTTCTCATACAAAACCAGCTAATAAAATAGAGTGGAAATGGATAATATAATTTGAATTCTAATTGATAATTTAAAAACCTCTCATAAGTGTTTTTTTTCATAAAATTGGTTGGGGCTTTTCTTCACACCGGCCTGACCGAAAAAATAATACTAATATAATAATTTGCAAACCTTCATATACAATAATTTTACAGCCCTGCAGTTTCAACTAGACAAAACTTAATTATTTCACTATGAGTGAATTCAATTGATTTCCTAGATAATAATATAATTTAACCTCCATATATATACATTATTATTCATCTACTAATTAGGAGTAATAGTGTTGTCTACCAGCGGTGCCCTTGTCCGCCGTGATCATACGACTGAAATGTTTGCGGCGGCAACGGCGGAGTCAGCACCGGCGGTGGTACAGCTGCGACGGGAGGCGCCGCCGCCGTGGCCGACGCAGCATAACTGGCACAGTATGCTGGAGGCGGCGGCGGCGGCGGCGGGAGATCAATGGTGGAGTCAACGTAGTGACGGTCGGCGATGTTGGAGTGGCGGCCGGTGAGCTCCTGCACGACGGCGCGGAACTCCTCGGGGCTCGCCGTCAGCTTCATGGGGCTGGCTATGTACACCACCCTCACGGCGCCAGGGCATTGCGGCGGCTTGTACTTCCTCGCCGCCGCCTTCCCCTTCTTCGCCGGCGGTGGCTTCGAGATGCCGTGCCGCTGCCGGCCATGCTGCTGCACCCCGAGCATGTTATCTAGAGCTTTTTGTGAGCGTGGTGTGCAGCCGTACGTGCAATGTGCGTGCCTTTATAGAAACAGTAGCCCTGTTTCGGAACGATATCCTGCAGTAACAGACGAAACAGTGGTAATTTTCTGCAGTAACAGACGAAACAGTGGAAATTTTGGGAGAATTGGATCAGAGCATTTTCATTGGGCGGCTGGGGTGAGAGACAGGAGTAGATATTATTGTGCCAGTTAAGTTTTTTTTTATATGATGAATATTCTGGCCTTTTTTTTAAAAAAAAAAGAACTGGCATTTTCTTCAATTAAGATAGAAACCACTTATTACAAAATTTTGAACGTAATGACCAAAGATGATGAGAGAGTAAGTTCGAACAACAAAAGGAGAAATCTTATTCAATCCTATGTGTAAACTTTCATCCAAAGTTAAGCCAATATCTACATTAATGGACTTCAAATTCCAACATGCAGTATGTATAAATCTTTTATCCTTATCACACATTTGTAGTTAAGTTCAGAATCTGAGCTAGTATGCTATGCTACCTTGAAAAAATCCTGCCTATAAAATTTAGTTGGAGATTTGTACCAGCTAGCTACTGTAGTTATTAATTTTAACCATAGAAAAATTCACGCATGGAAGGAAGGAAGACAAGACAAGAGACTTGTTGGTTCGAGTTAGAGGGAGGTCACCCAGTCAAGTACTCTTACCCAAAGGATAGGTTGGAATTAACTGAGATAACCCATTCAAAGTCCAGATTCATAGGATGTGTTTCATCTATCTACAAACAAGAAGTTATCTAGGTAAAAAGATGAACGGTAAAACCAGATTGCTAGCTAGCTAGCTGTCTCACGGCTATTCGCTCTCTCCAGTCAGTCTCTAGCCAATTGGCTAGCAGGTAAACACAAGTTATTCTCTTCAGTCAAAAAATGAAGTCGTTTTCGAGTATATATATTATATTTGGATTCTTTGAAAGCAAAATCATCCAGCGCAGCATTGATCGTCAGTGATGACCGTCATCGACGATGGCATCGCAACCGCTCGACGACGAATTGAAGAAGGTGGGTGTGCTAGCCTGCTACTATTTTTTAAAGACTTGAGAAATTCAGAGCTAGAAAATCATCCATTCGTTTTGAGTTTGACCTGCCGATCGATTAATTATATTCCTTGAGATCGATCGATAAATTGTCTCATTCACACGGACCCAAGGCGCTCGTACATTTCAACATCCGTGCGCACGCGCGTGCGACTGATCAGGATATATAGTTTTTGGTGATCGATAAAATTCCCAGGTAGCTAGCATGCAGATGCAGATCATACTTATGTGCCTAATGCATGCCTAGACTAGATCAATCGATCGATTGCTGATCGAGGACAAAAGCAATCAGGAATCCAGATGCATGCATTGTCGATTCATAATTGACTAATTAAGCAAACGCATATCCAGGATCAGATACTAGTCCAATTGAGTGATTATTGACCATATAGCTTGAGTACTTTTATGGTACATTCTAGACCGGTATACGTACTAATAGCTGCTGTTTGCAGTCAAGATACATATAGATACTAGTACTACAGTCAATGTCTATCCCTTTCACGTAGCTACCGCCAGTAAAAGGCAGAACGATGAGAGAGAATCTCATTGTTCATATATGGGCTTTCAATTAATTCCTCGCAATATATATTACCAGTACTGTACGAATACTAGTATTACCAGTGATAAGAGACCGATGCACGATTAAAGGTAGGGTCCGGATCACCATATGTTCGGTGATGCTGGTTTGCTGAATTTTTTTAGAGGGAGAAGTTCGGTGATTTGTTCGAGTAACGGAAATGGTGGCCGCATTCTAAGCGGGCCTCATTCTTGGTAGGGAAGCAGGTGGAAGGAGGACAGGAAGGCCCAATAGTAAGTAAAATGGGCCGTCGGATGACATGTCAGGCCCAAGTTGAAGTGAGCCCATACAGCGACTCCGGCCTTGTTGACGAACGAACGAATGATGCGGAGGTGAGGGGATCTTTCTCTTGGCTTCACTCGTCTTCCAATCCTTCTTCCTCCTCCCTCCTCTCCTCTCCTCTCCTGCAGCAGCGCCCACCGCCATCGGAGCCTCGCCCTCGCGCGGCCATGCTTGGTCTGAGGGGAGCCAGGGCGGCGCAGCTCCCGTACGCTTCCGCCGCCGTCGCTCCCACCCCCACGCCCTCGTTTTCCGGCTTCGCGCGCCGCCTCCCGCTCCTCGCCTCCGCGGCCCTCTCGCCTCTGCCGCCCTCCTTCTCCTTCTCCTCCGCTTCCGCCGTCAGGAGGGATAGGGACCCTCCCATGCGTCCCGTCTCCGGCGCCCTCTCCAGGTCCAGGCCAACCACCAGGGGTGAGTCCTCGTGCTACTCATTTACCTCTACTCTGCTGCTGTATATGTATCGTATGTCCACCAGATATCTAGCTATTCTCGCATGTGCCATCCGTATCAATACTAGGTTTTGCTTCATTTTATTTCCTACTATACTATCCGGTTACTAGTTAGTACTAGTGTTGTTTGCATTTGTGTGCTTCTTGCATGGTGCCACATGGTTTCATCAAGTAATTGACATGAACACCTGTTTGTTAGTTTTCTGCTCTGCGGCTGCTACTGCTCCCAGGGAGGGCAAGGAGTTGCTTGTCCAGCATCTGCTCGTCGGCGAACAGGATGTCAGGCTTTTGGTCGATCTTGAAAAGAACATCATTACAGGAGGTACTAGTACTAGTATTCATGTGGATGCTGATATACACTTTCACATAAACATGGAGACTAATTAAAAGGATATTGCTCAGCATCTAGCTTTTTTGTGTGTGTTTCAGGTGCAGACTTGAGCGATTTAGCTGTCGAGTACTCTTTATGCCCATCGAAAGAAAATGGTGGAATGCTGGGGTGGGTTCGAAGAGGACAGATGGTACTCCATTTACATGCTTTTCTGGCATGGTAGTAGCGACTTTTCATCTAGGACTTTACATATTGTTAATTGATCAAAGGGCTGATCAAAACTACAAATGAGCTAATCACATGCCTAAAATGTACTATGGAACCATCCAGTTTCTCTGACTATGCTTGGTGGTGCTGATAAGGTCCATACTCCATACAAGATGCAGTTGGAAACCTTATGCTTGGCAGTATAAATTTTTACTTTACCACTAAAATTTGGCTTGACTTTCGTTGGTCAACTTACTTCTTTATGATGGTTCCAATTTGTTAGGAGTTCCCAACCTCACCAATTGGCGAACTAGAAAAATGTAGAATTAATTGTTTTGGTATTGGTACTTGGTTGCTTGCCTTGGAAACTAACTGCTGTGAATTCATGCCACAAGTTTTGTCTTTTCTTATTAAGCGCATTGATACTGATGTATGTACTTTATCTAATTAATTTCAGGCCTTTATGACATACACACCTAAATCCATCTGCCCCTTATTCTACTCTATGCTAGCTCTCTTCTCACAACCATTAAATTCAAGTGTGACAATCACTTGCTAGCTTGATGTGTGAAGCTCCACCAATTTTGTGTGTGTTTTTTTTTCCTTTTCTCTTTTCTGTAAGCACCGTGAAGGCATTAACAATGTCTTCAATGGAGTTTGAACATTTTTACTTGAACTGAGCAGGTTCCAGAATTTGAGGAAGCAGCTTTCGGTGCTCCTTTGAACAAGGTTGTACGGTGTAAGACAAAATTTGGATGGCATTTGTTGCAAGTGCTTGCTGAGAGGTAGATACTTGTAACAAAATTATGTTCTATGTATACAAACAATATTTATTGATTTCTTTTCCACCTAACTTCAGAGAACAATGCGTAGTGGAAGACATTCCACCAGAGGAGCTTCATGCAAAAATGCAAGATCCTAACTTTCTTGAAGAAGCTCAGTTGATTGATGTTCGGGAGCCTGATGAAGTGTAAGATTTACCTGTGTCCTGATTGCTAGAATAATACTCATAATTACGCATCAGTGAAATGATAGACATGTTTAACCAAAATAGTACTACTAGGACCTGTCCATTTCTTTTAAGAGCTGTCCTTATATTGCCATCCTCACACAGAAAATGAGCTTCATTTTGACATTTTGTACTTTTCTAAACTATATTCCAGTGAATAACTGTTACGACATCTTCGTTGTGGTTTTCAAAATACACATTATCAGGAGTAAAGAAAAACTGTTAAGATGATCAAACATGAAGTATTTATCTCCATATCCATGATGTTGTGGTTACCTAGTTCAGTACAGTTACTGTTATTGTTCGCCTATTCGCATGAAGCTTATGTTGAGTTTTACTTCTTGCATGGCAGAGATAAAGCTTCTCTTGAAGGGTTTAAAGTTCTACCTCTTCGACAGTTTGGAACTTGGGGACCAGTTATGACAGATGAATTTGATCCTCAGAAGGACACTTATGTTCTGGTAAGTTGGTTACTCCTCTAATGAAACTTGCTGCCAGTGTGCATCCATAAAGGCCAAGTACCTGTCAAATGAAAAAGAGAGCACCAGTACCTCCTACATATTGTGATTTTGAGTTGATCCGGTGATTGCGGAAGGAAGTAATATGCACACATCATTGGTACACACATTTGCATCAATGTGTTATTATTATTCATTCTAACACTTGTCCTTTCATATTTGCCCCCAGTGCCACCATGGTATGCGCTCAATGCAGGTAGCTAAATGGCTGCAATCACAGGTAATTGAAGTACTCGCATAGTTCTTGCAAAGTGTAGTCGCACTCTATGGTGGATGTGCAATGCAGAGCAACTGAGTAGTGGAACGGCATCCTCACATGAAGTTCCATTGTTTTGCAGGGGTTCAGAAAAGTTTACAATGTTGCGGGTGGGATTCACGCTTATGCCGTTAAAGCCGATTCTTCCATCCCAACTTACTAGACATCTCCATGATCACCAATGCAACGTCAGAGCCTTTTCTACGTGTTCGTTTTTCAGGCCAAACCAAAAGCATGCTTAGTATAGAATGATAGGATTTTCCACGATGATTTTGTACGGAATATCGGTACCAGAAATTCAGAGTTAAGTTTTGTCGTTCTCATGCTGCTGTCATGTACTAGCAGTTCTCTTGAAATTTTATATGGAGGATATATCACTTTTATTAGTTTGAATACAAGGGAAATACCTGGGAGGAACTTGTGGGACTGATCCAGGCTCATGGCCTAAATTTCATTCTGAATTTCTGATCAAACATGCTTTGATCATTTTATTTACAAAAAAAAAGTGCTTTGATTATTGGGAAACGCTGAAATTCTATACGGAGGTTACCATTTTGTCAGCCCGAATAGAAGAGATACCTGGGAGGAACTCGCGGGAGTACTGATCCAGTATTGGGTCTCATGACCAAAGTTTCATTCTGAATTTTCTGATCAAACATGCTTTGATCATTGAAAAAAAAACTTTGTGATTTTATCAGTTTCATTCTGAATTTCTGACAAGACATGCTAACTTAAAAAAAGGAAGTGGAGGTGCGGGGAATCGAACCCCGTGCCTCTCGCATGCGAAGCGAGCGCTCTACCATATGAGCTACACCCCCATTTGTGCTATTCGTTGAACTCTCACTTACTAATTATATGTAAATACACCATATTTTTGTGAGATGATTTGCACCATGTCGCCGTCGCCTCCTCCTCCTCTGTCTGCGCCGCCGGCCGCCGGCGACGGCTTGCTCACCAGGCGTTCCTCCTTTGGTGTCCCGGCGTTTTCCCTTGAGTTGAAGTGGGCAAGTCAAAGACGGAGATTAGCAAGAGGAGGAGGAGTTGGTGAGCGGAGGCTAAGCGGCGGGCCCCACCAGCGCCGCCTGCCTATCCACAAAGTTGCGTCACGCGACGAGCCAACTGTTGCTGGGCCCACCTGTCATCCTCACCCCACCCCATGCACCGAGTCCACCCCGCCCTCCCCCCACTTTGGCGCCTTCCCTCTCTCCACCTCCTCCACTCTCCCACCACCACGAGACCTTCTCGAAGCTTCCTCCCCCCCAAACCCCTTCCGCTCCTCCTCCTCCTCCCAAATCCACCACGGCGACGCCGCCGCCGCAGAGCCCCTAGCTCCCGGAGGTCCCTCGCCCCCGCCAGCTCCGACGGCCTCACGGAAGGAGGAGTAACGTGGGCGTTGATTGGATTTTTTTGTTTTCCCCCCACCTTGAGTGAGTCTGTGCCGTTTCCCCGGCGGCGAGGGAGGGCAGAGGGCTGATCATGGTCGTGCGCCGCCGGTGCCTTGCCGAGATTTCCCCCAACCGCCACCGACGATCGTTCACTGTATGCATGCTCTCGCTCCCCTTCGTTTTTGAGTTGGTTTCGATTATCAAGTAGTATGTATCAGGCCGGGTATTAGTATTACCACCAAATTCTCTTATGCTAGTGTGCGCCCGCTATTGCTCTAGTATTTACAAGCTGTTATTTTTACTCCTTAGTACTACTTGTTTTGGTCAAAATTCAAAACGTCTACTGTACCTGTTGTATTGGAAATTTTAAATGGTTCATGAATGAATTCACTACCCAAGAACAAAGCTTGTCCAGTAATGACATTATCTATTGGCTCGATTTATGTTTGGTCCAGTGGCACAAAGGGGAGTAGCACTGTCCAAGCTGTTGTGGTCCGTCAGGGAGATTGGCCAACCTGTGGGGTTTCAGATCGACATAAGTACGTCAGTGTGCGTATTCTTGTCCCCACGTGCTTATCATTTAAATTCTTCTACTATTATGTTTTCTACTATGTACGATTGCTGTAACTCCTGAGGAGTTACTGTCTTTGATTAGAAAGAATTTGGCGCAAGCATGTACTGTACGATATCCTTAGCTGTTTGAGGTTTCAGTATGTAAGCTACTAAGTCGTCAAAGATTTCCCTTCTTTTTTTTAAAAAAAAAATGATCTGTAGATTTCAGCCATCGATCAATCTGGCGGTTCATAGGGCTGTGCTTGCAACCTTTCTGGCAGAAAGGAGAGAGCAAAGTGATTTGCTGTCTCCTGTTGATTGTGGCCTGTTGAGGCCCAGTAATGGCAGATGCTAGTTCAAGGACTGACACATCGATTGTTGTAGACAACGACGACAAAAACCACCAGGTAATCCTTTTTGAGGTTGTCATCTTTCCTTTACACGTTAAGATGCCATCAAATTGACTGCTAGAGCTCAAGAATAGAGCTGGTGCTGTTAGGGTAGTAACTTCTTTTCTCGTTTTCTACTTGCTATGAGTTGGATAATTGAGAGATACTCAACCAATAGTCTTCTGGAGAATGGAGATACCACTGACTATGACAGTAGTAAGAAGAATCAAATGTAATTGACCGTTTAAACCTTGCAATTCTTGTGCTGTTTCATCTACTGACACTGAAGCACTCATACTTTTAATCTATTTTATTTACTGATTCGCAATGTCATGTTTTGCTGTAGCACCCTGATAACATATTGATACTATGAATCCACTGCCAAATAGTGCTCTAAATATGCTCAGTTGCTCAAACTTGCAGTTAGAAAACGGACATAGTGGTGCAGTCATGGCTTCTAACTCTTCAGATAGATCTGACAGATCTGACAAACTTATGGACCAAAAGGTGACATTTTAGTTCCGTTTCTTTTCGTATACAATGTCACTTAATCTTGTGTGATTAATTTCATATTGTATTTTGGCATGCAATAGACAATTCGGCGGCTTGCTCAAAATCGTGAGGCAGCAAGAAAAAGTCGGCTGAGGAAAAAGGTACTACTGCAGATTTGCTCTTATGTTCGCTTTTGCTCTGAATAAAAAAGCCTTGTTTGGAAAAGCATAGGATTAATTCTGTGAACTTACCTGTGCAAACTAGGTCTATCTAATTTGAATTGTCGCAGTTGTTATCTCTTTTATATGGGATGGCAAGGGCTTAAGTCAAATATGAATCAAGTTTAATTGTTTAATTGCAGTTTTTAGTGATAGTTAGTTTTGATCCACCATGACATGTATTTTCTCTTTGAACATTTAAGGCATATGTGCAACAACTAGAGAGCAGTAAGCTGAAGCTTGCACAGCTAGAGCAGGAACTTCAGAAAGCTCGTCAGCAGGTAAAATCTTTATGGTTGCATGCTGGATCATCAAAAAATAGTTTTGAAAAATACTACCTTCTGTCCTCAGAGAATTCTTGGATATTCAATTGCAGGGAATCTTCATCTCTAGCTCTGGAGACCAGACCCATGCCATGAGTGGAAATGGTAATTTGTCATATTTTCATCGCTTGGTACCCATTAACATTTTGTGTCTTGTGTACTTACATTGTTTTATCTTTTTAACAGTTTATATTAACTGTTTGCTGCATGCTTTCTAAAACATTAAGCTTGTGTTTTGCAGGGGCATTGACTTTTGACTTAGAATACACTAGATGGCTCGAGGAGCAAAATAAGCAGATAAATGAGTTGAGGACAGCAGTGAATGCTCATGCAAGTGACAGTGACCTTCGTCTTATTGTTGATGGCATAATGGCGCATTATGACGAGGTATTCAAGGTTAAGGGTGTAGCTGCAAAGGCCGATGTGTTTCATATACTTTCAGGCATGTGGAAGACACCCGCAGAAAGATGCTTCCTGTGGCTTGGTGGTTTCCGTCCATCTGAGCTTCTAAAGGTGACCGCAGATTAAATCTCAATATTTTCTTATTTGTCTGATGCCCCTTTCTGGTCCTGTAATTTATACTGATTTCACCATATGGTACAAAATTTCAGCTCCTAGCAAATCACCTCGAACCTTTAACCGAGCAGCAGTTGCTGGGATTAAACAACCTCCAGGAATCTTCTCAGCAGGCGGAGGATGCACTTTCACAAGGTATGGAAGCACTGCAGCAATCTCTGGCAGATACTTTGGCTGGATCTCTCGGTTCATCAGGGTCTTCTGGGAATGTGGCGAACTACATGGGTCAGATGGCAATGGCCATGGGTAAACTAGGAACGCTCGAGAATTTCCTTTGCCAGGCAAGTATCTTCACCTTCTAAGTGTCATCGTTCTTCTGCCTGACAACATGGATTTATTAACTGGTGATTCGTGTCAGATGTCGCCTTTGCAGTGATTAAAGCTTAGATTTTGACTATTCTTTTGGTTTCATTTTTGTCAGGCGGACAACCTGCGACAGCAGACATTGCATCAAATGCAACGAATTCTGACGATCCGGCAAGCCTCGCGTGCTCTTCTTGCCATACACGATTACTTTTCACGCTTGCGTGCTTTGAGTTCGCTGTGGCTTGCTAGGCCACGGGAGTAACAAAATGGTCATGTGTGCCTGTGACGAGGTTAGACGCTCATTTTGATGGACTGCAGATAATTGGGTTTTTCCCTGTACAATTGTGTTTGGCAGCTGTGGACTAAAGTTAAAAACTGTACCTAAAGTGGTGTATGCAAATAGGTGAAGCCTCTAAGTAAGTTATAACGATTGCATTATTGTGTTAGCAATAAAAGTTGGGTAATTCAGGATGTGTCCTGAGTTGTTTTGTTGTAGTAGAAGAACTGCATGTAGTGGCTGGAAATGCAGTGTTGAATGTAACTAAAGCTCTGCTGCTCACGTTGCATAATGTTGTGTAGTAATAGTTAGCTAGTGATGCCCATTTTACCTGCACTCCTCTGGGAAGCTGAAACTGCAACCTGAAGCAACCACGGTGCAGAAGACCGCATGCATGGTAAATGATTAAAAGGATATATATGGGCTCAACATCGCTGCCAAATCCTGAGATAATGAACAGGCATGCTAAACTGCTACTTCCACATGAAACCTCCCAGTTGACATGAAGAATGAGCTGTTCAGTTTTATGGTTTCTGTGTTGCACTGTACATAATTCCTGTACGGGTCTGAATTTATCCTGAAATCATGCTAAACTGCAGAAGCATATGAAATCTCCAGACCGGTTGACATGAAAGATGAAGTGTCCCAGTTTTTACGGTTCCCGCGTTGCGTTGCACATGTTTTCCGTATGTTTAACGGGTCCGAGTTTATCCTGTTATAGTATTGACAATTACTGTACCATTCACAGGTGATTGCGACCTAAGAAGTCATGACATGTAACAGTAACGAAACAAGAAGAAGACTGGGGATTCGTGTGACAATTTTAGAAAACCGTCGGCAGACAAGGCCGTCTGCCCCTTGTACTCTAGAAAAAAATTGACTAATTAATGGCCGGTTAGCCAAAATGGCCGGGTCTCCCTTTCCTGATGTGAGTACTGAAGTTAACGGCAAGACGATGGCAGCCTGCAGCGCGCGGCGGTCGCTGTCCCAGGTGACTCAATGCACACATATATACTACGTATATGACTCATTTCTACGTGCTCATCCAAGCTGAGCTGAGCCGTAGTCAAGCTAGGCAGGAAACACATTACACATAGATGGATGGATAGACGGTGGATGGAGTGCTCCTTCCATTCCAAAATAAATATAAGTATTTTTAGCGCAGTGATAAGTCAAATATTTTCAACTTTAACTATTAATAAAAAAATAAAAAAATCAATCACGTAAAATTGATGTCACTAGATTTATTATTAAATAAACTATCATAATATATAACTCTTTTATTTAAAATATCTTACTTTTATATAGATTTTGTTGGTCAAAATAGTATATCAGAAACTATGTTAGAGTCTAATTTTATGACTGAGGGAGTACCTGATTTGTCGTCGCCCGAGCGGTGAGGGCGATGGTGAGGCGACGAATGAAGGTACGTGCCATGGTTAGGAGGGAGCAAGACAGTGTTGACATGCATGCATCGCCTACTCTCAAACTCTGTTTTGATTTGATCTGTTTCCTTATGGTTTTCGTTCAGCGCCCTTCGAATTGCCTCACGAATTAATCCTCAGGCAGCCAGGCGATGCTTACTTTGAACCTGGCACTATGACAAGGGGGCTACTACTTGCTCCCTCCGTTTTATATTGTGCATCATATATTTTTTTTTAAAAAAAGCAAACTACTCTGTGCTTCATTTAATGTAAGTATGTGATGAAAAAACATAAAAAGAGACATACTGACTTGAACTCCCTCTACAACACTTACATTAAATGTTCGCATGCAACATAGATACAAATTACAATAAGATTACATGTGTCAAACAAAAGGACCAAGGCCATAGTTCACGTGCCAAAATTTTTCTAAGTATACGGACACGTATTTGAAGTAACAAAACAAATTACATATTAATAACAAAACAAATTACAGATTCCGCATGTAAGCTACGAGACGAATTTATTAAGCCTAATTAATCCATCATTAGCAAATGTTTACTGTAGCATCACATTGTCAAATCATAGCGTAATTAGGCTTAAAAGATTCGTCACGCAACTTACATGCAAACTGTGCCATTGGTTTTTTTCGTCAACATTTAATGTTCCATGCATGTGTCCAAATATTTGATGTGACGGAATTTTTAGAAGTTCGAAGGAACCTAAACACTGCCCAAGGTAATATTAATAATAACTTTAGAAATTTCTATTTTTGGATAATGTGATGATCAATATATAACGGAGAGACTACTTTACTAACCGTACTATTTGTTACTTATCGGATGATGCAGTTTGAATTGGTTAAGTGGATCACCGGTGCAATTCAAGCAGCAAAAGAAAGAAAAAAGAAACGGGTGGATAATTAAGGTAGGTAGTACGTGGACGTGGTTGAAGATGAAGGGCGTTGGCCACGTACCCCGACAGGTGTGCAAATTCGATTGCGACTCAGGAGACAGGAGAGTGCATGTGTCACCCGTCCATCGTCATTTGCGCGCCCAATTTCCAAAATAAGTGCAGTCGTAAATATCCGTACCCAACGTTTGACTATCCGTCTTATTTAAAAATTTTATGAAAAATTTAAAAATATTTAGTCACACATAAAGTATTATTCATATTTTATCATCTAAGAGTAATAAAAATACTAATCATAAAAAAATTTCAAATAAGACGAACGGTCAAATATTGAACGTGAACAGTGTAAATGTGTACTTATTTTAGGACGGAGGGAGTAGTCTCAAGTTTTGTTTCGGATAAGGTAGCGTACTCGATCCATGATCCGTCAGCCAGTAATTGAATTGAATTGTCCTAAGCGTGGGCGGTGCACCGACCAAACCACCCCCTCTCCTGTGCATGTGCTGCTGATGCTGATCGATCGTCTCTGGAACCCATTCTTGGCATTCATGTCAATTAACGGCTTGATGATGATCGCTTTCCAAACCAAACGACATGTACATGACAACATCCGAAATTACCGCTTCATTCTGGATCAAGACGTATCTGATTTCCTTCCCTTTTTTATACTCTTATCTTCTCTTTCATTTTTCATAATATCTCTTGTTTAGATTTTTCTTATATCATACCTTTCATTCTTTAATTTTCACATCTTAAAAGAAAAGATATAGTCTACAACACAGGCCTAGGTACGTAGTTACATGTTCAGATCAGGACGCTAAGTTATCAAAATATTGATTGTCTTCCTCCCTCCGTTCCAAAATAAGTGCAGTTTTGCACTATTTACGTTCAACGTTTGACTGTTCGTTTTATTTGAAATTTTTTTATGATTAGTATTTTTATTGCTATTAGATGATAAAACATGAATAGTACTTTATGTGTGACTAAATATTTTCAAATTTTTCACAATTTTTTAAATAAGACGGACGGTCAAACGTTGGGCACAGATATTCACGGCTGCACTTATTTTGAGTTGGAGGTAGTACAATTTTATAACTTGACAATCTTATTTAAGATTTTTGATTCTACAATTCTATATGTACTTAGAGCTTGAAACTTTTAGTTCAGAATCGTGATTTTAACAACACTGAGAAAGACATTGACAATATCATAGAAGCTAGTACAAAGGTATATAGAAGAAAAACCTTTATTAACTACAAAATGTATCAGCAGTAACGTACATGTATAGTAGGCAGATCTGTTTATAGTTAGACCAACCATATACGTACGTATTTACAAACTGAATACAGACTTTGGGTGTTCCCTCGTACTAAACAAAAGAAAAAAAAACACACTCAAAAGTAAGACCATGACCGATATATCTGCAATACTAAAATGTTTATGCAGATCATGTCCCCTAATTAATCATAGCTAGCACTCCTTAATAAGCGCCAATTATTATTGTAGCTATCAAGACTTGACGGCGGCCACTGCCGGCGACGAGCGCGCCTACGCGGCGGAGGGCGCCGGGAAGTACTTGACGGCGCCGGCCTCGGCGAGCGCCGTCCGCATCGGCTGGCTGGCCTCGTCGGCGTTGTCCTCCTCCTCCTTGTAGTCGAGGCTCTCGTCGTTGTAGATGTCCCACCACCTCTTCACCAGCATCTTTATATCTTCTCTGTTCATGTTCTCCTCCTTCCCGGTGAACCTCCATGGCTTCGAACCCTGCAATCAAATCATGCCATCCATCGCTCGATCAGATAATCGATCATTCACCGATCGATTCATCGAATTATCGAGATGATCGATCATGTAATGCTTACCGCTGCACAGTAATGGACGACCTTGACCTGGTCGAGGTCGACGTTCTCCGGGTGCCTCCAGAGCATGGCGAGAACGAGGTTGTAGACGTTGGGGATGGGCTTGTACTGTTCGCGGAAGAACATGTTGAGGAAGTCCTGCTCGGCGAACGGGGTGGGCGGCGTGACGACGAGCGCGTCGAGCAGGTCCTTGGCGGTGCCGAGGCCGGGCTCGTGGACGAACATGCCGGCGTTGAAGTAGAGCGGCGGCGGGGGGCCGAGCTCGCGCTCCGGCCACGCCACCTCGTCGGGGCGCTGCTGGCAGTAGCCGATGTCGTACTGCGGCGTGTGGCTCCACGTCTTCTCGCAGAAGCAGTCCTTGACGGCGTAGAAGGCGCCCTTGTCGAGGTCGAACAGGTGGTCGATGTTGTCGAACACCTGTATGTCGGCGTCGAGGTAGACCATCCGCTCGTACTCCACGAACTCCCAGATGCGGAGCTTCGAGTAGTTGATCACGTAGTAGGCCATGGCGAACTGCGTCTGGCTCTCCGGCGGGTACACCGGCTGAATCTCCCGGACCACGCACCCCTGCTCGACCAGCTTCCGCCGGTGCTCGCCGGGGACGTCCGGGAGCACGGCGACCACCAGCGGGTACGCCGAGCGGACGCGGCGGAGCCCCTTGGCGAGCCCCACGACGCCCTTCCAGTAGTCGCCGTCGCCGGCCAGGAACGTCACGTACGCCCTCCTCTTCGCCGCCGCCAACGCCTTCTTCTCCGACGACACGTTCGGCCCCATCATCGATCGATCAACAAACAAGCTTTGCAAATGATCTAGCTAGATCGAAATTTGCAAGAGAAATGTTAATTTGCTTCAATGGATTGGTGTGCTGCAAGATTTTGATGAGGAGTTCGTAGCGGGAGGAGGAGTTTAAATAGGGAGCCTGGTCGCCTCTACCCGTGGCGGTTTTGCGGTTGAGGACGGTTATCTCGGGGGATCTGGGACGTACACGTGTCCGGCACGGGAGATCGAACGGCTGCGGTGGAAAGGACGGGCCTCGGCAGGTTGGCGCGATATTTCTTTCTGGATTTATGAAGTGGGGTCCACTGATTAAGTAAGGCTGGGTGCGATGAATATTCGGCGTCATGGTATGGCCGGTGATTACGTGAGCAAAATCGAAATGGATAAAGTGAGTAAAAAAAGGAAGAAATTATTACTGACCTGGTTGGTAAATGTAAATTAAAGGTAAGAAAGTTAAGGCGGTTGGAATGTGGTAGATAGCTCTCTCGATCGAATATTCGATCGGATGGTGTTTTTTTTTACTGCCTTTATCCGTTGCAGTTTGGAATGCAATGGGGATCCTTCCATATTTATTGATTTTTCTTTCCTTTTATTTCTGGCCAGCCTTCAAAATTTAGGCTGTTGATTTTAATCGGGGCGGGTTTACTGGGATTTGATCGGAGGCTACCTTCAATTCCTTTTTTTTTATCTCCTACATTCAATTCCTTCAATTCCTACTGCCTTAACTGAATGAAAGGAAATGAATTATCGAAAAGAAAAGAAAAAGTAACGGAAGGAGCTAGAAGCTGGAATGAGGAGCACTCAGACTATATGGTATGAACTTTGGGTATGTTCAGTAAATGGGGGTAGAAAAATAATATCACATCTTTTAAAAATAATATTAATTGCATCATAGTTATTTATTTTTCACACCTCGTTTAATTCTAGTCATTCATTCATCGTCCCTTTTCATTCTTATACATCTCATATTACCTCGTTTGCCAAACACACCATTTGTGGTTTAGAAAATCTGGTGTCCATTTATTCGGAAATCAAAAAATGGTCTAAGAGACGACGATTACGCCATTTGCATAATATATTATAATAATTCGGATGGGATAATAAAAGGGAACACGTAGTATATTAAAAAAAAAAGGGCTTGCATGTGTCGCTGGAGTAAAGAACCAACCTGAGGAAACAATATTCCGATGGTTCGCTTTATATATCCGTGAAGGGAGGCACGTGGTGAAATGGGAGGGGATTGCATGGAAAGAATATGCAAATCTCATCTTCATTTTTTTTTGGTTGGGGATAAACGTGCATGGCCGGTATCTGCAGAAGCCTCTCCTCCAGTCTTTTAATTTGTTTCTAGAGTATTTTGGCAATCTGGCTACTAGCTAGAGAGTAAAAATTAAGAAAAAGAAAAGAATCTGGAACTGCTGCTGGTTGTAGATGGGCATATCAAGGGCAGACACATGTACGTACGCGTGGGTGCAGAATTAAGAAACGATTGATCCATTCTGTTGCAACAACACACGTAGTAGATCAGCTGGTATACCTAGCTTACCCTTGTTGGGTCAAATTAAAGGTCTCAAGGATGACATATGTTGCGATCTGGTCGGTGTGTGTGTGTCATTCATATTCGGTCCTGCTATGCTAGCTGCTTCTGCTTCTTCTTCTCCTTCTCCGCTATATGCGCGTGACTCGTCGGCATGGCCGCGTGCGCGCTGTCCTGTACAATATCTACTGTCCGTAATAAATATAAATAATATGAGCCTATTTAGATCGTAGCTATAATAAATCTTATCAAGTTTCGGTAATATTGTTAAAATTTTGGCAGGATTTCTTACGTATTGACCAAATTTAGCAACAAACTAAATGTAAACATTTTTTTTAACTTTGTAAAAAAATGGTATGGTTGAAATGGTATCAAAGTGAACATGCCCTATATAATATAGCTAGATAATATAAGTTTATATAAGTTAACATGGTTTACGATAATTTAAACCGTATACATAATGATGATCCAAATGTAAAAGTAAGGTGATGTGGCTTTACGAGAGAAGAAAAAAAGGAAGGTAATTTCGATCGTAGCTTAATTAATCATCTAAGGGTTAAAAATAATTAAGATGATATAGCTTAGGGGCATCCACAATGTAGTGCAAAAGTAGTCCATAAGCAATACAATATTTTATTCAGCCACCTAGCAATATTGTGGAACTAGTCCACAGAAAAGAATAAATAATAAATGCTACCCATAAGTATATGGGATGGCCATAGAGAATAAAATATGTTATTTGTCTCTACTTTCTCTCTCTCCTAATATTATTTGCTATATATATACATTGTGAAGGTTACAATAGTTAAAGCTCATATATATATATATATATATATATATATATATATATATATATATATATATATATATATATATATATATATATATATGGGTCCCATCTATATGGACTAGTTTTTCTATATACATTAGTGTTGCCCTGATGAGAGTATAAAATAAGAAAAAAAATTGGACTATAGATTAATCATATAAGGGCTTAAAAAAATTGATACGTTATGGCTTAATGAGAGAAGAAGAAAATAGCATTAACTAAGTGATGATGAACTCTGTAGGTATATAGAGTCCTATGAAAAATAGTGAAGAAATATATTCAAATATTATATGAATTATGTGGGATGATGATTTTATAGAATTATAGATAATACAACATACTTGTATGATATTTTAGAATGGTGCAAAGAAATAACAAATCCTATCATATCTTATAACCCACTAAATTCTAAAGTTCAACATGCAAGTCCTTGCATGTTAAACTTTAGATTGCATGTTGAACTTTAGAATTTAGTGGGTTATAAGATATCCTTGCATGTTGAACTTTAGGATTTAGTGGGTTATAAGATATGACAGGATTTGTCCTTACAAGGTTTGGTTCACTTCAACACCGATCCACATACTATACACATTTTGGCTGTATATATCCACACCTGAACACATTGGCTTCTGGGCATCTCAGTGGGGGTGGCTCTGAGCATGCGGGATAGGAGCTTGACTAGCATGACGAGGCAGAATCCCCAACCCTCACGCGCACAAGTGAAGGCGACATTATAGTTGCAGTTGGGACCCAGCCGCCACACGTGCACAGGTCCATGACGCGATCACTCCCGGCCGTTGGGAGCCACTCACCCGGGGGCCTTCGTCGCTGAGCTTGTCCCCGATGGCTGCCACCCTTCTCCCCTACTCATTGTCGGCTGACCTGGAGGTTGCGTTGAGATGGGAAGGAGGTGGAAGAAGATTGCCAGTTGATATGCGGGGTCTACATGGGTCCCACACTGACTCAACCGTCAAGTCACCAAAACTGGAGAGCGATACTGTCTTATAACCAAATGTGACATGGTTTTACAAGATTCTGGTATTCCGGTTCAAGGACGGGTTTAACACTCGATGACAAGATAAAGGACTGCAGGTGAACTTTTTCCGAGATGAAAAATTTCCAGCCTCATGGGCCTGTGCATATGACCCATAGGCCATAGGCAGGCCGCAGGCGGCAGCAGAGCGACTTCCCCAATCCATCATCCCGTCTCCGTCCTCGCCCGCCGCCGCCGCCGCCGCCGATCTCCATCCTGCGAGGTGGCGCCGGCTTCCGCCGCATCATCGCTCACCGTTGAGCATCCTAATCCATCCCATCCGCCCTCCTCGCCCGCCGCTTCCGCCGATCCCCATCCTAGCCATCACCATCACGCACGCCACGCCATCCGCCTCCATCCCTCGCCGCCGCCGTGCACCACCGCCGTCATCCGCCTCTTCCTCTTCTTCTTGCTCCACAAGTAATCTCATCTCCCTCGATCTCCTCTTCTCTCCATTTCTCTCCGTGTAGAGAAAGGAGGTGGAGACAGGGGTTGGGGAACACCGCCGCGTAGATAAGGCCCTTCTTCCATTCGGTATGCCTATCATTTTTCGATTTTGCGCAACACGTGATCAATTGTTCTGATTATATTTCAAATAATTAATCAAATTATCCAGCTCCGTAATAATTAGGGTTCCCCACTTTCTTCATTTTTTTGTACACTGATAATTGCTTCAGGTCAAAATTGATACAACAAGGCAAACACGCACTATCTTTGCAATACATTAATTTTAATACTACACAAGGCAAACGGCAAACTTCTTTATTTTAGTAATCGTACTACATTTCAGTGTTGTTCTTTCGATGTTCTTGAAAATCACCACAAATTTAGTTTTCTTGAATGCCAGTTTTTAGTACCGCAATCCAAATTCAGACTTTCAATATCAATCATTTGGCAATTAAAAAAAAATCACATATAGATACAAAGAGATTCATTTTACTTTGAACGCTCCCATATCATGATATGGAGCTAATCTGCTAGTCAAACACTTCTAAAAGGGATTATGACTGATTAAGGGGAAATCAAGATTCAGAGCCTTACCAAATTGTTTGGTGAATTTGTTAGTGTAGACTATGACTTCAGTAATGTGCAAGAGTAGCATTAAAGTAGAAAAGTACAACGTAGAGTTCTAACACCTGTTTAGACCGTGCTCAAATCCTTTCCTCGTTATTGTGGCATGGTGCTTATATTATAACTGATTCAATATTCTGAATAAACCTATTCCAGGTTCTATCACAGAGATGATGGCTGTGACAAATGGAGTAATCCATGCATCTTCTAGGGAACCCTTATTTTCCTTCGGTGTCATTGCTGATGTCCAGTACGCTGATATTCCAGATGGTCGCTCATTCCTTGGTGTCCCACGCTACTACCGTCATAGCATCAGCGTCCTCCAAAGGGCTGTCAGCACATGGAACAAACAACACAACATCAAGTTTTCAATCAACTTTGGTGACATCATTGATGGATATTGCCCAAAGGACAAATCGTTGTGGGCAGTGCAGAAGGTCCTTGATGAGTTTGAGAAATTTGATGGCCCAACTTACCACATGTTTGGGAACCATTGCCTCTATAACCTTCCTCGTGGCAAGCTAGTATCGTTGCTGAAGATGCCAACCGATTCTGATCGTGCATACTATGACTTCTCTCCATGTCCCGAGTACAGATTTGTTGTCCTGGACGCTTATGACTTCAGTGCACTTGGCTGGCCCCGTGACCATCCAGTGACTGCCGAAGCAATGAAGTTCCTGGAAGAAAAGAACCCAAACTCTGACAAGAACAGCCCTGACGGTCTGGTTGGCGTTGACCGGCGGTTTGTGATGTTTAATGGTGGAGTTGGTAAAGAGCAGTTGTCATGGCTCAATGATGTCCTCCAGGATGCATCAGCACGCCGGCAAAATGTCATCCTATGCAGTCATCTCCCAATGGATCCTGGCTCAGCTTCTTTTGCAGCTCTCATGTGGAACTACGATGAGGTGATGGCTATTGTTCGCCAGTACAAATGTGTTAAGGCATGCTTTGCCGGGCACGACCACAAGGGAGGTCACTCTGTGGACTCGCATGGCGTACATCACCGGACTCTTGAGGCTGCATTGGAGTGTCCTCCTGGTACTAGTGCATTCGGGCACATCGAAGTGTATCCAGACAAGTTGTTGCTTGTGGGTTCTGATAAAATGGCTGATACTGAGATGTGTTTTGAGCCCTAGAGTGAACTGTGTAGCGGAGGGAAATTCATCCAACTTCATTGTTTTGATTAATATTCAGAAACATGTGACTTCATTATACTCATTTTCTGGCAGCATAATTACATGTATGTAATAGCATGGAAACTGGAGGTGGCAGCAGCTGCTATGCTTGCCGCTTAATCTCCCCTCCTCTCTCCCAAGAGGAAAGAGGCAGCAAGATGAAAAGCAACCGAAAGGTAAATAAAGTAGGATAACTTTTTCCATGATAATATCACAAATTAGAACATGCTTGTTTCTTGAATATTGGACAAATATCAGAAAATAGAGTGTGGTAATTTTAGAAATGAATCAATCCAACGATTGCTTCTTGCCTGTTCCCTTTGTTTCACAACCACCTATGGGTATTCAATATGCTAATATTTATCTGGCATTGTTTATGTGCCATATATCTCACTGTAACTGCAAGATGCAGAGAATACTATCTTCCTGGGGTGGTACCTTAGCTTTTGCCCAGTAATTTTCACCGTTAACCATATTTTCCTGACCCTGTTTGGATTTGTAATGTTTTCAATTTTCCTTTAAGAGAATTGAAATGGTTCCTGTAGATAGTCTTTTCTGTCTCTCTACTTGTGTGAACTCTGAACCAACATTGGTCAAACTTATGCAGCCAATTTGACGATCAAGTGAAAAGCTTATCATGTCTAATATGCATATTTACACATTGATGACTACATCGCCAACCAACTGAACTACTATCAAGTATCATCTGGCACTTAAGATACAATATTGTTCACATCCTTCGATGCCATTTGATCAAGTGATCATTATCTACAAAAGAATTAATTGATCATCTGTCCAATTCTGAATTACTGATTTTCTTCTCCAGGGGTGAGAAGACCTTCTGCAGTCACGAATGCTGCTACCAAGAGATGTTCCTTTTTGTAACTTGTCAATTCAATTAGCCAGGATAATTTCCAAATGTCCGATCAACATGATCTGCCTCAAGCCCTCTTGCTTTTCTTGTTCTTGTAGAGTGATTGTTGACCAATTAGGAGCTAGTGTTCAGAGTTGAGATTAAAATCCTCATTGTGAGATGCACATCAATTCTGGTTGTCTGAAATGTTGCAGTTTTTATATGACTGTTATATCAATATAAGTAAAGCTGCCAGGATGTTCATCAGTTTGTACTGCTCCCACACAAATGCATGCTGGATACGAAAACGGACTGGCAGGTGGCAGCCCCCCTCTGTATACAGTACTACATACGAAACGGGAAAAAAGAGAGGGGGGTTTTTAAGGATAGGAGGACTGGTCCCTGACAGGCAGAGGCCTAGCCCATCTTATCAGATGGGCCGCCAACCTCCTGAATCGTCCTTCTCAATGCATTGCATACAGGCTTTGCAGTATGCAGCTCAGGAATCTCGCAAATCTTAGACTGAAGAACTAAAAACTTAGAGTAAATTTCACAAAACTACAGGTATTTTGGTCAAATTATCAGAAAACTACAGATTTAACATGATGTATCACAAAACTACAGATTTAACACTAATTTTATCACGGAACTACAGATTTAAGATAAAATATCTCAAAACTATAGATTTTAGTAACAAAGATATCACAAAACTACATGTTTAATATCAATTAATCATAAAACTTGAACATTTTCAACTCAAACATAATATTAGTGCAACGAATTTAACCCCCAAAATATGTAGTTTTGTGATAATTTTATTATTAAATATGTAGTTTTGTGATAATTAGTCTTAAACCTGTAGTTTTGTGATAAATTTGTTGCTAAATCTGTAGTTTTGTGATATATATCCTTAAATCTGTAGTTTTGTGATAATTTGGTCAAAGTATATGTAGTTTTGTGAAATTTATTCAAAAACTTAAAAAGATTTGGCCCTGTAGATACAAGAAATGAAGTAATAAAAAGGTTAGAAATGCAAGGATACTAAAAGGTCATTAGCTGACCATCGGAATCCCAACAAGCAAACCATACAGACTATTTATCTGCCGAAAGTTAACAGACCTGAATAGGCTTTGATTGAACATATGGGAATATGGTCATCAACTGCCTTGACAACGCCACATACCAGTAAACCTTCCACCAGCAAATCTTCCAAATCCACTGTCTTATACACCATTTTAGCTGCACCGACAAAGAGAAATGAATAAAAACATGCTTCAGCAATACGATGAACATGAATGCCAAACACTACAAAATAAGCATGCAGGCTGCACAAGATCTTTCAATAATTAAAGCTTAAGGTTATAACACAAACTAGCAAGTGCTAATTAGCTACCTGACATATAACTTGAGGCAAAATCATCGATTACCGCAACACCACAATGTAGTTCGGATGCTATTTCGATGACACCTTCCGGGTTGCCATTAAAAAACAGCACAACCAGTTGCTTCATGAAGTAATATACTGCTACCCGATAAAAATACGGTTGAACTGTCACCAATTGCCTTACTGCCAGCTTTTGCTGATTTCTCCAGTCCAGATTTGGTTAAAACACATAGCTGTCATCTTATGTTATATTGAATCTGCAAATGGACAAACCAGACATTATAACAATAGATAGCACCGATGAAAAAAATTTATATGTTTGTCCCCAAAGTTGCCTTTGTGGGTTTGCATGTCACAGCCTAGCGATAAGTGTTAGCTCGTGATTAAAAGTTCCAGGAACCAACATTCATAGCTATTGTAGCAATATATGGGGATAAGAAAGTTTTTTTGCCGATACATATATATAGGAGATATCAGGTCATATGTCTTCAGTTACGATCATAAATGATTTACATGAGCTATAACCACGATTATCTAGTTCCGCTAGATCTGTCCCCTGAACAATCTTGCATAGTTTCTTTTGGATCTGCTAAAGTACAAGCCTGAGAATCACAGTTAGATGTATGATGTTTACATGAGAAAAGTAGCATAGTGTCCATATTTCAGAAGGTTTAAAAGAATAGTACCTTGTCGCTTTGCTACCTTGGTGTGTGTGCCATGGTCTGGTTCAGAAGGTGCAAAGTACTGCATGCATCAAGCCGAGGTGTTCATGAAATCTGTGTTCAACCATCCACCAGCTTAGAGCCTTAGATCCATTAAGAGTAGATCGGACCTTCAAGCTTGTTGGTATGTCCATGTAGGCAACACAAGCAAGAAAGCATCTAGAAGCTCAAGTTTTCGAAAAACTTAGTTGTTCTTCAACTTAAGCACACTTATCAGCCTTTCAGAAACATCTCTATCGAGAATGATACCATTCTCCATCATATACTCCCATATCTCATAAGCCAACGTAGCTTTCCCTTCATCCAGAAGACCACTGATTATATACCTAAATGTCAAGTTATCTGGTTCTACCCCTTTTGTCCTCATTTCCTTAAAAAGGTCAAGGGCCTCAACGGCTCTTGAGCTTTTTCCAAGCCAGTATATTAGTGTGTTAAAAGTAACTGTATCTGGTGATACTTCTTTCTGAGTCATCTGCCAAAATATTTTCTGTGCATGTTTGAAATGACCAACCTTACATAAATTATGCAGCATAATATTGTACACATTTACATTAGGAACAATTTTGGTGTTTAGCATCTGGTCAAAAAGCTCTTCGGCTAGATTTGAGTATCCTATGCCAAAAAGACCATTAATCAGAATCCCATAAGTCACAGCATCAGCTTGAATTCCCTTGTAACCCATTTCCTTGAATAGGTTCAGTGCAGAATTTACCTTTTTTGCCCTGCAAAATGCATCGATGAGTATGTTGCAGGATACAATATCGCAGAACCCACCAACTTCCATATGATCAGAAACGAAAGCAAATGCTTTGTCCAGTTGATGAGCTTTGCATAGCCCTTTTAACAGTATATTATAGCTGTACCTGTCAGGATTCACCCCACTCATTTCCATCTTTCTGATCAAATTTTCAGCTTTATCTGTCATACCTATACTACAGTAATGGTTTAGAAGGATATTGTACGTCACAACATCTGGTTCACAACCATTTCTCTGCATGAAGGACACAGTTTTGTAGGCTTTCTCTATGCTGCCAGCTCTCCAGAAACCACTTATTAGGGCATTATAAATCGAAACATTAAGTTGGATATCCAGAGTTAGCATCCTTGATGCTAATTCAAAAGCCTCATCAACCTTTTGATTCTTGCACAAACCAAATATCAATGCACCACAAGCTACAACATCAGGTTTAAGTCCCCTCCTCACCATTTCTTCCCAGAGCCCAACTGCTTCTGAGAACCTCCTGTGATCGCATAAACAGCTAACAACTGTTGTGTAGGTGACGACATCTGGGCCGGTTCCTTTCATGGTCATCTTCTCTACCATTTGCAAAGCATCATATAACCTATTGTGACCACACAAATAGTGAACGTATATGTTACATGCCCAAAAATCTGGGAAGCACCCAAATTTATCCATGTCAGTCAGAAGCTCCTCTACAAGCTCAATCCTGTTTGATTGACACAATGCAGTAATCCACCTTGAGTAAGTGAATGGAGTTAAACAAAATCCTTTTGCAAGTGCCATGTTGTAATACTTCTCGACCAAATCAAAGCAACAGTTCTTAATCATAACACCTATGAACCTGTTGTAATCGACACCGAACTCACGACAACCTGATGTGACCATCTCATCAAATGTTTCTATGACGGAATCAAACTTGCCAGCTCGGGCATAGCCAGCCAAAAGTACCCGATAGAGAGAGCGATGAAATGCTACCCCCTGGCTCCTTACTCTTCCCAGGAACTCCGAAAGCAGGGCGAAATTGTCATCTACAAACAGCAAGCTTATGATGTACGCTATGGCAAAATTGTTATGATAAAATCCAGGGCGTGACTCTGCCCACCAGTAAAACCGAACTGCCATCCCCGAGTCCAACAAGCCACGGAGCACCTTGTTGACGACGAAAGGATCCAGCTCGACATGGAGGCCCTCCAGCTCCAGCTCAACCGACTCTGACCACCTCCCACACTCCAGCGCTCGCCCAATAATAACGCAACTGGTCTCTGTGCGAACTGGCCGGAAAAGCTCAGACAACCGGCAGTGAGCCCCTGGATTGGCATTGTCGACGCCGGTGCTGAACCTCGCTACCTGCCTCGATGAAACGATCCAGGAAACGGTGTGGAGCACGCAGAGCCTGGTAATGAGAGACGACGACCCAGATGGTCGTGTGGCCAAGAACATAACAGATTGACCTCCTCAGGGGAGTTGTGTCGAACACCTTGCCGGCAGTCAGGCGCTGGCTGCGGGCCAAGGCAGACGAGCTGACTGGACGCGACCACGCCGGTTGTTTCGCTGGGCGGAGCTGAAGACGAGGAGGATGCAGGTGGAGAAGGTACCGGATTGAAGCGGCAGGCGAGGTAGGATGCGAGGCGCAGGTGGTGGGAGCGCGCGGATCGGAGCAGAGGGAGGAGAAGCGAGGAGCTAGGTTAGATAGAGGATGGCGCGACCGAGCGGCAAGCGCATGGGGAGGAATGGGGCGGGGGGGATGGTGCGGAAGACGGATGGGGATCGAGCGGGAGGTCAGCCGGCGGCGAGACGGCGGCGGCGGCGGCTGGCGACGAGACGACGAGGGGGGGGGGGTGAGATGGCAAGGCAACGGCTCCACCTTCGAGATGGGCTGTGCTGTACTGGGCGTTATCTAGGAGGAAGCCCATGAGAGAAACTACGGCCCATATGGATGGATCATAGTGGGCCACATGTTGACGGCCCATATAGATCAAAGCAGCCGCAGAAAAGCCCAATGTACGCCGAGGAGCCGGTGGTCGCACCCATCTATCCATGGCTCGCGACCACCGTGGATGGATATATGGATGGTCTCAATCGGGAATAATTAGGGTCGTTTGCTAATTACACCCTTAATTAACTAATTGGGATTTCCCTTAATTATTCTTTTGGGCTACAAGCCTACAATACAATACATAATACTACCACCAGCCAATCGCCCAATCAGTACGAATTACTGTTTTTTTGTTCTTTTCAAGATGAAAACAACAAGTGTAGGGAGTTCGGAGACAGGATTTTTTTTTTCTAAACAAGGCTTAATGGGATCTCGAAAATTAAATCGAAGAGGGAAAAGGAGGGAGAGGGACGAAATTTTACTCTACCGATCCAAATGATCGGGGTTTGTCTTTTTTTTTTAAACGAGATTTAGGGGTTCGGCGATGAAATATCCGACCCCTTCTACGGCCGAAATTTCTTGTTTTTTAGAACGATGCATGCACAGCACAGTGCGGCGCGCGCGCATGAGCTTTTGAACGATTCATGCATGCACGCACATACGCTCACTGGTCTAGGGAAAAAAAGAAGCAGCTCACATCAGATGAGAATCCAGAGAATCTTAGCTACTCTAGAGATTAAAAAGAACAGCAATATACAACTAATATCCTTTTTTTAAAGGAATTACTAAATATCCTTGAAGATTATCATGGATATGCATGCACAGCGCATGATGATTCAGAAAGAAAAATGAAATAAAATCAGAAAGGAAACAAAGCTAGGCAGTCAGGATTCGCGCGTTGTTGTTGGGTGAAGCAGAGACAGCAGCAAAGCGCGACGACACACGTTTGTCTAATCCGATTCCTTTGCCCATTACTACTAGAGTATTTCATTATACTAGTGCTGCTGAATCTAGACAAAGTATACTAGTGGTAGTACATCTATCAGTGATTCAGTAGTAGTAATGCAGTTTCACTTTTACCCCCCGGGATAACTAGCAACGTTAGTTTACCAACGAAGATCATGCTATACTCTCTCTCTCTCTCTTTTTCTTTTTTTGGTTACAAATCCTGCATGTTGAAACAGTCATACAGAAGATCATTACAATACTGTATAATTAAGAAGAGAAGATCCAAGATTGAATTTGACTAATAGTAGGAAGAGGAACCGGCAACGATTGCGGCATGCATACAGCTTCTAGACAAATTAAGTGGCTTCTCTGAATCTATGATGATCATGTTCATCCTTGTCCATCTGCTTGCTTGGGTGGTCACTGGTCAGACAAGCTAATTTGCTGCCTTTTAGTATTACGACTAATCAAAAAGCTACTACAGCAGCCTGCCTACTCACGCATTTTGCACCTGATGTTCCATTCCACGATCGATCTCTTATACTAAGTTGTTGGTTTTGATTAATTGTCAGCTCTCTCATCTTCTTGTGATCTTGTCTCACTGTCGGACTTGACCACAACAACAATACAATTATAGCGATCGATCGAGATGTGACCCCTTATTTTGGTCAGAGCATCTCCTGTTTCGTTCTTCGATATATTCCTGTCTCCTAATTTCTTGTTCTTCTCCAACCCACTAACACTACGACTTAAAGATTCATTTGCATCATGTCTAGTGTGTTTTACTGGTCTTGGAGTGGCACTAATTGGGTTCGTTTACTGCCAGTTGTTGTGGATGGACTGAAGATTTTATTACTTCTAGGGCATCAAACTTTCTTCTCCGAGTCAAAGCTAATTCTATCTATCCTCGTTGAGATCTGTTCAAATTAAGTGGAATGTTCTATATATGCATCTTAAAGACTTGTGTCAACGCATGGTCTCAATTCTCTTAAACTTTATTACCACTGTTAAAACTTGGAAAAATCATCCAAGGAAACCCTAAATTACTACTACTGCTACTAATGTCAGGGTTATTGCTCGGTCACTACGGCTGTCAGTCTGAATTCTGCATACTACTACACTTGTTGAGCTAACTACCCCTCCACTGATTATGCTGCTAAATCATCTCAAAGTCAATCAATTTCTTCTAGAAGATGATGCTCCTTGTAATACGTCCTTGTCTGCAAGGACCTCGCATTGAAACTAGCAACCCCCTGCAACAACTCATTTCTTGGCATACCAAATAAACAAACACATCCTGAAACGAACTCATTTCAGTGTCGTTTTTATGCCATCACTCACCTAACCTAGCTCGCACATCAAACGAGGACTGCAAAGTCAAGGCCCTGTCCTGAATTGCTGTACTAAATTCAAGAAAGCGCCAAGCAAACCATTTCTCAGCCATATACAAGTCTCATATATCATGCAACCAGCAGCATTATTTGTCTTTGTGAAAATGAAAAAAAGGGAAAAAGGTCCTGGCTTGCATCATCATCACTTAAATTTTGACTCGAGAAAGGAAGTTTGAATATTGCAATAGCTTTGCAATTTGCATTCGACTGCACTGCACTTTGTTGGCTGCCTTCTTTTTTCTCTGAATTCAGTTTTGTCATCAGTGATCAGCTAGCCTAGTCACCAAATCGAGTGTTTGCGTCGGAGTGGTGCTTGTGGCCTAGTATTTAACTGTACGCTGGACATGACCCTTATCTACGCATTTGAACATTGAAGGGTCTAAAGATTTTTTAAAGCAATTTCAGTCAAAGACGCTTCAACTTGGAAGCAGACCAGTGTTACTAAAATTCCATCGCCCATCATTTCCATGCCGCGGTAATGGCGCTACTCAGATATTTGGAGGAGCAAGTTGTTACCTCATTGCCATTGAAATTTTGTGTCTGATTAACAATTAATCAAACTGCAACTAACTTGACTAGTGTCTTCATCTGCTGACCAATACAGTACAAACTTGGTTCCTGCTGGGATGATACATTTCACTTGTAGTATTTCAGTGAAACCATCAATTGTAACCCTGAAACTGCTGCTTTTTTCAGATAGAAAACAGTATTGGTCAGCACCTGAAGCACTAAGCTGCTTAAGGTTTACAAACATTGACAACCAAAAAAAAAAAAAGCTGCTGCTTTTTTCAGATAGAAAACAGTAACCCTGATTTGTTACTTTCTTCTATTCTCAATCTGAAGTTGAATTTGAACTTGCATATTTGTGTAATGATATATATTTCATATCAGTTTATGTTGTTAATTTTTTTCAATTTTTTTATAACTAATTAGGTTACATGCAAGAAACGAGTGGATATCCTCTCGAGGGATGAAAATACTTTCCCCAATCTGAACCATATTGGTTCCCATCTTGGACAGGCTTAAGGATTGTGCCACTTGTTATTCAGAGGAGAACTGAATCCCCGTTTGTAATGACCAAGGATGGCGTGGAAACCACTAAGATCTAATGATAGGTAATAGAGTAGCATGCTTGAAAAACTACTGCTACATGCTACTGGTTGTTGGTGCCCTATCAACTTCAGAACCATCATTGGTGGCCACACTCTCTTATCCCCTTCTAACTTTGCTGTGCTTCCTGTAATCACCAATCGTGCAGACAGGACGATGGTGAAATTCCACACGAAGATAAATTTAGTAGTAGCTTTCACCACTAAGCAACAGAACGGTGGTATACATATATTTGCATAAGTACTTTTCACCTGGGTGAACTGAACAATCAACACCATGGTTACGCTTCTTTTTGTCGTCATTTCACTTGGAAAAGCACAGTAATCGGACAGTTGGATATTTTCAGGAGATGCTAAATTTTGGAATGATGCACCAATTGGCAAATAGTGCGAGTAAAGATCACCAACCACTGTAAGTGCGCTGATTCAATATTAATTTCTTTCTCACAGAAAATGTTAACTGAGTAAGAAATATGCATGCAACTGTCTGTCATCAGTGAAGGCTAGAAAGATGCGAAAATGCAACCTTGTTCATTTGTGACTTGGTGATAATGTAAACTAGGGAGTTCACCAAAGAATTAGTTGCTTTAACTTTCAGTTCATTATGCAACAAATGGCATGCGTATGATTTATTTAGTTATATACTTGACAGTAGCAGCTGGTTTTAGTAGTACTTGTTAAGTTTCGCCGCAATTAGCATGGCTTTTCAGACAGTACAAGCTACTATAATAATCGGCCCAGGTTGATGCTTGCCAGGTAATGCATAAACTTTATGTCAAAGGAGATTAATTAGCATATGCTTTTAATTTAACAGAATATGGAATCACAATCATAGTCCTAAGTTCTTCATTTCTTGCAACAAGAGTCACTAAGATGCTTAGATCCAAAGTTGGGTTGATATTTTTCAGTCACATGTCGCAAAACTTTTGTTTATGTAAATCCTAACCTTGTAAAAGCGGCATGGAAACTCTAGAACAATGGTGGCGGTGAAGTGAAAAGGAGGAACAGGAAGTTGCCTGCAAAATTTTGTAAAGCTAGCATGACAATGACAAAGTAGGAGCAGAAAAGGCAAGAACCAAATTCCTATTCTCTGCAGTTCCAGGCTTCCATTCTATTCCAGTCTTTTTAGCTGAGTTGCTGTACTTTTATGATTCTAAGCTAGCACACTACTGCACAAAGAATAGGACATATTCAGTTCTGTTTTTTTTCGGAGAGACCAAACAAGACTCTACTTCGGCTCTGCATCACCCAAGCATGTAACTTTAGAGCGTGGAAGCTGCTGGTAGGTTTCATCAAAGTTATAGTAGAATAATTTTCATCTTGTTTCCAACAAATGCCATGTTCCTGAACGTTCCTTTCACTTCAACGATCGAAGTAGTAATATAAGCAATCAAATTGGGATCAATCAAGAGCAAAGTCTTCTTTACTTTCACTCAAAACGAAACAAGAATATAGCAAAGATAAGAAAGGAAAGAATGGAACGGAGGAAGGATGGCAACTTTATCTCTATTATATACTACTAGGTACTAAACGAGTATCATATAGATGTAGGCACAGCAGAACACAATGTCATGGTTACTTGGTTAGTGCTAATCACGTCTGAACATGTTTGCTGCTGCTTTAAGGGACATATTCTTAGGCTTGTCCTGAAACTCGGGACAAGTTCCTTTCATCAACAAGTTTTTGTTAAGCTCCCCTCGTGTATCAGACGCTGTCCCCTCTGAATCCATATTAGTGTCCAAAAAGGGTTCAGATCTTCTATTGCTAAAAATACATCTGTTTTTTTTTTGTTTGTTAAGGAATAGTTGCACTGTCCTTGTTGCTCGCTGCATGTTCTTCAAATATTTCCCTGTCTAAATTACTCCAAATGGTTGAACAAAAACTAGATAAGTTTGCAAAAGATCAACACAACTCATCTCAAGACAGCCTTTTGCTAATCTTGATCCATCAAGTAGTCCAGCCTCCAGAATTGGAACACATAAAAGCGGCGCCGGAGTTCATCTGAAACAAGTTACCTAGCCCTGTCTCGCAGCCATCTTTTTCATTCTTTTTTGTTCTTCTTTTCTTGAATGAAACTGAGTTGAACCCTTTGGAGCCTACAAACACTGACCCACAAGCTAGTATTGCAAGTGCTCCAACGATCAAACACTGAAAAAACAAAAGAGAGTTGAGGAGCTTGCTTTGCACAAGCAAAACCCGCTTTCCCACTCGCTAATCTCGTGATGTGTCCCCCACTTCTCATCAGACAATGTACTACTAGAATACAAAATTAGTACGCATTGCAGCGGCAACAAAAAGTTCATGATAGTACGAGCACTTGCAGATCGATTAGTTAATCTATCAGTTTACCTGCTCATCGCCGACGTGATCTTGCAGATCGTGGCTTAGCACGTACGCGGATTTAGACAACGTGCTGCATGCATAATCTGAAAAGAAAATAAAGGAGGAACCCTATTCACTATCCTAACCCTGAAGGACATGCACTTTCGTGTCTAATCTTTGTCATCTTGTCAGTGGAACAAGAGCTGGCAGTACCCTTTGATTAATCACGTTGATTAGCTCTGACCCCATCTTAATTACTTAACTAGCATAGCGACCCGCACAGATTGTGCGGCTAGCATCATTATATTTTCTTTTATATAATAGCATATATGTTTTCTCATTATATTATTAAAATATATTACAATGACAACATAATTTTAAATTTTACAATAACTTTACGAAACTACTAATGTGTAATATTCATATTGTATTTTATATATGTGTTAGTTATTAATTATTTTTAATATCAAATTTTAGTTATTTGTAAATTATATATATTCCTATATGGACTCTAGACTCGTCTTTTAATATTTCTTTTTTTAATTCTGATTTTTTTATTATTTCTAATTGTATTTATATGTGGACTCTAAAGTCATCTTTCAATATTCTTTAATTTTTAATTTCAAATTTCAGTTACTTCTAAATTGTATTCCTATATTGACTTTAAACTCTTCTTCCCATGTTTTTCTTAATTTCGAATTTTAGTTATTTGTAAATTGTATTTTTATACGGACTCTAAACTCTACTTTTAATTTTATTATGTTTATTCTAAATTTTAATTAGTTTTAAATTCCTATATGGACTCTATACTCTACTTCTAATATTCCTTTTTTTAATTCCGAATTTCTTTTTTTCTTAATTGTATTTCTATATGGACTCTATACTCTATTTCTAATATTCCTTTTTTTTAATTCCGAATTTCTATTATTTCCTAATTGTATTTCTATATGCACTCTATACTCTACTTCTAATATTCCTTATTTTTAATTTTGAATTTCAGTCATTTCCTAATTGTATTTCTATATGGACTCTAGTCTCCTCTTCTAATATTCCTTATTTGTTAATTTCGAATTTCAACTATTTCTAAATTGTATTTGTAGATAGACTCTAGTCTCCTCTTCTAATATTCCTTATATTTTAATTCCGAATTTTAGCTATTTCTAAATTGTATTTCTATATGGACTCTAGTCTCTTTCTAAATTGTATTTCTATATGGACTCTATTTTTTCTTTTTCTTCGATTAATGTGAGAATTTCTAGGCCATGAGAGCGAACGTGAAGGCTCCTTTTTCTATTCCTTTAATAATATAATAGATTAGGAGTCGTGAACATTGTGCTAATACCAATTGAGTACATGCTTGTGTTAATTGCTTCACGGTTGGTTGAGCCTGGATTTTTATTTTTCGGTGATGAGCACTTAGTAGCAGCTATTAGTTGTAGATATAGCAATTACCAAAAGTAGATGGGTTTTCGTTCCTACAAAGAATGTTCGCTCACTCAAATAATCATAATTATTTTAAGATAGATCAATATGATTTATATTGTTTTATAAATATATAAGTTTAAATGACTTATGCACTTTTTTTAAAAAAAGAAACAAAAATTGAATGCCCGTGTTATAGTTTAATTTGTTCTTTTGTTATAATGTGCAGAAGTCAAATTTGAATTTGTATATTTGTAGAAGTAATAAATCACATATTAATTTATCTTATCAATTTTTAAAAGATATTAATAATTATTTGGGTGACATAATATAAACAAGGGAATGTCTCGAAAAAAACAATAATTTCCCTATAGAAAAACATGTCTTACCATACTGCATGTCTGCATACTGAACACTATTTTATCATTTTTTCGTCGGGTCGACAAAGAACGCCGACCGTAATATATTAAGAAAATAGAGAATGTACAGGGATGGCGAGGCTTCACAGCCACCGCCTATTTACAAGATGCTACACCACAAACACTATTTTATCTGAGATTCTCATCCCCAACCTCGAAAATGCAAGCGTATCTGCATATATGGACACATATGGATTGAACAGTACAGTGGTCTGCATATATGAGTCAACTCGAATACACGTATGGTAATCCATAGAATAATTCCCATTTAAAAACCCACGAATTCAGAGAATAGTTTGACCTTTGCTAGCAAGCAAACAGATTTGCATATGCATGAACAGGAACATGTCTATTAATCTGGCTACCTAGCTTTGGCATTTGGCAATGGAAAAGAAAAACAATAATGTCAGGGACAATCTGGCAATGGATGGACGAGACCACGGCACTTGATCGATTGTATCCAATACCAGGGACTGATCATCCAGGTCAGTGTGTGTGTGATTAAGCAGCTGCAATTCTAAATGACAGCACTTTGCTTGGACTTGATAGAGATCCCTGTGACAGATCAGAGGAGACCAGAGTCTGCGAGTTTGACAAAATTGGGCACCCTAGCTGAAAAACAATTCAATCCAAATGCTCAAATTTCAACGCGCGGTGTGGAACCTGACCATACCCTGCTGTACTGTATTTGTATTTGTGATTGTTTTTGGTTTTAGAATGATCAAGTTGGTAATTTAGTTAGCAGAAATTGGGTTGCAAAAGATTCTGATATTAGCTCAAGCAGTTGACTGATTGCTCATAATTGAGTGACAAAATGTGTACTAGTTGTATATTGTATTATAGTACCAGTTATTTTCAGTAGCATGTTGACAAACTTGGCTAGATGGTGTGGGTGTGTTCATTTCAAGTTTCAACTCTGAACAGCACATAAATCTGATAAATCTAAGCTAAAATGACAGCCACAATTAATCCGGCCTTGTCACCATCAAAAAGCCTAATTAAATTAAGGCTAAGAAAGAAATCTATGTCCTGATCATGCAAAAAGAAAAGAACTAAATTATATTGTGCTATGATTCAGAAAAGTCTGAATTTTTTTCACTGAAGTAGTACAAATCAATATCGATGTGAAACTAATGAAAGTACAGTGAAGTTGGCATATGTGAGACAGGCAAACTGGATACAGAGACAGACAAAACAGAGAGAGAGAGAGAGAGAGAGATTTGGGAAGGAAGTAAGGAGATAAGTCAGAGGAGGCGTCAAAGTTGACGTGTGTGGGTGGATTAGCATCGTTAATGTGGTGTTGTAATTCCAAAAGATAAACTAATCACGCATGGCATCCATGGCCAGCTCCGTCGCTTTAGGCTTTTGGAATCGATCAGAGCACAGCAGCTATCTCATCGATTAAGCTAATTAAGCTGCTTGATTGTTAGTAATTTTCTTCCAAGTCCACACATGCCATTATCATCCTCTCCTCTCCTCTATATATAAGGCCAAAGCCCGACCCGAGCTCTCCCGCCATTTTCCTCAAACGATATAGCTAGCTCTACTACACACTTGCTCTGCCCGATGATGATGGCGCGAGAGGTGAGCAGCGAGGAGGAGGCTGGCGGCGGCGACGAGCTCCGGCGAGGGCCGTGGACGGTGGAGGAGGACCTGCTCCTCGTCAACTACATCGCCGCCCATGGCGAGGGCCGCTGGAACGCGCTCGCGCGCTGCGCCGGTAAGCAGAGCAATTCTTCCTTCTTCTCCGATGGATCGATGGATGGATAGATGAATTGAGTTGGATGGTGCATGCAGGGCTGAAGCGGACGGGGAAGAGCTGCCGGCTGCGGTGGCTGAACTACCTGAGGCCGGACGTGAGGAGGGGGAACATGACGGCGGAGGAGCAGCTGCTGATACTGGAGCTCCATGGGCGGTGGGGGAATCGGTGGAGCAAGATCGCGCAGCATCTCCCCGGCCGCACCGACAACGAGATCAAGAACTACTGGCGCACCCGCGTCCAGAAGCACGCCAAGCACCTCAACTGCGACGTCAACTCCCAGCAGTTCAAGGACCTCATGCGCTACCTCTGGATGCCCCGCCTCCTCGAACGCATCCACCGCTCCTCCCAATCCCAATCCCACGACGCCGACGACGCCGACCTCTCCGTCTCCGCCGCCACCAGCTGCATCACCTCCGACCTCGTCGTCGACGCGCATCACCCGCCGCTCGCCATGGCCGACAGCAACGACTCTGCAGCCATGTGGCAGCAACATCAAGCACCACAGATGAGCGTCGCCGGCGCGCCGCCGCCGACGACGACGATGGCCCAACATGTAGTACTGCCGACCGCGGCGGCGTCGTGCCACCAGATGCAGGATCAGTTCGTCTGCGCGCGCGCGGCGGAGACGACGACGTGCTGCTGGTCCGAGTCGGAGTCGCTGCCGGGTCTCGCGGGGCTGTACTACGACGACGCGGCGGCGGCGCTGCCGGAGTTTGACGTGGAGACCATGGCCATGTGGGGCCCTGAGGACGACCCATGGTACACGCAAATGCTTGGCTTGTGAAAACCGTTGACCAAATATGATGCCTTCCTACCTACACCTACACATTTGTGTGGATTAAAGAAGAAGGAGATGCTTATTATTTGGAGGTTAATTTGATTTGATTTAACCCCCAATAATCTCGTCTCCAGTTCTTACCACATATATCGTCAATTCTCAAGTACAGTACATTAGCTACACTTTAGTACAGTAGTAGTATTTTGGAACATGCATGGAGTAATTACTTAAGCTACACTTGGTAGTTTTCCTCCTCCATGATCATCAAGTAAAAGCATGCATGCATGATCATGGATGGAGATAAACTACAGTGCTAATTAAATTAGTCTGGATGTACGGTTAATCGATCGCTTGGTTTTTACTATACTGCCTGAATTACTCCATTCTTAATTTCTCGGGACGGATGAAACGGATTGGTTTAATTTGTTTGTAATAATGTATATCAAGCTAGCTAGCTAGCTTAATTTGGTGATGATCTGGATACCACAATAAGACTTTTGGAACTCCTTGTGATATGATGGTGAGGTGTGGGACTGATTAAGAAATCTGTATCTATGCATATGTGTATAAGCAAACTCATGGATCGGTCACTTTCTTGTCTGATCAAGATCCAGATAATTCTATCTCGGCTTTCGTTATTACGTGTTTTTCAAACTGATAAATATATGGTTGGTTTGGTTTGTGACCTAAATAGGCCTTACCAAATTTTGTTGGTGTCAAATTTTAGCAAGTTTTGGCATGACTAATTTTGGTAAGGCAAAGTTGTGTTTGGATTGAAGCCAAAATAGTCTAAGTTCACTATTAAAATGGCCTATTTTCTTAGGCATGTCAAAATTTGGCTTCAAACCAAATAGACACTAAACACTATTGAAATTGACAAATATTGGTAAGCCTAATTTAGGCCTCAAACCAACCAGCCCATAGTGTCTTTTGTATAAAAGTTTTCTATGTAAAAATTACTCTAAAATATTAGACAAATTAAAATTTTGAACTTGTAATAATTACAACTTAATTAATTAAGTAATAATTGTTTTCACCATGTCTTAACTTTATTTTTATCTTTAGCAGAAAAGAAACACCTCATCAATCACCAACAATTCCTTCATTACTGTACAAACGACCAGCCAATATAATATTAGTCCATTAATCAGTAGTGATATTTGCAAACTTGTTTGTCCTGGTGACGGTGCCGATTGTGACACATATCTCTCAGAGTTGTTAATTTGCAATTATAAAATACAACTGACTTCTAAGTATTCGAACATTATATTAGTTTTGTTTTTCGTTTTAAACAAAGACTGCATTAATTAAGCACGCGTACGTTTGTGATGCTACACTTTTCTCAGAGGCTAATTGCATCAACCTCATCTAGCTAGCTTTAGCACTTGGTAACAAGCAGTGTCAAGTGATGTAATTGCAGATGAGAGATCAGCAGGGAGCAGCACTAAGAACCAACAGGAAAGGGCACGTTATGATTAGCAACAGGGAAGAAATGTTAGCTAGTGGGGTTAACTGTGCAAGCTAGCTAGCATGGGTCGCTTTTAGCTAGCTAGTTAGCATGGGAAAAGGGACAAAAAAAGGATGCATTATTACCTGCATATATTGCTGCTTCTTACAAAATTAATGCTTTTGGTTAATTTCTCTGTCAGCTAGCTTAGCTGGGGAATCAGAACATTTTAATGAGGATGATATTTCCGAATCAGAATTAAAAATGAGATTAATTTGTACGTTATGGGAGTAATATTCCAGCTGAAAGCTAATTAAGCAAGTAATACTACTAGTTGCTAGTGCTGGACGAACCGATCGATCCATGAGATTCAGGCGTCACCTGAGGAAAGAGAGAGAGATATATATATGAAAAAGTAGTTGCTAGCTTGCCGCCACACATGGATCATCGAATTAATTCGTGCGATTAGAATCATTCCGTTCATTCCCTCGCGGTTTGCGTGGCTAGATAGCTGGGCCCAAATTAATCGATCGACAATATGATCAGCTAGCTAGTTTGCTCCGGCCAATAACAGTAAGTAATGATTATATCGGCGGTCGGCGGCGGCGCCAATTCAAGCAAGCTTGTTCCTTTTCAGATCATCGACGCAGCATGGTCCAATTATATTAGATGCTGTTAATTTACAGCAGCTGCGACACTGATCGATGGCGAAGCGCATTAGCCGACTATACGTACATAAGTAATAGTGTACGTCTCCAAATTAATCATCTTCTGTTCTGATATACTCCTTCCTTCCCTAAATTTTAACGCCGTTGACTTTTTAAAATATATTTAACCGTTCGTCTTATTAAAAAAAATTTGTGAAATGTGTAAAACTATATGTATACGAAAAAGTATATTTAACAATAAATTAAATGATAGAAAAAGAATTAATAATTACTTAAATTTTTTGAATAAGACGAACGGTCAAACTTTTTTAAAAAGTCAACGGCGTCAAATATTTTAAGATTGAGGGAGTATATAGTTTTTAGCCTCCTAAGGAGGGTGGCTAATATAATTAGTCCATCTACAGTTAATTAAGTCATTTTAAAAATACTCTTTAATATATTAGAAGAAAACATAATTTTAGTTAGACAGCACAAACAACCAAAAGACTATTACCGGGGCAAGGAAAAAGCAACAAAAGAAACCCACAAAAGTTGCTAAGGGGAATCTAAAAGCTAAAAACTGCTCTTATAGGCTATGGGTGGCGGTTGTGCCCCACTAAATCCCAAAAGCCACATCACTCGCAGTTGACTACAGGCAACCTTCCTAAGGATAAACTCCAAAACCACTGAAACCGATGAGAGAGATAGTCGAACACTCTGGAGTTCCGCTACTTTCACAGTTACCAGAATACCGACAGGATTAACAAATCGAAGCCCTAGAGGTCGGCCACCACACCTGGAGCAAGCAGCCACGGGGAGATGCAAGGTCTGGCAAGCCAGGAGGAGACATAAAATGGTGCGAGACCTAACAGGTGAACACATAGACGAGAAAAATGTGGTTCACCGTTTCAATCTCTTGGGTGCAAAAAGGGCAGGCCGAGTGACTGTCAATGCCACGCTTTTTGTAGAAGATCGATCATCCAACTGCGGTACTGGAACACAAGCACAAGCCATAGGAAGAATTTGCATTTAGCGGGGCCTTTAGCCCGCCAAAGCAGATAAGAGCAGAGGGTCGCTAGCCAAGGAAGAAAGCATGGTAAACGGAGCGAGCCAAATAACGCTGGTCGCTTGTCCAACGCCAGATAAGACGGTTCACCGTACTCGAAGAGAGGTGGATAGAAAATACCGTATCCCGAACCGCCAGGAATTAAGTCGATCGATCGGCTTGTTAGAAGCAACAGCGACATCCACAATGCCAGTATATGTATCGTGCATACAAGTAGCTAGCTAGCTTGATTGCAGATGCTGATCGAGATGCAGATACATATCCACAAATAGCTACCGCATCTTTCTTAATTACTGTCATTCTAACTCTATCGATAATGATCGATCGAGCTAGATCTCAACTAAATTGGCAAGAAATTAAGAGGAAGAATAAACCGGCCATGCTTTCTACATACGTGATCCTTATGTATCGCCTACTATATAGCGCTAATGGACTAGTATTTTTTTAGTTTATTTAAGAGAATTTTAAGTCATATGCATGCATCTTAATTGAAGCTGGCTTGTAGGTAGATTTGAGGCAAATCCCCGGCCGATCAAAACGCACAACTAACTACCTTTAATTGACTAGTGACTAGCTAGTGTTTCCCTGCCATACATTTCGCAATCATCTGTCTATGTATCTCTGAATTAAACTGTACCTTTGGTCATCAATCATCATATGCATGTGTCGTCGTTTCAGACTTTCTTCAGTAATTAACCGGCCGGCTTAATTGCCCCATGGAATATATTGGCCACGAATTGCATGCAGGTGACAAAAGTGCATCTGCAAGTCAATCAAAAGCAACGAGACGACTTGAAAAGTGCAGAGCTGAAGGCGAAAGAGCAAAAGTCCAATGCATCTCATCCAATCTCATCCTCTAATCGAATCGAGACACACAAGTTGTAGCGCTGTTGATGTACTGCTTCGATCTTGCACGGAACACACACTGCTGGCTATGTACGCCTTTTTCTTTCAATCATTCAATTTATCTCATATTCCTCAACGCGCATGCATATTTGTCCCATTTCGATCGACCATTCGAGCATGTGTCGTGCTTACCTCAAATTGTCTTTCCTCGATAAACTCCTTTCAAGCAGCTGCATGATTGATGCATTTATATATATTGCATCCACCAAATTCTTGCAATTATATATATTCGCAAGATATGTTACTACAGCATAAGGAATATGCGTGTACATATATCCTCACCAATCATATCTTCAGTTATACATTACCATTTTTCTTTCGGGAAATGAAGGGATATATATGCATGGTTCTCCTGAGAAGATGCAAACAACCACAGATAATGCATGTACACATCTTATCCAATTCCAAACGAAAGAAATTATAATAAACTTGCATGTGCATGCATAACCTGAGCCTAACTATGTTGGGAACAAGTAGTTGTCGATCAATATACAGGAACGTGTCGTTTGAGAATATTGGCATATGCAACTTGCATGCATCTCTCTGCCCATGCCATATGAAAGTCTCCTTTGGAACTCACCAGTTCAGTTCGAGCCATGAATTGTCAAAATGGCATGCACTTGAATCAAGCAAGATCGATCGAATTGAAGCACGAGGTGAACGACGAGCTTAGCTTTCGGTTTGGTTAGCTTCCATCAACCCAGTGTTGTTGAAGGTGACACTTAAAAAATTCAGATACACACTTAGAATTTACATACATTAATATCGACCACGTCGGTAAATTAAACAAACATGATTGAGGCTGTATATTTTTGTGTGCCTACTATATTTGCTTCAATTGACTTCGATCGCTTCAATTGACTTGGATCGAGAGAGATGCAGGTTTACTGATTACGGTCGTACAAACTCAGATATCTTGGATAGCGATTGATGGAAGCCAACACGTAGTGTATGAACGGAATTGATGGTTTTTGAGCGAAACGTATCGCTCCTAACAAGTCATAAGTTGATCATATCTTGCTTAGCCATGAGGTTGGCAACTTGCCATGATGCATGCAACACGAACCAAAACTAGATTGTGCCACTAGCCTCTGCTGACGACAATTGTGCAGGTAAGTACAGTACCCTGATATGGTTGTGTTGGTCTTGGACTCTTGGTAGTAGTAGAGATGAGAGTATCTCAGGTCTTTTCATCCACTGTTTAGTCTCACACTGTTTACAGCGAGAAAATCTTGCCCCAAAAAACAGTCATGCCTTCATTCTCTTTTCACCGGACAAGGGAAATTAAGATCAAATTCCTGCTCAAACATTCACAAAAATTTCATTAGTATATAATACATAAATTGTAGTAATGTTATAAATTCGGCAGAGTGACGGTTTGGCATGACACCAACGAACCAGATGGTTACATCTTACAGGAAGGAAGCATTACAAGTCATTCGCTTTCATTTGGGCTGGCCGATGGCTCTGTTGGCTGCGCAGCATCTTCAGATGCCGTCTCCACGGTCTCTGCAGAGTCATTTGAAGTTGGTAAATTTGGGTCATCATCACTTACTTCCTCGTCCCAGTAACCCTCCAGCAACTTCATGACTAACTTGTAAATGGCATCATTGTCGACTTCCTGCAGATCTTCCAGTTTATCCAAACCCCCACATTCTAAAATAAACTGTGCATACGGGTTCACCGTGGAACCCTGCCCCTGCTTCCCCACTGCACCCGCCTGAAGTATGTTTTGAAGACCTTCCAGGCACGCATATACTAGGTCAGCATCTTGGTAAGTGAGAACATTGCAGAGTGGCTCCAAACATCCTCGACTCACCAAATATCTGTGGCCAAATAGAGAATAATCATTGCAGAGCACCAGGTTCAATTTCATTGACACAAAAAAAATACATTAAACATACATTTGAATGTAAAAGAATACCAAGACAATTCCTGGCTAGAACTTACTGAATTTGATCATTTGAACCACCAGACGCAGCATTTGATATAGCCCAAGCAGCTTCCTCCTTGATATCCTTCTCGGAGGTCTTTAATAGGAAAATGAGAGGGCTTATAACATCTGCATCAATTACTGCCTGTTGGAAGAATTATGGTCAAAACATAGTAGTACAATCACTTAATGTAGGGCATGGAAGATGATGCAGCAAAAATAGACATGGACATTATCCTTGCTGAGAAAGCACAAAAGTCAGAAAACACTTCTACCTGAATATTATCCTTGCTGCCAGTGGAGATATTAGAAACAATTAGACAAGCTTGCTTCTTGATGCTCTTTGGGTAATTTCGTGCTAGCAACGGGGCCAAATAATTAAGAATGTCATTTTCTACTAGGACCTGCAAAAAATTGCCTCGTAGGCTCAACATTAATTCCAGAAGATAAGGAGAAAAACATAGCAGAATATAAGAACTATCAGTCAAGTATTAGAACAAGTACAGAAGTATACAAAGTATATTTACATTGTCATTTCTACAATGTATACTATCCTGGAAGATAATAGTATACATTGGCATTTCTATGATGGAGGAATACACATATGAACAAAGAGAACACACGATGGCACAAGGTGACCACAATATGAGTTTCAGGTCATAAAAAGATTCCGAGCTTTACTGCAAACTTCCAGCCACTCCACATATGTCTTCTAGTCTAATTGTTGCACATCATTGCTAATCCATAGTGGTAAAACAAAGAACAGCGACAGGTAAAAACAATATGATGAGTAAACAACCTGCACTTGAGCATCATCTCCAGAAGAGATTCTCGCAAGTACCGTAATGACAGGAAGCAGGATATTAGCTGATGCATGCCTAAAATCATGAAACAAGTTAAAGTGTTGTAACAAAGAATATTTGGAAGTTTTCCATACGCAAAACTGTAGTACAAAGAGAACCCAGAAACTTACATCAAAAGATTTACAAGTTGAGGGCAAGCACCCGCATCTAGCACATGTTGAATTCCGTCAGATACACCGTCACATATATAACAAAGAGCCCAGCATGCATCACCCAGTATCTTTTCGTCGACTGAATGAATAAGCTGGCTGATTATATCCAGTATTGGCTTCACCTGCAACAATCAGCAATGACAGCTCAAATTATATTCCTTTTAAATTTAATACTACACACGCAGTAGTCATTCAGCAACCTACTTGCACTTCAGCTGGTAATTTTCCAAAACAAAGGTTTGACAACGCCCAAGTGGCAGTCCTCAGAACTGGAACTTTCATGCCTTCTCTAAATTGGGCAAGTAATGGTGTCACAGCACCATGATCAAGGACGATCTCTCTGCAGGTAGGCACGTCTGCAGCTATATTTCCAAGAGCCCAGATAGCCTTTTAACTCATAAGAAGCCAGAACCAACAATATCAGTAACCAAACCATTACAAAAACAAGTAGCATAGAGTACCAATCTTTACCTGATGCCTGATATTAGCATTTGCAGATTCTAAGAGCTCGACCAACCTTGGAACAGCACCACATTCTGCAACTAGCAATGTATAGTCAGATGCAGCTATGTTGGTAAGAACCCATGCCGCCTCCATCTGCAAAACAGTACATGCAGAATAAGAACATTTACAAATGGAAAATCCGGAAAGGGGAGACAGAAGAAGAGAAAAATAGACTAAACATACTTGTAGCTGAGGATGCTCATGTCTTGAGAGGAAATCAGAAAACCTTGGCAGGACATCTGCTCTGATGATTTTTATCACGGTTGGGTTCTTCTCTACAGAGAGAACAATGATGATAAGGGGGATATTAATGAATAAAAAGAGCAAAACAATATCGCATATTAAACATGTGAAATACCATCTGAAAGGAGTCTCCTGAATTGGATCGTGGCTTCTAACTGACTAGTGGTATCATCTGACCAGACCTTCTCCACCATTTCTGATAGGCCTTCAAGCTAGCTGGATAGAAAAGACAGAATGAGGGAATTTGAAAGGAAACGGAAGAAGAGCACTTCACAATGAGTTTGTGAAACCAATGGAAGCATTTCATTGTCCTAGCAATGTCACAAACCAAAGCTTTTCTTTAGACTTCACAAACCAAAGTATCGTGGTAAACAATTGGAATGCAATTGCAGTTTCGCACACCATAAGAGGAACGCGACATGGGTTATTTATGTTTCAAATAACGCAGCAGTATACAAACTTAGCCTACATCTATCTACTTCTAGTGAGTGTATTCAGCCAATGACAGCAGTGACTAGTGAGAGTGAGAGGCCTTTTTCCTTGAATTTCGTTTTGCAGATTGCCTACAATACATGACCAGAACTCAAACATACGGTGGGAAATTGCAGGTTTCTTTACATAGAATGAGAAATTTGACTAGCTCTAGTATATGTGCCAGAAGCGAGAACAGTCAGATACTCCGAAAGTAGAGTTAAAACCCTAGAGTAAGCACGCACCTCAGAGTCGGCGGCAGTCGGAGGAACGGATTCGGCGGGAGGTGAGGACGGGGGCGAAGAGGGTGCAGAGGAAGGGGGAGAGGTGGCGGTGGTGGTGGTGGGCACATCATCGGCCTGAGATGAGGGGGTCGCGGCCCTCGCGGGCGGGATGGGAGTGGGAGTGGGTTCGTCTCGGCGGCGCTTGAAGAGGCCGGCATCGCGGTTGCTGCGGCGGACGGCGAGGAGGCGGTCCTCGCGGCGGCGGCGCGAGCGGGCGACGTCGACGCCGGGCTTGTAGGCGGCGAGGCGCGCGTCCTCCGACGGCCGCGGAGGTGGGGCTCGCGGCATTGCGGCGGCCGGCGGGGTCGGGCTTGAGTCGAGCCTGCCTGGCTGGTCAACCCGGTCGGTTTGGAACGGAAGTTGGGGCATAAATCCGGGCCGTTGATTCTAAGGGGGTGTTTGGTAACTCTGTGATAAGGACTTATATTTTTATGAGGGGAAATAAAGTTTAGCCCCACTTTAATCTCTCCAATCAAACACCACCTTGTGTAGTCCAACGGTCCGGGTTCGACTCCCGGCAAACGCAAATTTATGCCTTTTGGGCCAATGGCACATCGGCCCATCCCATCAAGGGAAATGTCTTGGCCCAATAATTGTTTTGCGCGTGTACTATCTGGAGTATTTTAAATGAATATGACATATCATGCATTTAAGGGTTAATTGGATCCATGCCACTGCAATTTTGCCATATTAGAAAATTGCCGGTACTATTTGCGAAATCTGCTGAGTGCCACTGGAATTTTGTAAAATTGGATCCATGCCACCGCCGTCGCATTTTCCATCCATCGCCGTCACTCCAGTGTGGGACCCACACGTTAGCTCCATCCTCTTCCTCCATCCCCTCTCTTCTCCCTTCCCCGTCTCTCTTCGGCAAACAGCAGCAGCATGTGGTCGGCAAACAGCAGCAGCAGGTGGCCGGCAGCAGCATCGATCAACCTCCAACGCCCTTCATAGTTGTCTGCACCAAACACTCGTGCTCCGCAGCTCTTTGCCCAACACCAAAAATTAAATCTCACCGCCGCCAAGAAATCCAGGTCCAATCTCTTATTTGCTTTGATGATTTGCAATCACGTGGATGTTCTTTGCTAATCGTACGATCATTGACTCTGCTGTTCGAGTTGGCCCACGACGACGACAGCCACCACGGCGACGACGACCACGATGATGACGAGGGTGGCGCTGCAAGAAAGAAGCACCTCCTGAGGCAGCGACGAAGAGGCCGTCGACCAGCTGGTGGTGGCCACCACGCCGGCAAGCCAGCTGCAGATGGACTACACCATGGACCAGCTTTGGAACGACATCGCGGCGGTGGAAGCTGACACAAGCTACGACGCGGCGGCGACGGTGATGGCCTCGCCGTCATCGCCGGTCTGGGAATTCCGCGGCGGCGTTCGTGGCCCTTGCCGCCGTCGTCGGCCGACTGCTGCCGTTGCCGCCGCCGGCCACCTGCTGCTGTTGTTTGCCGGAGAGAGATGGGAAAGGGAGAAGAGAGGGGATGGAGGAATAGGGTGGAGCTGACGTGTGGGTCCCACACTGGAGTGACGGCGATGGATGGAAAATGCGACGGCGGTGGCATGGATCCAATTTTACAAAGTTCCAGTGGCACTCAGCAGATTTCGCAAATAGTACCGGCAATTTTCTAATATGGCAAAATTCTAGTGGCATGGATCCAATTAACCCTTTTTAAAACTCAATATATAAGCAATGTCAAATCATTATTTCCACATCATTTTCACATTATTTAATCATATACGTTTATCATTTCTATAACTAGATGAATATCCCGCCGCGTTGCTGTAAAAAATTAAGTTACATAATATGTATAAATAAGATGTAATTTGATTATAAAAACAAAACAATTTGATACAATTTTAAGACTAAAAATAATTGAGATTGCATGTTTTTAAGAGAGAAGAAATAAGAGATAATTTGGACCGTAGATCTATCATCCAAAGGTTAGAAATAATTGGAGTGATGTGGCTTAATGGGAGAAGAGAGAAATAGCATTAACTACACTTAGTGGGGATGAACTATATAAGTATATAGGATGTATAATATGTATTTATCCACATATTCCGCGGCAAAGCACGAGGTATTAACTAGTAATTTAAAACGGTAAAGCTCTGATATTTAGATTTAGCATAAAGTGTGGGCCCATATGCTAACTTAGCCGATTGAACTACGTCAACGAGCCACATCTGCGAAAAACTATCCTCAAAACTCATTTTGCACTGGTTTAAAATATCTAGTATTGCGGTTAACTGACACGAATTAGGCCTTGTTTAGCTGATAAAATTTTTTGCCCCAGCGTGTCATATCGGATATACGGACACACATTTGAAGTATTAAAACATAGTCTAATAACAAAATAAATTATAGATTCCGCTAGAAAACTACGAGACTAATTTATTAAGCCTAATTAATCCGTCATTAGCAAATGTTTAATGTAGTACCACATTGTCAAATCATGGCGTAATTAGGCTTAAAAGATTCGTTTCGCAATTTACACGCAATCTGTGCAATTAGTTTTTTCACCTATATTTAATACTCCATGCGTGTGTCCAATATTCGATATTCGATGTGATAGATAAAAAATTTTTGTTTTGGAAACTACATTCGATGTGACATGGCCTTAGATTGAAGCTACATTTTGAGGGAGTTAAAGTGAACATATTCCGCGTAAAAAGCCTTGGGCTGGGCGCTCACAGAACCTTCTGGAAGGCCGGGCCGAACCAACGCAACGCGGTCCCCACAGCCCACACGCACACCTCACTTGGTGCTGGTGGTATAAACCCAAACCACCGCGTCTCTCCCGTAGAAAACCCCGCGATTAAGGAACGAAACCTTCTCCGCCACCGCCGCGGACATCACCGCCGGCGACCACCTCACCTCGCCGCCGCCCCCGCACCCTCCGATCCTCCTCCCCTGATCGCCTATGGCTTCGGCGAGGGCCACTGACCCGCTCGCCTCGCGCGATCCCCCAACCTTGCCCTCGTACCTTCCTCCGCCTCCTCCTCCTCCCTTGCCCTCGCCATCGCCCCACCACCGTCTCCTCCCCGCTCCCATGGCCCCGATCCTCCTGCACCTCCACCCCGCCTTCCTCGCCCAAATGGACTCCCGCCGGACCACCTCCCTCCTCCAGGTTGCTACATCTATCACCATGCTTTCTTGCTCCTGCTTCCGCTGTTTATTTTTTTTCCCACCAATTTTGGGTCACTAACTCGCTCTTGTTGTTGGATTAGTTTTTGAAGGACGAGGGGGGCATCCCGTCGCCGGAGGCGGACAAGAAGAGGGAGCAGGTCATCCGCAAGCTCAACAAGGTAATAAAGCTTCAATATTGCGGTGCGCGCCGCGATCGAATCTCTATCTCATCCGCGCTGCTCTTCACAGATTGTGATGGACTGGGCCAAGGTGGTGGCGTACGAGCAGAGGGTGCCCCCAAGGCGAGCAACCGCTACCGTTTTGACCTATGGATCATACACGTTAGGGGTAAGCAACCAACACACAAAATATCTGAATGATTCTTTCCAATTGTTGCTTCCGATATATTGTGTGATATGTTCCCGACCCATGCTGCTACAGATTAGTACACTATACTTATTTTTTGTGTTGTCTTCACAAAATCACCACACACATTACCAATTATAAGCACAACTATATTCCACAGAGAGGCAGTTTACTAAGCGCTTAATTGTTACTGGGATAGTGCAGGATGTTCTAAGGAATATATGCCCAACCAACTTTGCTGCATTGTTAGTTGTGTGGTGTCTGGTGTATGTATCACTGTAAAGTGCACTGCCTTGTCACCTTTCTGTTTTCATTACCTTCTATTCTAATATACTTGTCTCCTATTATTGAGCCGGGCTGGCCTAAGATAGGCGGACCAAATTTACTTAAGAAAGGGGTATGTACATATTTACAAGGTTCCAACTTCGACAAGAGGCTGTCGAAGTAAAAGGATGTTGTCACAAGGGCAACTTCCCGAAAGAAAAAACAATTACATCATGCTGTTGTTACTCTCCTAAAACTTTGAAAACCCCGGCTTCTTTCCAGACCACAACCTCCTCTTTAATCAAAGCAAAGAGGCTACCCGCTGTCCGGCTCTGACTCTGGAAAACACGTGCGTTTCTCTCCTTCCAAACCATCCAACAGACAAGCAAAACTAGCGTGTCAAAAGCGCCCCTGCAGCTAGTCTGAACTCCTTGCCATGCCAAGAGCCACCATTCCCCTAGTTCCAACCCTGCTTCAGCCGGCAGTTGGACGCCAATTCCAGCCCAACCCTTAATCATCCTCCATACTCTGGTGGCAGTCTCCTATTATTGCAAAAACACATCCATGGCAATGAATGAATTTCCCCCTTTGCTCATCTAGGAACCAACTTGCGCGTGTTTTAAGAAAACTCTTGTTGGTAATGGAGCATCAGGTGGTTGCAAAATAGGCACTCAATGTGCATCAAAAGTTCACACTTTTCATTTTAAGGGGGGATCATATAATTATCTGGCATAAGAAAATTAAATAGTAGTTGCCATGACTCATGGACAGGATCAGAAAGCCAAGAATGCTCATCTTATTAGGCTGCAAAAAGCATGTGCATTATGCAGTCATTATGTAGTCAATAACTCAATGTGCGCATTATGTGTTTAATATTCTTATTCAAGTCCTGAGGGTTAATAACATATATGCATGTAGATTCAACACTGAGCAAGTTGACCTAAACAGTAATCTAAATTAAAGCTTTGTTAATCCTTTCTTTTTTTTTCCTCATGTGTATGAATTAAAGCTTTGTGTAAGCCTTACAAATTGAATCCTGTAGAACAAATGACAACTTGTAGAATATAAGATGGCACAATTCCGCCTGGCTTTGACTTATTGAGAAGATTTGGCTAACAATTTTCTGTTTCTGAAGGCTCATGGACCTGAATCTGACATTGATGCACTATGTGTTGGTCCTTGTATTGCAACACTGCAGGTGGGTTTTGTTATTATTATTTTCAGTTCTCCTTCAACCTGAGATCATGGCAGGGTATTTAACATGTGTTGATTTTGCAGTACCATTTTTTCATTGTTCTGAGGCAAATTCTTGAAGACAGGCCAGAAGTATCAGAACTGCAGACTGTCGAAAGTGCTAAGGTTCCATTGATGCGATTTAGATTCAGCGGTATTTCTGTTGATTTTACATATGCTCAGCTTCCAGTTATCGATGCATCAGAGGCAAGTTTATTCTGTAATCAATATGTAGTTACAAGGGTACTCAGTTATTGTACTCGATAAACAATCTGAATTTCATCGACTTCCTTTATCCTGCAGGCTATAATTACATCTAATCCTCATTTGCTCCAAAAACTTGATTCGCTGAGTTGGAGAAGTTTGTCTGGAGTTCGTGTTAACGAACAAATCGTCCAGTTAGTACCAAACGCACAGGTTGATGACTAATCTAATTTAAGTTACCAGCAGCCCAGCATCCTCCCTTATATTCTCATTTGCTACATTAAGTCGCGTTTAGATACACTTTTCTCTGTATTTTCATATTTGTCCTGGGTACCTTCCATGTACTTATGTTATTGCCTTAAGACTGATCTGTCACTATGCAGATTTGTTCATTTTTCTTTTCCCATAGAACACCTCAAAATATTTTGTTTCATTTTGTCAGATTCCGCTTTTAACATTTTATCTCTGAAAATTTGTGATGCAGAAGTTTCAAATTCTGTTGCGGTGCATCAAGCTATGGGCTAAGAGGCGAGGAATTCACTGCCATGTATGTGGTTTAATATGCTTTAATGGCTGTTATTCAGCTATATGACCTTCATATCTTCTTTCCGCTCTAACTGTTGTATTTTCACCTATGATGGTGTTTTTTCAGTTGCTCGGCTTCTTCGCTGGGATTCATTTAGCGATTCTTGCAGCTTATGTTTGTCAGAGATATCCATATGGCACCATCAATGGTCTGTTCACCATATTCTTTGATATATTTGCTCACTGGAATTGGCAAATTCCAGTAAGCTTGCATGGTCAACCAACTAATTGCAGGCGTCCTGATGGGTCTTTCATGCCCATACTGTTGCCTTGTACTCCACCGGAGTTTTGCACATCCAATATGACAAAAGGCACCTTCAAGAAAATTAGAGAAGAGCTTATGCGTGGTTATGCTTTGACCAAGGTCAGCTTAGATCCAGTTATGCTTCTCTCATTTCTTGAACAATAGGAGATTTTTAGTGTTGGGTGATAACTGTGATGCATAGTTAAAAATTGCAACTCTTTTATATAACCGAAAACAAATTTCCGACATTCCTATGTCATACTCCTGATCTCTTCGTGCATGCCAGTTTGTCGATATGCTTATTCCTGTTCTGATTTCTTCGTTGAACCACAAATGATGCATTCCTCCATTCTTGCATACGCTCATGGCTTGCGATATTAGCCATTAGTCTGTACTAACTTGACACATGGAACCTATCTCATTTTCGTTATTATGCTTTCGGTAACTCAAAGAGTGTCGACTCTTTCTCATATTTTGATAGGCATAGCTCATTGATAAGCATAGGAGCGACCTCATCTGTCGAAAAATGGTCGAATCTGTAACTCAGATTTAAATCTCCGTGTACAGTTTTCACTGAGTAGTGATTGTTCTCCTCTGCATTATTACTAGGGTAATGTATATATCAGTGCTTGAGTGCTTGGATGTTATTTGATCATGTCACAGTTACTTTGTTTATCCAATGCAGGAGCCATGGAGGCATGATTTTGAGTGGGTCTGGCTTTTTGCACCGTTTCCATATGCTACAAAATACGAAGAATTCCTTCGAATTGCTCTATGTGCCCCAACGTCTGAAGAGCTACGCGATTGGGCTGGTTGGGTGAAGTCCCGCTTCAACCTTATCCTCAAGGTTATTTCTTGGCTTCTGTCATGTTCCCTTTTTTTGTTCCTCAACTGTTCTTTACTCATTCTTTATCATTGGGAATGTTGAGCAAGAATTTACATGCTATGTTAACTTCCTCTTTTGTTCTGCAGCTGGAAAGTATTGGTGTTGAGTGTGACCCAGATTCCACAGAGGAAGTTGATCATACAGTCTTCGAGCCAAGCATTGTATGCCACTGGGGCCTCATATATAAAACAAGCACCCATATTGATATTAGCTCACTGGGAGAAGATTTCATGAAGGATGTCATCAATGATGTGTATGGCAAGGTGAAAGGTACACATTCAAAGCTGACAATGTCCATCGTTAGGTCATCACAGCTTCCGAAAAGCTTGTACAGCCACTCTGTGTACACTCCATACATTCCTCAATATATGCTGGGCTACCAGACTCCGACCGACTACAGTGGCGCAGCTGGCTAGGACTTGTGTGGATCATCGTTATCTGGGACTTGTTGTGCGACCATTGGATCTTACCTGACGTTTCATCCATTGTCGGATATCCTGAACTGGGGCTATTCCTACTCTCTGTTCTGTTGCACCTATCACACACACTATCAGAGCAGATCTGGAGATCAGAGTCTGCTCCCTTTGAGCTTGCAGTTGCAGTGTATATATACTGAATTCATGAGAAGTGTGAAGTTTCCGGCTGCTCGATCTGACGGCTGCACAAGTGAACATATGGTAGCGTGCGGCAGCTAGAAAAATGCAGCAAAAGCGGTGGCAGTAAAGTGGTCGAGGATATTGTACGCTGAACATCCAAATGAGTTGCATTTGGACTGAAAACTGGTGCTGGGGTGCAGGTCATGAATCCAATGGTGAATGCACAGTGGATTTTTCATGGCAGATCTGAAATCTGAAGGATAGTAGATTTTCATTAGCATCATTTGTGGCTGTGATACTGCTGATGTAGGGCCTGTTCACTTTGATAAAAAAAACCTTACCAAATTTTGGCATTACCAAAATTTTGGGGCCTGTTCACTTTGTTGCTATTTTCAACCTTACCAAATTTTGGTAAAGTTGTAAAAAAAAATGGCTACATTTAGTTTGCTGCCAAATTTTTGTAACTATATTAGAAATCCTACCAAAATTTTGGCATACCAAAATTGGTATCAAAGTGAACAGGCCCTTAGCAACTTGCTAAAATTTTGGCAGGATTTCTTATATAGTTATCAAAATTTGGCAGCAAAATAAATGTAGCCACTTTTTTTTGGTAACTTTATCAAAATTTGGTAAGGTTGAAAATGACATCAAAGTGAACAAGCCCGTATAATCAGAATACATCTCCTACGTTCATTTGTAACCTGTAGTTGTAAGGGGGAAAAAGGGTTGTACTACTACTACGAGGCATCAGAGTTGTCGCTATTGGTTTGTTTTGCACAAAAAAAACATTGATGCTATTTTTGTTGAGTTAATCAGTACATATATACTAGTACTGTAGTAAAATACTGTTGGGTAAGGACTAATATAGTTGATCCGATACAGAAACACGATTGGCATGTGAAGTGCAACGAAAAGATGGAATGGCGTTGCCTCGTTGTTAAGTCTCTCGTGGGTCGTGTTTGATTTGGCAAGAGGCTGAGGATGATTGTGAGCGTGCCACATGGACCAGATGGAGCTAGATGATCGAAAGGGAGAGAAGAATACTCCTACTCCTACTAGATGCAAACATTTGGGAGTACTACCTCAAACGCACGTGACAAGGCATTAGATAAGTTAGGTGGACCCGGGCCCTCTTAAGCAATGCAATGGATACAACGCCACAAAAAGCTGAGAAAAAAAAAGAGAGATGGATCGACCAGCAAGGCCAGGCCAGGCTGACATACAGCTGAGCTAGCTAAGCTGCATATGCATATGCAGTGTGGTGATTAGCATTATCAGCTAATTAATGACACCACACTTTTTTGATTAGTTGGTTGATGGAGGGAGACATGACACGTGTGGGTGTCATGCGGACGCATCCATCCATCCATCTCGCGCCAAAGGCTACCACTACACGACAGCAGCAAGTATAGTGAGGTTTCTATGGTGCGCGCACACGTCAGCGCAGATCTCTTCTGGGCCGTGCGATGCAAAACCGTCCGTACGCAACGTGATACTGTCATGTGGGCCCCACCCCACCCCTCTCGACAGGCAGGCCCCGGCGCCCATGTGCCGCTGCCTCCGCCGTCGCGTCGCGTCGTCTAGCGCAGCCGCAGCCGCTGCCGCTGGGCCCCACCTCCCTGATCAGCCACGTGCCGTTCAATCCTCCCCACATGCCCCCTTCCGCTGTTTACCACCACCATCTCCCCCCTCCCTTTTCCAAACCAAAATTAAATTGATAATTACTCCTACTAGTAATCAATTAATCTCAATTCATTTCAATTTTGCGAATAGAACATTTTATTGTCAGAAGAAGCAAAAGCATTTCTCAATCAGTCTGACCATGACTTGACTGCAGAAGCGATTCCATTCGATCCATCGATCGATCGCCAACATACATACTCAAAAAAGCGTATGAAAAATCTCAAATCTCCTGCTTGCTTTCACTGCAGAGTCGAGATAACACCAGACCTATAAACAAAAATTAATGATAATCCTGACCAAACTAAACCCAAAAACTCATTTCGATTTTCATCATCAATTCACTAACAATGGCCAAGCTAGCCCGAACCCCAAAAAAAAAAAAAATCATGTACAGACACACAGGCCAAATCCGAACTGGATGACGATGAGGAGGTGAGATCACGACGACGACGGCGGCGGCGGCGGCGCGGGTGCCACGGACTGGAGTGCCTGCGCGAGCGCCGCCATGGCGCGCACCTGCATCTCCAGCGCAGCAATGTAGTCCGACGCCTCCGCCAGGAGCGCCGGGAACGCCAGCTTCCGGCACCCGGGCACTAGCCGCCCCAGCACCTTCGCCTTGCTCGCCAGCGGCGGCCGCGAGCGCGGCGCCGGACGCGCGGCGGGCGGCGGGGGCGGCGCGCCGAGGCGCACGCGGCGGAGCGCGCACGCGCGCGCGCGGGAGGCGAGGATGGCGCGGCTCCACCGCGACCGCCCTCGCGCCGCCACGGCGAGGGCGCGGTCGGCCGCGTGGCGCACCTCGCGCGACGACGCGGGTGATGGTCTGCCGCTGGCGGCGCGGACCAGGCGCAGCGCGTCGAGCAGCTTGGAGGAGTAGCTCTCCTGCTCCCGCCTCGTCCGCCACCTGGCTGCCGGCGAGGCGGCGGGATCGAGCTTGCGGTCGTGTGGCGCCGTGGAGGTCGGCGAGGACGCCATGGGCGACGCGGGGTTGTGTAGGTGAGGGAGACGGCAAGGCGAGCTACGAGAGAAGAGAAGAGGGAGGGAGGAGTTTGTAGAGTAGAGGCCGAGGGTGGGTGATGCAGGCCAACGACTCAAATTTAAAGGGGAACAGGATTAACACCACGATTACTGCTTAATCACCCTTGTGATTTCCGTGCCCTAATCTCTCACTCTCTGTCTTTATATAAAGTCTTTTGCATGGTTGACACTAGTAGCATTCTCCTTGGGATAGGATCAATAAAGTAATTTAATTGAAGTGGCCAATCTGCTCCATGTGCATACATATGTACATGGGTGTTCTTTCTTATTTGAATAGAAATTGTATGTGGTTAAAAGATTTTTATTATCTATTTGTCCTCTTTGGACATGTGTTAAAAGGACTGTATTCGTGATTAATGTACATAATATATTTTTCTCCTATATAATAAAAAAAATCTACTACTAACTTCATATTTTTAATGTATGACGCCATTGATTTTTTATCCAACGTTTGATTATTCGTCTTATTTAAAAAAATTTATACAATTATCATTTATTTTATTGTGACTCGATTTATCATCAAATGTTCTTTAAGCATGATATAAATACCTTCATATTTGCATAAAAATTTTAAATAAAACGAATGATCAAATGTTTGTCTTAAAAAAATCAACGGTGTCATACATTAAAATACGGAGGGAGTACTGGGCAATATAAAGTACTCCAGTACATTGGCAGTGTTGGCACATACGAGTAGGTGATTGGTGATGATATATCCAGCGCGACAATGGCGATGCAAGCATGATTAGGAGGAGGAGAACCTGAGCCTCTACTCTATGCAGAGGAGAGGGAGGGGCTCCTCATCTGATGAGCAGAGCAACACCATGGCCATGCCACTATGTCACAGGAACGAAGCTAGTAGCTGACTACTCTGAATGTCACAGGTAAGAAGAAGAGTAGTAGTACAACCTCTGTATGACTGTATTATGTATTATGTAGGCATATGCTGCATATGCAATTCACATTTTTGGTCCGCACAATTAGCACAAATCATGTAAGTTAAGCTAAGCCACCACCTACTTCCACATGGAACCATCATTATTTCCACCAATCTTCTTCTCTACCTAGTACTCCACATGGAGCACTTAGCATGGGTTACAATATCGCGTGATTATTGCTCGTGGTTGATTCTCAGTTTTTCTCAGTTACCTAACCGCAATGCTTTTGGTAGCGGTAAACTCTAAAAAAAAGATAGAGAAAACCCTGATACTACATCTGTTTTTAAATATATGATGATGTGTGATGTTTATCATCTGTCTTATTAAGATAATATAATATTATTTATATTGTTGCGATTTATTTTATTATTAAATGTGCTTTACACATGACGTACATTACATATTTGCAATCCATGTCTAAATAAAACGAATTGTTAAACATCATATTTAAAAGGTAAAGTGTCAATTTGTCATATAGGAGTGTTTAGAAATTGAGGGAATAGCTTACCTTCCTTCCTTCCTCCTCTTCTTGATCTCTTCATAAAAATTCAGGTTTCACAAGTAAAGTGTTTGCATAAGGGATAGGATTGCTCACCGATTTCATCCTTGGCGGCTGCAGAGGACTTGTGAAAGGTCAAATGTGACCTAAAATTGGACCTTCTCTTTAATTGGTGAGGGAGTAAACTAACACCACGTATCCTGAATTCATGATACGAACTGGCTAGTACAACGCAGGGCCTGGTCCATACCATACTAATCAACTACCATGTTGAAATGATGCTTTAATTTGCACTACAATTCAGGCACGTTTGAGTTGAAAGCTTCTCATTACAGGCTAACTTGGTGGTAGTAGGAGGTTGCTTCTTTGCCTTGACAGCCTTTGCAATGAGTACTCTATGCTAGTATTAACTAATTAACCTATAGCTAGTCTATAATTAAGCCACCACAAGATAAGCATCAAGCGCCGACGCACGAAGCAGGAACAAGGACACGTGAGTCGTTTGACTGTTGTTGATATGATCAGCGGCGGTGCACAGTTTGTCACCTGAAGATCGATGAAAAATGAATAAAAACAGCGACACGAAAACACACAGCTAGCAGCACAGAGGCTTGCCCGCCTTTGAAATTCACCAAGAGAAGAAGATGCATGCAGCAGCAGGCAGCATAGTATGATAAGACTATATGCATGCATGCATGGCTCCATCCACTGTCCACTGCTGCCTGCCTTGCTGAGCCTGAGGCTGAGCTGCAGTGCAGGTTCAGGATGCCAAAGCAAAGCAGGCTACTGATGCGTCCTCTTGTTAACAACACTAACAATCAAGTGTGTGTGTGTAGTATGTTAAGCTGCCTTTGTGGATGCCAGCGATGCGACGCCAGGTGAACACTGTACCTACGGGCATTTACACATGTTTCAGAGCTTCAGGCTTGTTGAGGCCTCACAACCTTCAAATTCCACAGAATCTAGCCTGCCAGTGCCATATCCCATGCCATACACCCTCTCGAATTTACTGCATTATCCTACTAGTATTATCTACTCCTATATATCCTCTAATGTAATGTATCCTAGCTACCTACTACTGATCGAGTAATTAATCTAATCTGCTCAACAGGGCAGAGATTCTAGTTAACTATAAATCTGCTCCGTGAGGCCTTATATATCCAGACGCAAGAATCACAGGACAAAGCTATGCAAGAATCACAGGGACGAAGCTAAGCAACACAAGATCTGATTAATTATCGTTTCGACAATGCAGAGGGCCGGCCATGTGGATATCAGCCAGCAGAGACACTTCGATTGATCGCTTCCCATCCCATAAATAAATAAATAATACTGATCCATTAGACACGCTGACGCTTGACAGCCTCACCACGCACGTTCTCCAGTCCAGCGCATGAATCACTCATCATACAACATCTCCCAGCCTCAACGCTCAGAGATGATGATTCATAGAGTATATGGTAGCATGGGTGAACTGAAGAAAGCCTGTAACAATAATTTGCATTTTGTAAACAGAGTTTTTAAAGTGCTCGCTATTCAGGCACATGCCTTGGCCTTGTTCATTCAGCATAAACATATATGGATCCTGATCCTGGCCATGACACCATGACCATCTTGCTTGCACTTGGTTATGGCTGTCAATGAGATGGGACCCACTAAACTGACAGTAAGACAGTAGTAAGTAGCAGTAAGTTTCTTTTCCTTGATCATGCATGCTGCTTAGTAGTGCTTAGCACCAGTAAAAAGAAGGAATCAACTATAGGTGTTGCAAAACAAGAGACAGTGTAATCTCTTCCATCTCTCTCTGAAGATACCATCGTCAGAACTCAGAATTATTTCTACTAGCATGTTTCTTTGACTTGCTTATTGACATCTAATGTCATTTCAACTGATGCCTTACGTCGTTCATGGTTGGTAGCTGGTGTTGCCGAACAGATTGTGAATGAGAGAGTGGCAAACTGTTTCCTAGCGATCATACAGTAATTGCTCTGCTGGCCTAGCTGCTACATTGCAGGAGCATGAGTGCAGAACACTGTTCTAAAGGCTGGATATGGACAATTCATCAATCACTGATCCATAATCCAGCCCCCTATCAGTTTGGGAAAAAGAAAGTAATGTTTCCTGTAGATAAATGCATGTATGTAGTACTTGAAACTGTGCGTTTTACATGCAAACTTGTGTCCAGATTTATAGCTAAAAATACTTATATTTTGGGATGGGGAGTAGAAAATTTCAGCATAAATCATGTACTTTTGACTAAACCATGTTGAGGACTAGTGATTGAAATATGTTAACTGACACATGTCAGCCCCCAATAATTGGAGAAGTAATCAAATGATTGGTCCAATTTAGGTTCTTGGTAAAGGCATGCATGTGCAATGCTAATTAGAGAGAGCTGGGACCTGGGAGGGAGGAGATTGCTCATATTAAATCAGGGTATGACATTTGGCGCGCAAAGTCAATTAAGGATACATATAGAGAGAGATGTGGTAGGGATACACATGTAGACCACTATTTGCAATGTTAGGTCCCAGAAATAATGGTAAGTTCATCATCGTGCATCGACTGATTGCCCCGTTTGATATGAACAAGAGTATATCAACTAGTATACTAATACGCCATTATATTATATGTGTGCATATATATATAGGAGTAGTAACCAGTGAACCACTAGTAGCAATAAAAATGATGATGTGGCCCTTATTTTTAAGATTTTTTTTAGTAGAAGTAGAGATTTGGGGCCTGTTCATTTTGATGTTATTTTCAACCTTACTAAATTTTGTAAAGTTGCTAAAAAAAGTGGCTATATTTAGTTTGCTGTCAAATTTTGGTAAACTATATAAGAAATCCTGCCAAAATTTTAGTAACTATGCCAAAATTTTGGTATGTTTTTTTTAGCATCAAAGTGAACAGGTCGTTGGCTTGCCAGGATAATGAATGAACATATGAAGTCGATATCTATAGTAGCGAGACAAAAGAAATGAAAAGGGGGATCTACCTCGATCGATCGATTGACCGATCGTAGATCGCCTAGCTAGTCGCAAGGAACTTGCAGTTGCAGTAGCCTCCACCGCCCAAGGAGCCCGATTCGCCGTCCAAAAACGCGGGGAAGCCATGCCGGGCCGCCATGTGACCCTCGAGACTTCCGTACGGCCCATTTCGGTTTGGGCCAAAACGGGATTGACTTACGTGCGGCCCATTCCGGTTCCGTCACAGGATCTCGATTACGTGAGGCCCAATAACGAGAATATGAATTATTGGGCCATGAAGAATATAATAGTAATAGTAGGCCTGCGTGATGGAAAGGAAAGGCGGGCGATAGGATGCTGGATGGTTCAGCAACAAACTGAAATTTTTACTAGCATCAGGCATTAGTTACATTGTTTTTCCTCTCATTCTCAACTGTATCGTTATCATGTTGTACCATCCCGTTCATGTGGAAGCTTGACTGTTGGAGGGTTCTGAGCAACCATGGCGAATTGTTGGTGCATTTTACTGAGACTCTACTAACAAATGGAGAGGCTAATTTGCTTAAGAAAGGAAAATAAAAAGAAGAAGGGAAACGAGTAGTTGAAAGGGAGGCAAGCAGCATCGAGATCCAGACCATCAGCGCAGCAGAGTTGTTTAGATGGCCTCTTGCCGGCATCGGAACCAAGCAAGACAAATCACTTGTCTTGTTGGACCATTAGCAGGGTAAAAATATGTCTAACTGTAGCAAAACTTCAGTTTGTGGTTGGACCATCCAAGACAAGAAGAAAAATGTCATGCACAACTGAGCTTTTAGCCTGATGGATGGTAAGGATTTTCTACAGCTAGATGCCATGGTACCTATCAATTACATGCGACTCAAAATAGTTATAGAAAAATTTAAAAAAAACTTAGTAACATCAATTGTGTTGATATAAGGCTACACACAAACATGCATAACTAAATTTGATCTACAACTAGAGAAACAAAAATAATAAAGTCGGATAGTGAATAGTACCCATACAACGCAGATAAAATTTGTTATTTTTGTTTCTTCATATTTCGATCGAATTTAGATTTGCATGTTTGTATAGTGTTTTACATTATTGTAGTCTATCTTACTAAATTTTATAAAATTTTTATATAGCTATTTAAATTACATGCATATGCCACGGTACCACCCTGATGGACTGGCTGGCTGCAAGGTGTGCCCAATGTAGGCTATTACTAGTAGAATTCAGTGATTCACCGATTGATGATGGATGCCACCAACAAACAACGCTCCGCGGGCTCCCTTGCATTCACTCTGATAGTAGTACCAGTTGTAACTTCACCTTGAAGGTTTGTTCGAGGGAGTTTTAATTTTCAATAACAACCGGTGAAAATCTGAAAAAGCTAGAAAAAACAGCTTCCAGCTTAATATATTTTATAGATTTTTTTTAGAAATTTATTTTATAGATTCTACAATTACAACTTTCAGACACTGATGTGAGCTTTTAATTCTGAAAAAAACATGTAATTGGCAGAAACTCTCCTAAATAGATCCTCAGTCTCTCGTGTTGAGCAATGATACATACGCACCGTACACATAATTACTCGATCAACTACATGTATTCATCTTAAAAAAATAGTACCCAACAACTCAACTGATTTTTTTTAAAAAAATTTAATTTAAAATCAAACTCTTTCAAAACTTATTTTTAAGATCTAAATCTTTTAACCATGCCACCGAACTGACGTAGCAAAATGACATTGTCGCACAGGTCTAGCTAGCGTGACAACTTTATTTGATCACGCCACGCTGACTGGTGTGACATGATAAAACTATCACACATGTTGTGTGTGACATGTCAGTGTTGTTTTGTCGCGTCAAGTGGGTTGGTGTGACCAAAAGGTTCAGATTCTATAAATAAATTTGAAGTGTTTGTCTTTAAAACTAAAAATTTAAAAACTTCAAAAAATAATAAAAAAAGAAATACAACTCAATTATATATTGAGTATCTAGCCTGCATAATGTAGAAACGTAAATCATAACAATATATAATAACACTATAAATTATTTGATATCTCATATCTGGATTATGAAAATACAAGTGGTTTGCATGCTTTACATGCACGTACTAGCTAGTACTACAACACAAAACACAAGTCCATCTCTTACGAATTAACTCGATCATCGTCTCGGATTTGTCCACCGCATTATTCCTCGTATCATTCGTATACATTCATTCATTCAGACTATAAACACAAATTATAACTAGTACTATCTAGGAATATATAATACATGCTAGTTTTTTAATGACACTGACTAGCTAGCTTGCCGGCTGGTTCAAACCTTGCAAACGGTACGCGCCATTATTTGAACTCACCGCATGCTCGTACTACTGTCCACCTCCGATGCCACCTCCAGCGCCTCCGCCAAATCCTCCGCCGCCACCGGCGCCGCCTCCGCCTGCACCATGGCCGCCGCCGACGCCTCCACCGAAACCACCTCCCTTGCCTCCGCCGAAACCGCCTCCTGCTCCAGCGCCACCGCCGCCACCGAATCCTCCGCCCGCACCGCCGCCAACTCCTCCGCCTTTGCCTCCTCCGAAGCCACCACCGAAGCCTCCACCCTTGCCTCCTCCGAAGCCACCGCCTGCACCTGCGCCGCCGCCACCGCCGCCACCACCACCGAAGCCTCCACCTTTGCCTCCTCCGAAACCACCGCCTGCTCCAGCGCCACCACCAGCACCGCCACCGATTCCGCCCCCTCCACCTGCACCACCGCCAGCGCCAAGGCCACCCCCTGCACCGGCACCTCCTCCCGCTCCACCACCCACACCGGCGCCTCCACCTGCACCACCTCCGAGACCGCCGCCTCCGCCATGGCCGCCACCAGCACCACCTCCGAGACCACCGCCTCCACCTGCACCACCTCCTGCTCCGCCTCCGAGACCACCGCCTCCACCGGCACCTCCTCCCGCTCCACCACCAACACCGGCGCCGCCACCAGCACCACCTCCGAGACCGCCGCCTCCACCTGAACCACCTCCAAGACCACCGCCTGCACCTCCTCCTGCTCCACCTCCGAGACCACCGCCTCCACCAGCACCGCCTCCCGCTCCCGCTCCACCACCAACACCGGCACCGGCGCCGCCTCCTGCTCCACCGCCAAGACCGCCTCCGGCACCGCCTCCCCCTCCTCCACCAAGACCACCACCACCACCTAGGCCTCCACCTTTTCCGCCACCAAACCCTCCTCCAACGCCACCGCCATGTCCGATCCCTCCACCAACACCAACACCACCACCTAAGCCGCCACCTTTCCCACCACCAAACCCGCCTCCAATGCCGCCTCCATGGCCAAGACCACCACCAGCGCCCCCTCCAAATCCACCACCTCCCCCAACCCCAACACCACCACCCTTACCACCTCCAAACCCGATCCCAACACCGCCGCCATGGCCAACGCCACCACCTCCACCAAAGCCGCCACCGCCGCCTAAGCCGTCCTTGTCCAAGCGGCGCGCCTCGGCGGCCACTACTCCGAGAGCTAACAACGACACAAGGGCCAATGCCGCGGCTCGCCTACCCATTCCCATTACCATATATATTTCCGACGTCCAGTAGTCGTCACTCGCTCACTCTCACTCAAGTGGGTGATGATCTGAAGCTCAAGCGTGTAGAAGGTGGGTTTATATAGGGAAGAAGGGGAAGGCTGCTCCTATCATATGAAGCGTACGAAGAAGAAGGAAGGCTAGTGCGCAATGCATGTGCAGTGTAGGTCGAGTAGAGTAAATGCAGTTAGTTGGGGAGCCTATGCCTGCCTATCTACACTCCAGAGAGGAGAGGAGATCGAGCTGTGGGCTATGGCGGTGGCGGTGGCGGCTTAGCTTGGATGAGGAGGCCGGCCGACACAGTGAGTACTAGTAGTGCGTGACAGCTGCTGCATGAGGAGAGGAGCTGGATAACGCGGTAGGAATAGGATCGGAGAAAGGAAGGTTACATTACACCATCGATTTGACGTGCGGCTAGCGAGCGAGGCCATGGATGGCCGGCGAGATGCGCGCGGCGCGGCGGGATTGGGTTGGTGGTGTTTGTGAACCGGTGGCATTTATGCCCACGCGCTCTCGATCAGCTGGAGTAGACTGCACTGTGCAGCCGGATTTTCTCTCTGCACATCTTTAACCAACCAACTGCATGCGCGCCCGCGGTTGCATATGCATGTAGTATTATGTATGGTCCATGCAGTCAAGTGATCGAGTCAGCACTACACATGGACTGGGATGACGTACGTATGTACTAGTACGTAGGAGCGAAACTAATTACTAAAATGAAAAGCTATGCGTGCAGCGTATTTCATACGCATATATGAATGCACAACGAATGTGCAATTGTACTGTATTCATGTCATGTGTTCTTCCAGCTGGGACCGACTTTCATTTCATTTCATTACGGCTTTTGTACCCCTACTCCACATCAAAAATATTAGTAATATCACTATATGCAAATATAGTCTCCAGCTGAGCTGTACTGAACTATTGCTAGTCATCAAACTAGTAATACTAGTATTTATTGGACTAGCTCGATCTGCCAATAAATTTTGGAGCCAACTCTGCAGCTTGGGTTGACAAGGATTCCACTCCACTGTTCACCATTGATACTCCTGTATGATAACAGCCAGTGTGTTTTCATGTTAAAATTGGAACGATGCGACGAAAAAGTTGAAAGTTTGTGTGTGTAGTAAAGTTTTGATGTGATGGAATAGTTGAAAGTTTGAAGAAAAAGTTTGGAACTAAACTCGGCCACGGCCAGATATGAGTCGTTCGCTTCATTTCTAGGCTCTGGCCTGTGCCAAACTTTGATTTGCAGGGCAAATTACAAACTGTGGATTTCGATGAAAACCATTCTGCAAGGCGCATGCAGCTAGACTCTCTTTCATGTCATATAACTGCATGTTTAACCTTCTCCACAGTTTTTATCACTGATAAGAGTGATCTATACAAGTATTTAAAATGTTACTACATGAATTCCGTTCTCTATTTCTAACCAAATCTAGTAGGAACTCACTTGAAAGGCGGCAGTTCATTCCATCTTCCGCTTGCACCGACGGCCGGAACGCAATTATCTCGTCAATTAATGGAAGGATGAATCGAATCAATCGATGATAACAACAATGCTGCGACAAATTAAGGCATACACGATAAAAAGGCTGCCTGCATGTCACATAATTGTGCGAAAGCAAAGCGTCAGGCACAGGATCACAGCATTTAATCTCAGCACATGGTGATGCCCTGTTGCAGCACACCCTCCTTGCAGGCCAGCATGTCATATTAGGGCAGATCTTATCGACATATGCCACTGAAACCCGATGATGTTCACAGTTTCACACAGGACATAAATCAGAATTACAGGTTGCAGCAGAAACAAGACGATGACATTCCTCCAAGGTTTTTTAGAATCTAGAATTACATTGCCAATTCCACTCTCATCTCTTCAGCAAACAACAAGCTAATTCTAAAGGGCGTTTTACATCCGCACAAATGCTACCGGGCACTTGTCCTAATCCCCACGATGCACAGCGTGGGGATAGCTTTCTAAAGGGTCGATCACCGATGGGTACATCATAAGAGCAAATCGCTAGAGGTCTCAACTAAACTCTTCCGTATCTGATCATCGGCTTTTCTTCCTGGTGTTAGCAGGAGAATTATTCTGCTCTGAAATCATCTTTAACAGATTGACAAGTGACCGCAATCTGTCCCACACACTAAGGCCGTAGAGAGTTTCAACGAGCAACTCTTGGAATTCAAATCCATTCTCGGAGACAGGATACTGAATAAAGATCATTAGCTGAGTATCAGAACAAGTAGTAAAGCCATACAATTTTTTTCAGACTACTTATCTGGGAATTAACATACCTGAATAGGTTTTGGGATCATGGTTTTAACATATGGCCACCATCTATCTTCTACAACTGCCTTGACAAGGCAGCAAGCCCGCAAACCTTCCACACCAGCAAATCTTCCAAATCCACTATCTTTGACACCACCGAATGGCAAAGACTGCACCAAGAAAGAGAAGCATACTTATATAGGCAGGATAACACCGAGCAATGAAGAAAAACATGCTTTCAGTAATACAATAAATGAAATGCCAAACATTACTACAAGATAAGCATGTGAGCTGCAAGAGATCTTTCCATGGTTAGAGATTATCATACTGGTGTTTTCTGTTGACTATTTCAAAGAATATAACACAAACTAGAAACTTCTAATTACCTACCTGACACATATAACTTGAAGCAAAATCATTGATTGCCGCAACACCACAGTGTAGCTGGGATGCTATTTTGATGGCACGCTTCTGGTTGCCAGAAAAGACAGCACAACCAAGACCGTACTTGGAGTCATTGGCAAGTTTGACAACTTCTTCATCGGAATTGAATTTCATGATTGGCAGAATAGGTCCAAATGCCTGTAAACCAGCAAAGAGAATTGGCAACACTAATAGCGTTAGTTCAAAAAGACGTGAGGCATTCTTTCAGGCTTACCTCTTCTTGCATAATTTTCATTGTGTGATTAACATTCACCAGGACAGTTGGAGGAAAGAATTGATCTACTGCATCTTCACCCAGATGGCCAAAGCTCCCTCTGCCAGCAATCTCAGCACCTTTGTCAACAGCATCATTAACAAGATTCTGAAGTTTCTCAGAGTGCTCTATCATACAGATAGCACCCATATCGTATCTGCCAGATAATGGAGGACCCTAGGAAAAGACAAAAGAGCAATGGAGCAAACCAAAAGATAAGCGCTGAGGCAAGATTACCAGCATGAATTAAAAATACGTTGGAAACTAATATCTGAAAACTTAAATAAGGTTGTTAGGACACCTTAAGAAACTAATAGCTTAATATACATATTTCAGATAGCTCTAAACTGAAAAGATTCAGAAGATTTAGCCGTGTGAATACAGTATGAAGTTATACAGAATGTTAGAAATGCAAAACTACACTGCCAGGTTAGCTGTTAATCTGCAATTTTGCACTTGCAAGATGAAGCACAGTAACAGTATCCAGGAATAATTTGAACATACATGAATATGATTTGCCACAGGTCTGTAATCTTGGTCAAAATCAAAAGAAAGGCAATACAAATTGCATGTCAGTACCGACTTAAGAGTACAATTTTGTGTACTTACGACAGATATAGATTTGATTATCTTCACCACTTGGGAAACAAATGTTGAATAGATATCCTTGTGAACATAAAATCTTTCAGCACCAGCACAGTTTTGTCCGCTAGATTGCAGGGCAGCTCTCACAGCAACTTGAACAACCTTCAAGTAATTAAGTGCCATGGTTTAGTTGCAGTGCTCGTTCAGAAAATATGGTTCTCAAAAGAAATGGCACATTGTTGAAGAAAACATGCTCTTCATGACAAAGAAACACTAAATTACACTTACACTGGGTAAGTCTACATCTTCACATACAATAAATGCATCTTTACCACCAAGTTCAAGAGTTACAGGTATTAATGTATCCGATGCTCTGTTCATGATCTGTGGCAAGCATTAAACAGAACATTAGAACAGAGGACAGTAAACGTGGACAAGAACTTCAAACAAGTACATAAACTTCAAACAACAAGTAGGACTACATTTTTATAATGCTCCCTGAATTTGCTTTAGTTAAAAGTTATATGCTAGAAGACAGGTTGATTCCATATACAAAATAGAAGCACATCAGTTCTGAAACAGAATCTGTAGCTATAAAATGCATAACTGAACATGATTAATTGATTTAGTGTCCCAAAGTGAGCAAAACAACACTTCTCAGCACATCTACAGCAGTATAAAAATTGGCCGCAGCATGAGATTAAGAAACCACTAGTTCAGAGGAAAGCTATACCATCCTTCCAACACCAGGTGATCCAACAAATATTATTTTGTCGACTGAAGATACAAGAGCTTGACCTGTTTCCGCAAAACTATAAACAAGCCAAAAAAAAAAGAGACCAAGTAAGCCATGGTAAGCAATTATCCTGAATGCTAAAGAAATGCAGAGTAGTATTCATACCCAGTTATTATATGCACCAGATTATCTGGTGCACCAACAGCTGCAAGAGCTGCTTGTATGATACGAAAATAAAAGCAGCCTGACCAACTTGCATGCTCTGAAACCTATAAAAGGGCATCTTGCTGATCAAATATATAAATAGAGTTGAATAGTATTTAGCTTAGATAAAAAATGAATTCCGGTGATTAAAATGAAAAGTAGTTCTTATTTGCAGCAAAAGACAATATTCATATGGCAGAGTAGTGTTGCAGATGTTTCGCTTAGCATAGCAAAAAAATGTTAATGATATAATTAGTACAGTATGGTTATGTGAATATGCTATCTCTTAGATGAGAACTGTTAATCTGAATATCTCTATCAGTGTTCAAAGCTGAGGACGTTTGACCATTCAAATTCTAAATGTCATATGTATATGAACAAAGGGAGTACAAAAAAGCAACATCTGATGGCTTACCTTTATAACTGCTGCATTACCAGAGAATATTGCAGCCAGCATTGGATTGAATACATTGTGGAAGGGGTAATTCCAAGACACAATCGCACCAATAACTCCAAGTGGATAGAACTCAACTTTTGCTTTCTTGTGAAGCATTGATCTCCCACAGGACCTGAGCAGAACTAAAATTAAAAGCAAGTAGGGGAATGCTTGTATTTAATTAGGATAAGGTAATAATTGAAGAAAGCACGAGTTTGTTGGGAGAAAACAAGCTCGGGTCTGTGAGGATATGGGGACTTGGATCCAAACCAAAATTCTAAAATTCCTTGAGTACCATCCATCATCCAAACACGCTAAGGTATCACCTCAGGTGTAAAGAAAGGAAGACTTCAGCAATGGTGCCACAGTACCTAATTGCTAACTTCCTATGTTACAGAATATTAATGTGTGGCTGCATGCATAAATGAAAAGGCTTATCTTTCCTGTGAAAGAACTAACATAAGTTGTGAGTCAATGTCTGTAGAATTCCCAACTATTTTGAGGTTTTAAACTTTTAATAGGTAGTTCATTTTGTATTCAAGACCAGAGTTCATTTGCTGTGTATTTCCAATGCTCACACCTGTTGAGCTACCAGACGGTCCCATATAATCACATCCTATTGCACATCGTAAAGACAAAGTGGTGAAAACAAAAGTAAGCTAACATAGAAAAGTTAATATAATCATTGACACAATATACAAGGCCCTAAGTTACTCTGTCTTTCAAATAGGAATGTTTCTAAGAGTCTAACCTGTATTCAGGTTTTAACCACTTCTCACCCTCATCCAAAAGCCAGGTAATCTTCTCACAGGTGGTCATTATCTCACCTAATGAAGCATCAACCATAGTCTTTCCAGTGTCCCGGGATGATATCCTGCACAGCACAAAATGTAGTTACCCTCAGATATTCCATGTTCTGGAAAATGTTATCAGGTGCAAAGGTGCAATAAAAGAAGAAATTGATCAGGCCTTCATGAACAGATGCAAGATAATGAAAATAGAAAGCACAACCAACAGCGTCTAGACTAATTTAAAGATAAGATGCCATTTTGAATTATGTCCTTACTCGCATATCAGATCCTGATGTTCAAGTATATATTTTAGAAGGATTCGAAGAAACTGGCGTCTTTGCTTGAAGCTGCTTTTTGCCCATATCTTTTGTGCTTTCCTGGCTTGCGCAACATGCTCCTTAACCTGATTAGTCAAAGAATTAAAGGCAACCAAAACAAAGTAGGATGTCACGCTAATGAAGTTACAAGAAACTGCAGTAACAAAAAGATACAAAATTTATTTGTTCCTTGATCACTACTTCAGAAAATCAAAATCGATTATGAACGACGAACTAGATCTCAGTTAATAATCCAAAAGATAATGACCCAGACAACTAAACCCTACATTATATGTTGTATTTAAAGGACCTAACAAAAGCAAGCCAGCAATATACCTCATCAGGCGTCAATGCAGGGAAGTATCCCAAGTATTTCATAGTTGCTGGCTCATAGCATTGGACCTTGTCAGTCTGAGCTCCTTTCCCCTTCCTTGGTGGTATCTGCAACAGAACATAAACTGAATGTGTTGTAAGCCTGTAATATCAAAGCAACCATGTGGCTCTGCTAGCTCTCATAAATCACATGCCACTGTGAGCCTTATTCAGCTGGAGTGAATCAATGCAACTTTTTTTTTAAAAAAAAAAAGAAAAGGTGCCTAGTGCTTATCTGAAACCTCTATCAGCACAAATCAGAGTTGACTCGTAGCATCAATTCGAAGAATTCAAATAGCACTCTGTTCAAGAATGCAGTTCATTTACATGTTATCATCTTACTGCATCTGGCCATTTTGAGCATGGGAATTTACCAAATTGAAGTTGGAGTATGTAACAACGTTTTAACACTTGATGACCGCACACACTGTTGCCTGTTGCTTTCTCAAAAATTTAATAACCACGCCCCTGGAATTTGCTTGAACATAATCTCAATTTTCACAGAAATAGCAAGATTGTGGTACAGCATTGGAACAAGTCGCTAGACTTAAAAATCTAAAACTGGAAATTCCAGGCAGACAGTCTTTAAACATTTGTCCACTAACAGTAAGATAGCCATAGTACACCAGACAGTACCAACTCTTCAGACCTATGAGCACCTGAACTGAACCGAAATAGTGAAACGCAATACCTGAAAGCTAGACGCAATGTGCGATCCTATGTCATTGGAAATCTATGTGGAAGAAGCCGAAACAAGCAATGGCAGCAGAATGGGCCGGTTTGCGCATCAAAGCCAAATAAGTGGAGACCGAGGGTGAATAGACAAAAGAAGCAGAGTGCAGATGCATATGAAGTAGTGAATCATCCCAGGGCAGTATAGAAGTGGAAGGAAAGGGGAAAGGGGATTAGTAAGTAGTTAAACTTACGTAGATGTAGCTATCCTCCTTGTTCTGGTTGGCGTCTTCGAGCACTGCATACAATAGAACCCGATCCGATCCGATACCATTAGAGTAAATCCCACATAAACCCCATGAGCCATGAGCTATGAGCAGAGCAATCTCAGAGGGAAATAAAAAATAAAAACAGTAAAACCTAAGTACCGTCGGAAGCGTCGACATCGATGGAGGGGACGGTGGGCGGGATGAGAAAGAGGAGGATGCGGCAGAGCGCGTAGGCGGCGGCGAGCACCAGGAGCGGCCACCACAACGCCATGGCCGGAGACTGGGGCGCCAACCCTAGGTCGCCGCGCGCGCGTGGCTCGGACTCGGAGCAGCAGCAGCAGCAAGGGAGCGAGTTGAGGTTGAGGAACAACAAATCAAAATCAAAATCGAAATGGAAAAAAAAATCCAAGGGGGATCGATCGGATCGGGGGGCGTGCTGTGGCTTTATTCGTGGAGTGCAGCGCGAGCGTGGCGAGATGCTTCTCTCTCAGTTCAGTTGCAACTCACATTTCGACTCCTCTCGTCTCGTCTCGTGTCCTCCGCCGTATATTATACTGGACTACTGCCCCCACATTCACAGAAAATTCATTTAATCGTATATCTAGTTATCTACTCCCTCATCCGCTTTAAATTTAGGGTTAATCGAATTCGTGCTAATATAATTTATATCATTTATGTGATTTTGGAAACGTTAGATCATATTATTGGTAGAAATTGAGGGTTTGTCCCATCACACTTTTTTTAAAGTTTTTTTTCTACTTCTGAGACCTTTTTTTTGGCTATGTGCCATGGACAAAGGCCGAAGATGTGATACATTTCCATTATCTAAAAAAAATAATTTATATCATTTTAAGAAACATCATTTTAACTTATATAATTGAAACGATGGCATTATAAATTTGTGCCGCTATTTAACCCTTCGACATATTTTCTAACAAAAAAAAATAACCATCTTGGCAATCTCTTCCTCCATCCCCCTCTCTACTATTCTAGTGGCGGTGGACATCCAAATCATGGAGCCCCTCCAACACAACCATCCATTAGCACTGCGGACCGACGAGAGGACTAAGGAGGAGGCGATGCCCCGAGGTCGACTTTGCCACGGCACTTGGATACCCCCATGGCGGTGGAGAGGGACGGGACACGGACGGGCTTGACGGCTGTAGCCATAGGAGAGAGGGACAGGCCTGGCGCACGGCCCTTCTACCGCCACGACGAAGAAGGCACACTGAAGTGGCCCCAACCACCAAATCCACATACACGTGGGTATGGTGAGAAGTAGATGTTTGTGTAGTAGAGACAACAAGTGGAGCTGCATCCACCACAAATGGCTTTCCTCTGAAAACGAGCCAAAGGCCACAGCTCGGCTGTTGGTCGCTGCTGATTGTCACCATCTTAGGCAGTTGGGGTCGCTGGCTGAGGCTACTATACGTGGTCTAAGACGCCACACAATGGTATACGCGAGGGAGGAACAGAGGTTGGAAGGGAAGACGAACCGGTAAACAATGGCGGCGATTTGCTGAGGTAGGTTTGCAGCCTGCCAATGCTTAGAAACCAGATCAAGAGATGCAAGAGGAAAATGAGTGGAGAGGACGAAGGTACAAGATAAGGGGCAATTTGGTAAAAAAAATAATGTCAGTGCATCATCTCCGGTATCAACAGATTTATAATGGCATCATTTGAGTTAGTGAATTGTAATAGGATTTTCCAAATTAAAACAGGAAAAATTATGATGGTATGAATACAATTAATCCTTTAAAGTACATGCTATTGTAACTTTGTTTTAATTCAAAAATTTTTATCTTTAACTATTGATTTCTAAAAATCCGTGTTGTTGAACAATATATTTCTCATGGTAGATCTATTAAAACGTAAATCATATAAATATGAATTTATAATGTTTGACTTGAGACAAAAACTAAAATAATAGTAATTTGAGACTGTGGAAATTAACTCCTCGTGTTCATGTATAGTTTTGCATGTATTATACCAATCAGCACAGTCACGCGCGGCAGTGCTTTCAAACAAAATGAACTGAAAAAACATTCATAAGACCATAACAAGATAAGCAGAGATGTGGTTTTTGGTTTCACATGATACAGCAAAAGAAGAGAAAAATGGGAAATCAGCGATTATTAATTATCTGATCGTCATACAACAGAACCATCCCAGCTTAGACTGTCTCCAACAAGTGACCTATAAGGGCACCCAAACCCAAAATGGGTCTCTGATAGTACTATTTCAGCCTCCAACAGAGTACCTATACAGAAGACCTATTTTACGTGCTATAAGACACATAACCTAAATTTGAGTATCCTCTCTTCTGAAGACCTATTTGCAGTAAGGGTTCTCTTTTAGGTCTTATTGTTGGAGAAGACCAAAAATAGGTATTGAACTCTTTGACTGTAGCGCTATGCAAACGTGAAATGGGTATTGTATTTTGGGTTTCATTGTTAGAGAAAGCCTTATCTGATCGGAAACTTCACCGAAACTGAAACTCTGAAAGTGGTAGATAGCATGCACGTGCATTTGTACATGCTGTGCAGATCAATGCGTCTCTCTTTATGAGAACTAATTATAATCAGTTATTATCAATATACTATAATAATGTTGTGTCAGATAACAGATTTGGATTGACCCAAACCGAGTTCATCCTATCCGTGACACCGTGATAGCTAGGATAATACTTGCGTGCCTCAAAATCATAGAAAGCGCTCCGGTTGGCGTCTCCGGCGTCGTTGCATCCTCCAAACTTTGGCAAATATATCCTGTTACAGGCAATGTCCCGCGGCGCCGGCATCATGATCGCGTTCCAGTTATCAACGAACAAGACGGCACCATCCAACCTCTCCAATTTGGTCCATGCCATCTCACACCTGTTGAGCCTGAACACGCTGATCGCCCCATCGCTGTGCGGCCTGAAAACCCATGAACTCCAGCAGATGGCAGTACATGTCACCTGGAATCGGATCATCACCAAAATTATTGCCATCCACAAGTACAGGCGCCTCCGGCTTGTCAAGAACTCTCCATGTCGTGTTGTTGGGGTTGAAGACGGCGAGGCCACCACGGGTCCCCAAGCAGTAGAACTCGCCGTCGTAGAACACCGGGTTGCAGTACGCCGTCCGGAACGGGGTGTGATCGTCGATTCGCTGCATCGTCCACTGCTCGTCTCCCGCGCGCCACAGCGTGACGTAGACGCTGCGGTTTCGCCCCGTCGGATTCCGGTCTTTCTCGACGGAGAACGCGATGCAGTCAGGAGACGTCGGCGCCGCAGACAAGCATATGCCGTCGAACTGGTTGTCGACGGGGAACGTCGCCTCCGGGAACTCGAACATTTCTCCGGTGAACGGGTTCGTCGCGTACATGTACTTGTCGCCTCTCGTCGCAAGCACCCATCCGTCGTGTCTCGAGGAGAAGAGCAGCATCTGGAAGTGATCCTGGGACTGAACCAGGCCTGCACGGTTGTTCTTCATGGTTGTACTCCTGCTCGACGATTGGGTCGAACAGCTTGTAGACGCCGGTAGAAGTGGAGCAGATGCTCATGAGCATCGGGTACGTCGAGTATCTCTGCGCGTAATGGATGGGCTTCACGATGGAGCTCCATCCCTTGCAGACTTGTCGCAGACGGAAGTAGTCGATGAGTGATATCTTTGACACGATCTCCTCTACCATGTCAGTAGGAAGACCACACCAGCATGGTGATGCTTGTTCGGAGGCGATGTCGACGACAGAGATACCATCGCCATTTTCCTGATCGATTTTGCTGCTTGAATGTACAATGGCGCCTGAATAATGTTGAGTTGTGTCGTCGACGATGGAGCTAATTGGTGCAGGAAGGAGCCAGTAGATTGAATCGTTGGAGGTGAGATCGGGCAGCAGGGTGAAGGTGGTAGTCCGATCATCCAGGCGGATAGTGTAGAGGCGAACACCATGGCGGCATCGTTGGTGGAGGAGGTAGACGCAGTCGGGGCGTATCCCTGCCTTGGTGGCGTCGGACATGACGACGCAGTTGTCAGCGACAAAGATGGCCCTGTCGCCGATGGTGTCCACCTTGCGCCACACGTAGTCGCCGCCGTCGTCGGTGGCGTGGACGAGGCGATGCAGGTCAATGTCGAGGAGCTCCGAGTCGCGGGCGCCGTAGCCGTAGTGGCGCAGCAGGAACACCTCGCCTTGTGATTCTACCAACATTGCGTTGGCCATGGAGTGGATGCAGCTGGGCTCTGGAATGCCTCTCCGCTCGATGTGGGGAGGGTAGGAGGAGACGTCGAGCATGGCGATGGAGCTCATATCGGTGGGCACGTACATTTTACCTTGGCAACTGACGATGTCGCCCATGAGTAGGAGTTCGTCGTCGTCGTCGTCATCGGTGTCGAGCTGCCACCAGTCGTCCTCGCCGGGCCGGGTGTAGGCGAGATAGGTGTCCATGAAGGTGGAGAAGACAATGGTGCAGTCGGGCGAGAGCGGGGACGAGGAGATGGCACACCTGCGAAGAGGCTCCAATGGCGTGTCCAGTGGGGGCAGAGAAATAATGGTCATGTCGTCAAGAGGAGAGACGAAGAAGCAGTGGTTGGAGGAGGCGGCGTCCAACATCAATAGCCATTGGCCTTGCAAGCAAGCCAAGCATTGTTTACCCTTGAGCTCCAGCATTTGGTGCCGCCATGCCGATGGGTTGTTGGTATTGCTGTTGTGTTGAGAAAAAGGGTCCATGAGCGTGGGTGGCTCGTTGTCATTGCCCTCGGCAAACTTGAAGACGAGGAGGAGTGGTTTTGACGACGATTCCATCTCAAGTTCAACAGCAGGCAGCATGACAATGGATTATTTGCCGTCTTAATTTGCTTGCTGTATCAATCGATCTGGAGTCATCGATCGTTGCTAAGTCAAAACTGAATAATAATATAATCTATACGTATAAAATACATATCTCTATCTCTATTTTTACTATTATAAAAATTAAAGATGTTTTTGCCAGTATTTTGATACGTCATTTGTGTATGAGTCGTTTTTTCAATTCGTTTGCTTTTGGAAATACATATCCGTATTTGAGGCGGATTTAAGTTCGTTCACTTTTGGTAATACAGAAAAAATCATATAAGAAATCTATTTAAAAAAGCTCACATGCTAACTTGAGACGATCGAAGTCCTAACTACGGGCCTGTTCACTTTGATGCCATTTTCAATATTACCAAATTTTAGTAAAGTTACCAAAAAAGTGGCTACATTTAGTTTGTTAGCAAATTTTGGTAACTATATAAGAAATCCTGCTAAAATTTTGGCAAGTAACCATAAGGTTTTTTTTGGCAATGCCAAAATTTGGTAAGGTTTTTTTTGGCATCAAAGTGAACAGGCCCTACAACTCATGATTTAGGGCATGTTCACTTTGATGCCAAAAAAAAACCTTACCAAATTTTGGCATTGCGAAAATTTGATTTTGGTAGGATTTCTTATATAGTTACCAAAATTTGGCAGGAAACTAAATGTAGCTACTTTGTTGGCAACTTTACCAAAATTTGGTAAGGTTGAAAATGGTATCAAAGTGAACAGGCCCTTACTAAAAAATATATATATCTAAGCAAACTGCTATAATGAATTTCATCTTAACCAAACCATATAAATTAAAATAAACTTTATCCGTTGCAACACACGGATAATTTTTCTATTTATATATAAATAACGAAGAATGGATTAACCGATACATACTTTACATATAACAGCGCAAGCGATGCGTGGCGATCGAGTCGTCAAATCGAAGCTCCTCCCCTCGGCCTGATCGATTTGATTCGAGTCGCCTGCCGCGGTGACGGTATATATACAAATAGAGGTAGATCGACTTAGTCCGAGTCGGAGCGATTTGGGAAAGGCAAGTGCTATTTGGGCCCAAAAATAGTTCCAGCCCAGCACATTACATTATTCCTGGCAGGAAAAAGTTCATTTGTGGTCCCTAATCTTGTAGACTTGTACTGAGTTTCAAAAACTGAAATAGCATATATAAGGCATCTCTAATCTATCTATTATATTATTAAAGGAATAGAAAAATGAGCCTCTACGTTCACTCTCATGGCCTAGAAATTCTCACATTAATCGGAGAAAAAGAAAAGGCAGAGTCCATATAGAAATACAATTTAGAAATAGCTGAAATTCGGAATTAAAAAATAAGGAATATTAGAAGAGAAAACTAGAGTCCATATAGAAATACAATTTAGAAATAGTTTGAAATTCGGAATTAAAAAATAAGGAATATTAGAAGAGGAGACTAGAGTCCATATAGAAATACAATTAGGAAATAACTGAAATTCGGAATTAAAAATAAGGAATATTAGAAGAGGAGACTAGAATTCATATAGAAATACAATTAGAAAATAACTAAAATTCGGAATTAAAAATAAGGAGTATTAGAAGTAGAGTATAGAGTCCATATAGAAATACAATTAGAAAATAACTGAAATTCGGAATTAAAAATAAGGAGTATTAGAAGTAGAGTATAGAGTCCATATAGAAATACAATTAGGAAATAATAGAAATTCGGAATTAAAAATAAGGAATATTAGAAGTAGAGTATAGAGTCCATATAGAAATACAATTAAGAAAAAAAAAGAAATTCGGAATTAAAAAATAAGGAACATTAGAAGTAGAGTATAGAGTCTATATAGGAATTTAAAACTAACAAAAAAATTGGAATAAACATAATAAAATTAAAAGTAGAGTTTAGAGTCCGTATAAAAGTACAATTAAAAATAACTAAAATTTGAAATTAAGAAAAAGATGTGAAGAAGAGTTTAAAGTCAATATAGGAATACAATTTAGAAGTAACTGAAATTAAAAATTAAAAATTAAAGAATATTAAAAGATGAATTTAGAGTCCACATAGAAATACAATTAGAAATAATAAAAATTCAGAAATAAAAATAAATAATATTGGAAGAAGAGCATAGAGTCTATATAGAAATACAATTTACAGAAAATTCGGAATTTAAAAAAGAAATATTAAAAGACGAGTCTAGAGTCCATATAGGAATTAATAATATGAATATTGCAAATATGCATGTTAGTTATTAATTATTTTTAATATCAAATTTTAGTTATTTGTAAATTTAATATCAAAATTTAACATTTATATAAAATATAATATAAATATTACACATTAATAATATAAATATTACACATTAGTAGTTTTATAAAGTTATTGCAAAATTTAAAATTATGTTGTCGTTTTAATATATTTGAATAATATAATGAGAAAACATATATGCTATTATATGAGAGAAAATATAATGATGCTAACCGTACAATCTGCGCGGGCCACCATGCTAGTTTTACAAAACGGGTCACATTAGGTCTAAAGATGGTATTGCTTATGTCATTTCCAACTCAATAACTAAAATGATGACAGCAGCATATTAAATAAGTTACCATCTAGAATGAAAAGTGATCTGTCAAATAAATAATAAAAGAGAAAGAAAACAGGTCTTGCATGAGACATGATTTTTACACATCAAAGTTATTATATGAGATAAGTAGGGGTGAGTCAGCATGGCCCCACATGTCATACATAGAAGAAAAAAACAGAGCCGCCTGGAGCACCCGGCCGGCAGGCGACCAGGTACGAAGAGCCCACCACCGGCGACCACTCTTCCTCGCTGTGGCAGTGACCAAGCGCCCTCTCACCGCCGGCCGCCGGCACCTCGACGGACGAGGAAGAAGAGGGGGCCTTGGAGCAGCAGCGAGTTGAGGCAGAAGGAGGAGCACGTCGTCATCGGCGTCGATCCAACTCCAAGACACCGTGCGAACAGGAGGGAGGGTTTGATCGATGGCGGCAGGCCGGCAGCGGAAGCAGGACACGCGCGCGTGCCGCACCTAGCTTCCACCAGCTTCCATCCGCTAGCTAGCTACTTATCAGAATCACTACCCAATGGCCGTAGGGGCAACTGGCAAAGGAGGAGAAGATCAGGTGCTGCTTCTTTTCTTTCTTCTTCTTCTTCTTCTTCATCGACAATCTTTTTCAGATGAACGCCATCTTTTTGTCCAGGAACATGTTGTTGATTCAACAACAGCTCGATCAGTCTGAAATTAAGATCGCGTGCAGGAACATGAATCGAGGAGCAGGGCGTGCAGCGGCGGTGGAGACTAGAGCCGTGGGGCGTGGCAATGGCAGCATTGAGCCAATGACGGAGATGAGGACGAGAGCCTCGACCGACCAGACCAGACCATACCAAACCAGACAGACGAGCGCAAGATAAATAAAGATCCGGAAAAGAATAATACGGGGAAAAAAAGAGAGGAAGATACTCCACCACATTAGCAGTGCGAATGCAATCAAATTCATCTCAACTGTATATTCCAAACTAAAGCACTTCTACATACTAAAACCAGATGCAGATAAGTGCCATCACATCAGCAATATATTTGGTCTCTGCACAGGACCACAAAAGTTGCCTTTCTTAAGTTCAGGCATCAAAACATCTAATCAATACGAAGACATGCTTTCTTAAACGAAGCCTGATGAGTACTACTAGTGTTCCTTACTACTACTACTAGTATATGGAGTACTATAAGATGACACTTCAGTTCTGCTGCTTGATCTCCTTCAGACTGGACAAGCCCTGCAAAAACATCGAGAGATCCAAAGGCTCAGTACCGTAAACACACAGACAGTACGTACATACATATGAAAATAAATTAACTTACTTATCATATTGCCCTAATTGTGCTTCTTCTTGAGCTTGGTATTGGTCCGCTCGTGTTTGTCCTTCGCCTTCTTCGCGCCCTTGGCGATTTCCGTCTTCGTCTTTTGGCATTCGTGGTCTCGGTTGAGAGCGATTTTACCACCGCAATCCTTGCACGTGCCAAGTGGGTATCCGCCATCCTCACGCTTCTTGGAAGCCATGACACGAACACTGGATGTTCAAAACATTCAACATATATAATCAAACCTAATGTTATTTGAAACAAACAAACATTCCTTAGGAATAGAACCCGACACTACAATAAAAACGTTCAACACCTACGATCTTGTACGAGAATTAAATCCAAGGCAATTTTGAGATTTTACTGACAGCAAAATACATGCGGCCGCATCTTAAGTCAAAACCGAAACCAGCGAAGGAGGGGAGGGATGTTTCACAAGAAAATTGATCAAATACATTAACGTCAAATAAAGACACACTAACAGGGATTTTCTTTTCACGAAAAAAAGAACTTAACATGAAAAAAAAAGGGACGGAGATCACCATGGTTCCTCCAAACTTGTTTGGAGCAACATCAAAAGAAAACGTGGAAAAAATTAGACGATGGATGAGGAGATATGAGAAATAGGAAGCAGCAGAGTTCGATCCCAACTCCCAAGAAGAGGGACGAAAACAGAGGTTGAAACGTGAGTGAAGGGACGAAACAGAGATCACCATTGCTGTGGTTGCTCGTCCCCTTCCTCCTAAAAAAACACCATGGAAAAAGAAAAAAACAAAGCGAAGCTTAGAAACAGTTTAGAACGGAAAGAGGGGACAGAAATCACCATGGTTCTCGATGCTCTTGCCTCCATAGTCCTCTAATAAAGAACAAGACCCAAAATCAAATCAAAGCGTAAGCAGCATGTGTACGAGATCAAGAAGACAGACGCACTCACTCTACCACTCGATCGAGAAGAAGAGAAAGATGATGAAGAAGAAAAACAAGAAGGAGCATACACATTAGTTTCAGAAAATGTTAAACGAATAAGAGGAAGAGGAAGGAAGTGGGGAGCTCGTCGCCCCTCCGTTCAACAGCAACTCAAAAGAAAAGAAAAGAAAAGAGAAGGAGAGGACTAGGAGGGAGGAAGGGACAGAGATCATCATAGCTATCGTTGTTCGTCGCCCTCCTCCTTCTCACCAAAAGCAACATATATTCACCATGGAAAAAGAAGTAATCAAGTAAAGAGAAGAAGAACAAGTAGAATTCAGCAGCAAACTCAACAACAGAAATGAGAAGGGGGAGCCGGGAGCGAGGGAAGGGACAGATATCACCATGGCTATTGGTGTTCGTCGCCCTCCTCACCAAAAGCAACACTCTCCAAGACGAAGAAGAAGAGATTACACAAGCTTTACCCGCTCGAGAAGAAAGAGAATAGAGACATGGAAACAGCTTAGAACGGGAAGAGGGGGGCAGAGATCACCATGGTTCTCGATGCTCATGCCTCTCTACTCCTCCCAATAAACAACAAAATCCAAAATCAGAGCGGCATGTATACGAGATGAAGAACAGACTCACTCACACTGTCGATCAAGAACAAGAAGAACACGAACACAACAGCAAGAAGAAGAACAACAAGAACAAGAAGAAGAATAAGAAGAAGAACAACAACAACAAGAAGAAGAAGGGGAGGAGGAGGAGGAGCGAGTAAGGCAGAGAGATCACCACGAGTATCGGTGTTTGTCGCCTTCCTCCTCAGTCCTCACCAGTAAATTTGAAGAAGAGAAGAAGAAATCAACCGAAACCCGAAAGAAAAAGAAAAAGAAATGAGTTAGGAATGGACAAAGATCACCATTAGTATCGGTGTTCGTCGCTTTTCTCCTCAATAGAACAGCAAGAAGAGGGAGAAGAAGATCGAAGAGGAGGAGGAGGAGATCAACAACAACTCAAAAAGAAGAAAAAGAAAAAAGGTAGGAGGGAGGAAGGGACGGAGACCACCATGGCATTTGGTGTTCGTCGCCTTCCTCATCCTAACCAGATGGAGAAGAAGAGGAAGCTTTACCAGTGGGAGTCCTGGGAGAGAAGAGAAGCAGAGGAGGAGGAGGAGGGAGGGATGGAGTTGGCGAGCACGGAGACGGAGGGAGAGGTGGTGGAAGTTGTGTGCTGCAACAGTGTACATATATAGCCAGGATCGACGAGGCTTGTGCTCTCATCAAGCGGATCCAAACCGTCCGTGACTGCTCATCCAAGTATCCGACGGCGCAGGAACCAACTGCCCTGTGCCGTCTGATGGTGTCCACGTGTGCGGCCGCGATGTGCCTTGAGCAGAGGAGGAGGAAGGGGGGTACCTCCGCCGCTGCCGCCGCCGCCGCCGCCGTCGTCGGCGGTGCTCGATGCCGCCCATCTGTCCGCGAGCGCAGCGGAGGAAGACGGCCGGCGTAGGGGTTGAGGAAGCCAGCGGCGCCGCTGCCTCCGGTGGCTCCAAAGCCTCCACTCCTCAGCCATCTGCTCCGGCCGCCTGCCGCAGCTCGATCGCAGCCGGCAGCCACCCTCACACACACAGCACAACCTCCCCTCCCGCTCCGCCGCTGGTCGTCGCCGGCTTGCTGCCAAAGCTTCCACCCTCTGTCCCTCTCTCGGTCTCGGGTTGCACTCTCCACTCTCCCCCTCCCCGCAGACACAATCCCTTCTTTGTTGGATGGCCATATGGTCACACGGGCCGATCCTATATTCTCCGGCCTGTTCGACAAAAATGGCCCATCAATGACCTAACCCACGCGAACGACGAGCCCTCCCTCTTATTGAAAGACGCATCAAGCGCAGCAAACCATATATATATTTATAAAAAGGAAATATTAACATAAAGGCATTCGTTCTTTTTCATTTTTCTTTAAATTTTGACTAAATTTATAATAAAAATATATTAGTATTTTCAACACAAAACAAACATATATTATTAAAATATATTCAATGTTGAATTTAATTAAACTAATTTGATATTTTAAATGTTGTTAAACTTTTCTATAAACTTGGTCAAACTTAATAAAGTTTAACTAGACAAACGACTTATAATATGAAACGGACGGATGGAGTAGATATTTCCTTGTGATACTTGCCGAACCATCTTTGCTGCAACATTCTTGCCAAAAATTTTCTCAAAATTTATTGTTACATGGGGCGTACAAAAAATTAAGTCATAATTTAAGTTTCGCTAAGTGTTGCAAATAATGATGTAACTGCAATCATCCCTGGCGATTCTGTCTGCCCACGCCTTTGAAAAATCTTAACACTTCGCTAGCTTGTTTCTGTCTCAGTATCACAATGGAAAGCTACATCAAATATTTCATTGCACATTGGGAGCAAGCTCATCGAAATCCCTTTTATTCGCTGCTGGGAATATTATTGTCTTTACTGCACTTCTCCTGGCAGCAATTGTTTTCCCTTTGACCTGTTTCAGGAGGATATAGAGTGCATGAGGGTGACAATCCAGTGTTTATATGCATGGAATAGCACACAAAGATCAATGATCATATCGATAGCATCTCAAGATTGACCTTTTCTGGAGATTAGCATGAATGATAATTTTCTCAGCATATTATAAAATCGATCATGAACGTTATGTGGTTTGTTGATCAATCACTAATTAAAAGAGAAATCAAAGATGAAAGGCATAGGAGGATCAATCCTCTGGTTGTAATAATGAAATCACTTGCTATTCCCTTAAATAAGAGAGATTTCGATATTCCTTGTTTCAAAATTCAGACATGGAAGGCATAGTGGAAAAAAAATCAGATATAGAAGGCATGGGTCGTGTGTGTAAATGTCTGTAGCATTCCCGACTATTTTGAGGTTTTAAACTTTTAATAGGTAGTTCATTTTGTATTCAAGACCAGAGTTCATTTGCAGTATATTTCCAATGCTCACACCTGTTGAGCTACCAAACAGTCCCATATAATCACATCCCATTGCAAATCGTAAAGACAAAGTGGTGAAAACAAAAGTAAGCTAACATAGAAAAGTTAATATAATCATTGACACAGTATACAAGGCCCTAATTTACTCTGTCTTTCAAATTGGAATGTTTCTAAGAGTCTAACCTGTATTCAGGTTTTAACCACTTCTCACCCTCATCCAAAAGCCAGGTGACTTCTCACAGGTGGTCATTATCTCACCTAGTGAAGCATCAACCATAGTCTTTCCAGTGTCCCGGGGTGATATCCTGCACAGCACAAAATGTAGTTACCCTCAGATATTCCATGTGCTGGAAAATGTTATCAGGTGGAATAAAAGAAGAAATTGATCAGGCCTTCATGAACAGATTGAAGATAATGAAAATAGAAAGCACAACCAACAGCATCTAGACTAATTTAAAGATAAGATGCCATTTTGAATTATGCCCTTACTCGCATATCAGATCCTGATGTTCAAGTATATATTTTAGAAGGATTCGAAGAAACTGGCATCTTTGCTTGGAGCTGCTTTTTGCCCATATCTTTTGTGCTTTCCTGGCTTGCGCAACATGCTCCTTAACCTGATTAGTCAAAGAATTAAAGAAAACCAAAACAAGGTAGGATCTCACACTAATGAAGTCTGTAGTAACAAAAAATACAAGATTTATTTGTTCATTGATCACTACTTCAGAAAATCAAAATCAATTATGAATGACGAACCAGATCTCAGTTAATAATCCAAAAGATAATGACCCAGACAACTAAACCTACACTACATGTTGTAATTAAAGGACCTAACAAAAGCAAGCCAGCAATATACCTCATCAGGCGTCAATGCAGGGAAGTATCCCAAGTATTTCATAGTAGCGGGCTCATAGCATTGGACCTTGTCAGTCTGAGCTCTTTTCCCTTTCCTTGGTGGTATCTGCAACGGAGCATAAACTGAATGTGTTGTAAGCCTGTAATATCAAAGCAACCATGTGGCTCTGCTAGCTCTCAGAAGTCATAACATGCCACTGTGAGCCTTATTCAGCTGGAGTTAATCAATACAACTTAGAAAAAAAAAGTGCCTAGTGCTTATCTGAAACCTCTATCAGCACAAATCAGAGTTGACTCATAGCATCAATTCGAAGAATTAAAATAGCACTCTGTTCAAGCATGCAGTTCATTTACATGTTATCATCTTACTGCATCTGGCCATTTTGAGCATAGGAATTTACCAAATTGAAGTTGGAGTATGTAACAACGGTTAACACTTGATGACCGTACGCACTGTTGCCTGTTGCTTTCTCAAAATTTAATAACCACAGCCCTGGAATTTGCTAGAACATAATCTCAATTTTCACGGAAATAGCAACATTGTAGTACAGCATTGGAACAAGTCGCTAGACTTAAAAATCTAAAACTGGAAATTCCAGGCAGACAGTCTTTAAACATTTGTCCACTAACAGTAAGATAGCCATAGTACACCAGACAGTACCAACTAGTATTCTTCTTCAGACCTATGGGCACATGAACTGAACCCAAATAATGAAACGCAATATTTGAAAACTAGATGCAATGTGCGATCCGATTAGAGTAAATCCCACATAAACCCCATGAGCCATGAGCTATGAGCAGAGCAATCTCAGAGGAAAATAAAAAAATAAAAACAGTAAAACCTAAGTACCGTCGGAAGCGTCGACATCGATGGAGGGGACGGTGGGCGGGATGAGGAAGAGGAGGATGCGGCAGAGCGCGTAGGCGGCGGCGAGCACCAGGAGCGGCCACCACAACGCCATGGCCAGAGACTGCAGCGCCAACCCTAGGTCGCAGCACAACCAAGACCATACTTGGAGTCATTCGCAAGTTTGACAACTTCTTCATCGGAACTGAACTTCATGATTGGCAGAATTGGTCCAAATGCCTATAAACAAGCAAAGAGCATTGATAACACTAATAGCATTAGTTCAAAAAGACGTCAGGCATTCTTTCAGGCTTACCTCTTCTTGCATAATTTTCATTGTGTGATTAACATTCACCAGGACAGTTGGAGAAAAGAATCGATCTACTGCATCTTCACCCAGATGGCCAAAGCTCCCTCTGCCAGTAATCTCAGCACCTTTCTTCTTGATATGTTATTACTACTACTGCTGCTGATTAGTTCTGATCAGATTAAAACTACAAAACTGCCGACAGAAGATATAAAAAGGGTCACTGTGTATGCACAGCACAACACCACCATCGGCATCGATGCAAAGCTTCGAGTATACTTATATCACGGGCAGGGGCAGGCAGGTTCCTCTCTATCCACCGTCGGATCCATGCTAAGCCTCATCCACCGGCCCAGGTGCTCCCCTCGCTGGGGGCTTGGCCGTCCGATGGCATCCAACGGCGCAGATGTCGTCGTCGGCTGCCGCCCAAACGCAGCAGCCACACCCACATCCACTAAGGCTCGGTTGGTCTATTCCTTCTCTCCAATCTGGTTGCAAAATGCAGCAACTTCTTTAAGGCATTTCCTTTAATTTTATTCTTACAAACGAGTTCACTTACATACCATACCAACAAGGAACGACAACACCTCCAAGACTATCAGAACGGAAAAGAAATAACGAAACTCTGGCTCGCCAGAAAACAAAATGGATGAATGGCCAGACCTCGTTCATTATAAGAATTAGTTTACAATAGTTTTTTCTTTGTGATACTTCCCCAGCCATCTTGCTGCAACATTCTTGCCAAAATTTTTACTTAACATTTACTGCTACACGGCGCGTACAAAAAAAAAGGGTGATCAATCAAGTTATTTTTGATGTTGCAAAGAATAGTCTAGCTGCAAAACTCCCTTGGGTATTCAGTTGGTGCCCATGTCTCTCAACAATCTCAACACTTGAACCTGAACTGCTAGCTTGTTTCTGTCTGAGTCTCACTCTGGAAAGCTATATCAAATATTTCATTGTATGTATCAACAAAATGAACTTCAAGACCCTCCTTCACATTGGGAGCAAGCTCATCGAAATCCCTTTTATTCGCTGCTGGGAATACGATTGTCTTTACTGCACTTCTCCTGGCAGCAATGGTCTTCTCTTTGACCTGTTTCAGGAGGGTATAAAGTGCATGAGGGTGACCATCCAGTGTTTATATGCATAGAAATGGAATAGCACGGGAAGATCAATGATCATATCAATAACATCTCGTAATGAACAGAACTTTTTTCTGGAGACTAGCACAAAAATGATCATTTTGGGATCAAAGAATGAAGGTATAAAATTGATCATAAATGGTATTATGGTTTGTTCAAACACCGTCTGTAAATGTTGACCAGAGAAATCAAAGATGAAACTCCTTAATATATGAATATAAAAAACAAAATTCTGGCTGTAATAATAAGAAATATTATATATTCCCTAGTTTCAAAATTCAGACATAGAAGGCATAGAGAAAAATAATCCAGACAAAGAAACATGTGTTGCATTTGTGTAAAGTAGGGGACACAAAGGAAACATACCCCGCCAATTGGAAGGATTCGGCCAGTTAATGTTACTTCACCCGTCATCGCAAGGTCCTTCTTAACAGGTTTTCCCATAGCTAAGGACAACATTGATGTGATCATGGTGCATCCAGCACTGGGGCCATCCTTAGGGGTGGACCCTGCTGGAACATGCAAGTGTACCTTTGAGTTTGCAAAGAACAGATTTTCTGGCTCTTTATCTAGTAATATAGCTCTACCAACAGTATGCGCAATCTGAGCACTTTCTTTCATGACATCTCCAAGCTGGCCGGTCATCACAAGTGCACCTTTCCCATCTCCTTCCTCCACTTTCGTTGTTTCAATGTATAAAGTAGAACCACCCATAGCAGTCCAAGCTAAACCCATGACAACTCCAACAGGAGTCTGCTCATATATTCGCTCAGCTTGGAAAACAGGTTTCCCAACATAATCTCCAAGGTTTGACGAATCAATTACTACCTTCTCAACTGCCTTATCAGCTGACTCTTCCTTGGCTCCCTCCATATCCTTGTTGCCCTACATAACACAACAGTAAGCAATTTTCTTTCAAGGTGAGCTATAACCTTGTAATGAATTAATGACAAACTATACTGAGCCATAGATTATATTTGTATGTTTATTAAGCTATCAAGGTCGAATTTATATGTTTGACAAATTACTTAACGCTTGCATCCATGGTTTTCAGAGCCAACACAGTAGCCAGGGAATGAAAAACAACGATAATATCCAGTATTCTAGACACTGGAACTTTGTCAACCATAAATATAGACAAGACAATCACAAAACATGTACCTCCCAGGTAAGCTACTATAGGTCAAATGTCAGTCATACAATAGATTTACGCATGCAAATGTTATCTTATCAAACAGTTAAGCAAGCGAAGTTCTCTACAAGCAAAACCAATCATGCATGCAAGCATATCCAACTAAATTGGTCAACCAGCCTAAACCGGTGACAACTTTAACAGCCTAATCAGCAGGTCAACAGCCAGCAGCACAGAAATACCACTTGTAGGATTTTGCATATTTGAAGTGAGCATTATGTTCAGGTTCAACATCTAAAAGAAACACATAAGCAGAAAGGAAACCATGACAGCAACATATTAACACTACCTCTGGTGTGCACAACTTGTCTGTCGATAGGGCTGAATCAGTTAAAACAGCTTCTTTGGGTGTTTCAGCTGGATGCACATCATGATCGACTGTTCTATTCAGTAAATCTAATTCGCTAGCTTCCTTTGAGGCAGTATCAGCATTGGTCATTGCAGCATTCTCTGTAGCAGGATCCTCCATAGTCTCATCTTTCAACTTGTTTGCACTATCGCCACCATTAGGTTCTTCGCTCGCTGTTACAATGGCAGCTTCTTGAGTTGGCTCATTTGATACCCCTTGGCGAACAAGTTGCAGAGCTATCTGCAAAAAGAGTAACAGAGTAGGTAATGCAAAGCTTGTAAAAGGACAAAGTTTTGCATATTACTGAAGAGTGGAGGATATAAATGGATGCACAATAGCCTTTCGTACAAATGACTTGAAGATTGCTTAAACACTATCAACAGTCAGCTAACATATAAATGACATATCAATGCACCGTAATATATATAGATAATTTGCTTGCTGCTGCAATGTGCTAGGAATGTAGGTAGGTAGACATAATTTTCTGCTGCTGCAATGTGCTAGGAATTTAGGTAGGCAGACCTAATTTTCTGCAAGGCTAAGCAACTAGCGAAAACAATGTATGATTTGAAAATGTATAAATTAATTAAATAATACTAATATAAACTAATGCTAAGGGTGCAAGAGTACAAGCAAAAATAACAAGAACCAACATTTTGTAACTTAGAACGAAGAAAATGTTGCTTTCCTTTTGTGAGTAGAAATTGATTCCTCCTGGCTCCTTGTTCCAAACTAGAATAACTGTCGTTTTTTTTAAGAAAAAAAAAAAACTAGAATAGTTGAAAGATCATCAGGCAGAAGTTCTGTTACACACCTTGCGGTAAATTTTCTCAATTTGCTTTTGAAGATTCCGCACTCCTGCTTCTCGGCAGTAACTTTCAATAAGGGCAAGAAGAGCAGCATCTGTAACCTCAGCCTGTACATGTTTGTAGTCAGGCAGTTAAAGTTGAAACAAGCACTAAATTTTGGTCCTAGAAGCAAGCCCTGTTAGCATATTCCACATCTCAACAAAGTTGTATTGCTGTAAAAGTGGTGTGTCGTTTATACAAACTTGAAATTACAACGATTATTCTTCACTTTTCAGTACTTTTAGTCCACTCGGGACTCTAATAGCAATTCCAAGTTTATTTGTCGAAAAAGAAGCTAAGAACTTTACAATCCTTTATCATGTATGCAATATTAAACAGTAAAGGGTATCATTTCCGAGGTAAACTTAAATAGAATTCTGATATGAATTGCATATGCAATCCTCATCGAATTACTCAGAAGGCTTAATGAAATATAAAATAAAGTATAATAATCTATATATCTCGTGCAGTGAACCTACCCAAATGTAAAGTGGCACATGGTGAGAGGATGAGATTTCTGAATTAGTACATGACTATTCAAATACAATTCTGGAGTCAAAACCAGTGGTAAGGTGCAGTTTCACATCTAGGTGTGTTTACCATAAAGCTTATAGGTTAAGGCACTCTTTGGCATTGTGTTGCGTTAAGAAAATACCCCCTCTGGTTTTAAATGTAGATTGTTTTAGCCTTCCCAACTTTTTCCTAAATGTACATCATTCTGGAACTTTTAGGCACTTCTTTTTTTTCCATATTTGCCCTTGCCAAAAGAACGCTACCCCTATCACAAATAAATGACATCTTTTTCAATGTATTGTAAATGGAGGGAAACAAATTCTTTTGAGATGTTTTTTTATTAATGTGCACAAGCCTAAAGCAATAGATATGATAAACAACTTCCATAATAGCTTGCCATAGAGAGGTTCAATGTAGCACTAATGAGTCCATGACCACTAGGAGAGAATAAATCAAAATCCATTCATCATGGTGAAAATCAGGGAATTAATTAATTACCAAAATTTGCTGCCTTTTTTCATAACATTGGAAACAATTGTTCTGTTAAATAATAATATTTAAACTAGTCACTGTTGACTCCTAAATAAAACGAATAATTCATCACTCAATCCCACCCCAATTGAGTTTCCAATAACCACTAGGTTTCATTCATGTCACGTACTCATGTCAGGAATTTTATTAGGTACAATACTGAACTTTTTGAGACAAAAAAGAAGAAGATGGAAGTAGAAGGAATAACAAAACTACTTAAAAATCCATATGTACCTGTTCAGGTTTAATGCCACAAGCCTCTCTTGTGTTCTTCTCTAGATAATCCCGAGCAATATGCATCTTCTCATCAGTTATATAACCAGCTATTGCAATGATCTCCATCCTGTCCAGTAATGGATTTGGTATCATCTCAATAACATTTGCTGTGCAAACAAAAAGGACCTGTTTTTCAATAAGAAAAGGTGTCAGAGGATGCCTTGCATACTCATGTTAAATACCCTATTGTTGGAACAATAATAAATGAAATAGAAAATAGCATGACAGAAGTTGATAAACACATGAAGTGAAAGATACTTCCAAAAACAGCAGTAATTGTTAGATGTTCTACATAACTGTGTGTTTATCTTCTAGAGTAAGGTGTTTTCTGCATATTATTTTGTATAAATTGCCTTGTATGCATGTTGGCCCATTGCTATACTAAAATTTATTGCAGACTTGAATATAAGTGGTGTTGCCTGTGTGGCCAAATATACATGTCGCATTGCCATGTAAGCAAAATCGCTATAAAACCTACTTTACAGTAGTAAGTAGATTTGATTTGCAAAGTTTCTGGGTGCATTTTACGGCTTTGAAGTTGAGGGATAATCTAGACTTATCAATTACAGAAGTGATGAGATAGCACATTAATCAGCATATGTGCATACCTAATTATAACAGCTAAATGTATGAATTTTACAAGAGATGCAAAGTTAGAAGATGGTGATTATACTTAAAATAGTAATCAAATGTTTTTTCACTAATTTTAAATAAGCATTCAGCGACCACATTAAACTATGAAGTCAACCAGATGTACACAGGTAAAAGGAAACCCTTGAGAACAACCGCCTAACCTTGGATAGATCAATAGGAACGTCAAGGTAGTGATCAAGAAAATTAACATTCTGCTCAGGGTCCAAAAGTTCCAACAATGCACTGGCTGGATCACCAGAATGCCCTCTCCCAAGCTGCCAGGAAGTAAAATAAACAATTATAATTTGGACAGCATGAACATGAATGAATTAATAAAAACAAAGTCATATTTGGTTGAAAAAAACATCTGTTCTTTGAAATGTGGTTGGTGTCCAAATACATCACAAGACATTATGCAGGAAATAAAGGTTACATTTAGCAACTCAAAACTCACTATTCATAAGTACCTTGTCGATTTCATCAATCAATACTAGAGGATTTGCTGTTCCAACTGATTTAAGACATTGCACCATCTTCCCTGGCATTGCACCAACATACGTACGCCGATGCCCCTAAGATTTTTGAGACGTTATTCACATAATCGCTTCATGCAATTTTAGAAGATAATGACATGCCTTGAAGATCTGTATTGTACCTTGATTTCTGCCACATCAGCTAAACCTCCAACAGAAAACCTGTAAAACTTCCTGTTCAGCGCACGTGCAATTGATCGACCAATACTAGTTTTACCAACTCCTGGTGGCCCAGAAAGACATATGATCTTTCCTGTCATAAATGATCCAACAAAGTTATTAGTTCAAAAACAAGATATGGCACTTAGGCATCAAGTGAGCATTAATTCAGTGGTCAACTGCTACAATCTAGCAAGAGCCTTGTGAATTGTCATACAGCATTATCAAGTAATGAGAGGAAAAGAACTACTAGATGTCAATTTTCATTAATATGATGCAACAGAGAATGCAATTAGAACACATCAATGTCTACAAGCTCTACACCAGCAGATAAATGGGATAATCAAGCACAAAAAATAAAGGTAATAATTAAGAGTAATCAAACCTTGTGAAGTTCCCCTTAGCTTGCCAACTGCTATAAATTCCAATATTCTCTCTTTGACATCACTCAGCCCATAATGATCTTCATCAAGGATTTGTTGAGCATGATGTACATCAAAATTTTCGTCACTGCAATACAAGGGTAAATACTGCATAAAGCACAGGCATCTCGCATTTGTTATTTTCACAAAGAAAGCAGATATATACAAACCTATAGTTTCCCCATGGCAATACTGTCAACCAGTCCAAATAATTCCTTGTTACATTAAACTCGCTAGAACTGGCTTCCAACAGCTGAAGCTTTGTGAGTTCTTCTTCAATGACTTGCAAAACATGAGCAGGACATTTCTCCTTCTTTGCTTCAATCCGCTCCCTAAATTTTGCTGCAACACATAAATGAAGGACAATTTTGAATCGTCCACTAGAAATGTCAAGTTCTCTGGGCAATAAAAAAAACAAAGCCAATAAGAACAGCTGAATCACAAACCAGACAATGCTGTTTTGTCATCAGTCTCCAAACCTAGCTCCTGAAAGCATCAGATATGCAGAGTAATTATGAACCTATATAAAACCAGATCAACCTAGAAGGCAACAATGATTATATTTCCCATTTTGCATGGAATATATACAGTTCAAGTCTTCAAGAGCACACGGCTGAATATCAGATGTCAACGTTAGTAATTCTGTAGTTCTAGAATAGGCAAGGGATTATTGCCCATTCCGCTAATCTATGAAAAGCAATGGTGTCATCAGCAATCGGAGTGCCAAATTCTACAAAAGTAATTATTCAACAATAGAAATGTAACAAAAGTAACTTTATACAAGAAACACTATATGATGGAGTACCTTCTTGATTGCTTTAAGTTGCTCATTCAATAAATAACGCCGCTGATCCCCACTTATTTTTTCTTCAATTGCTTTTGCAATGGATTGCTGGAAAAGAAGTGTATTGGTCACCACAAATGCTCAACCAAGCAATGGTAACCAAGGCTGGAGATAGAAGAATGAATTACCTGCAACTTACTAATCTCCATCTCCTTCTTGACTAACTCAAGAGTTAACTTTAGACGTTTATATACCTGTTCCAAAAAGTGCAATAGTTGGACTGAAATAGACCAAGAAAATGGTATAAAGAATGTGGAATCTTCAAGAACTTCTAGAAGAGTGCTGGTAAGAGAAGCTGTGCTGATATGTTCCATAATGGATTTTCAAAACGTATTCATATACCCAATGTTCTATTGATTATTGGTGCATTTGGAAAGAGAATTTGCTAGATCAGGGAATAAGTTGTGCTTCTTTGCAGATTTGCAGTATATGCAAAATAAATTTCAAAATCAGTATCATATCTGCTGAATTTTTTAACAAAAAAAATTATGTTCAATAAGTCAGAGAGAAAATTCTTTGGAGTATAGAGTAAAATTATAGCACAAATGAGACAACCAGCGCACATGGTGATGCACAATTTCTACAGTCTTGAAACATTTAATGAATGAAAAGGTACAGAAAGTATTCAATGGATAGATTGTCATAGCCTTGAAAAAAAATATCAAGATTGTTTAGGGTGTTAATCCAGAGTGTAAAAGTAAAAGGTAAAAGAAGTGGAATTTAAGAAAGTTTCTTACATCCAATTCCTCAAGCACCTCCTGGCAAAGAAACTTATTGGCACCAGAAATAGCAGCACCAAAATCAGCTAACCGTGGGTAGTTGAAATCACCCATGTGCTGAACCAAGGAAATGAGACATTCAGAATGTAGTGTGTATCCAATGGCATCCAAGAAAATAAATTTGTAAATTACCATTGCTTGTGAAAAAGATAATGGACTTGTAACCAATTAACTCTGTGCCAGTTCTTACACAACTGGTTAGAGTCTCTGTTTTAATGACCTATATTTGGTTTTGTAAGAAGTCAGAAGTCAGGTCACACCTGTGTGTAGGTTTGCACATGATCCTTCCAAAGGGAACTTGCCTTGAGAACCTCCCTCAAGGTGGATATAACTTCAAATGAAGTTGCTTTTATAACATCATCATCCTTATCGTACGGTTTTTCCTGTAAAGGACAAGATAAATGATCCAAAATTGCAAGGCACCTCCCGGCAGTAAATAGCAATCTCGCATTTATTTCATAGTGAAATCAAGGCTAAACAAAGTTTCTTCAGAACAGCAACTGACTTTCTTCAGTTTCGGAAAACAACACTCTTTCTTCTTTTCTCTGAGCATGTTTATAATGGGAAATACAAAATAAAACATGAGAATCGGTGGTGGCACTGTAGAATTACCTTAAGATGGTCAACTTTTACTGTAAGTGGATCCTCCTGAACCTACAGTTTTTTGTATCTTGGTGAAAACTAAGTTACCAACATAAACCCACAAGAATTGAATAGCAAGCAAAAACTAATGTATCTTACCATTTCGGTTATCTTTAAACGACGGTGACCAAGTAGCACAACCTGATCCCCTTGAATGCTAGTTATCTACAGAGACAACACAAGCTATTTACGGAGCAACAGAGCACAGCTTGAGACAAGACAGTGGAAGAACTCATGCCCAAAGTCTTTTAGAAAAAGTCATTTACCTGAGCAAGTGTACCAACTTCGTTAAGGCGCTGCAGCAACTCCTTCCCTTTAAGATCATCAATGCTTTTATCTGAATCTGAGCTGGTCACAATATTTGGGTCAGTACCTTCTTCATCCTTCACAAGAAATGCTCCAGCATATGGGATGGATCTTTTGCGGTTTTCTACTAAGGCTTGCAACAGCTTTTGGTCCTGAGGGGTTTATAAAAAACAGGAAAAACACATCATTAAGAAGGGAAATGAATAGGTAGCATGATACGGAAAAGTGAAATTGATTTAACCAATGGCAAATTTCTCAGCGCCGACATACCTTTACATAGATCGGCATATAAAATCCAGGAAAGAGTGGACGATGTGGGAGAGGCAGTGCTATGACCTATTTGAAAAAGTAAGCATAATAAAGTAAGAGAAGGATACAACTAGCAGAACCATGTTATGAAAAATATGAACTGTTAAATAAATAACAAATAATCTGAAGGGAGACGTTTAGATCTAAAAAATGATGGAAAGACAGCAAAGCCCTCCCTTGATAACAGAGAAAGAGAGAGCATGATACCCTTCTAGACTTATTGGTAGAAAACCCATTTTCAAGACATGGCATGAGTTCAAATAGCTACTCAAAAGACTACAATCAAATTATAATTATTTTGATCCTTCATCACACCTCAAATGAATTGCTCACTTTAGTCCTAAATAGATTGTGCATTTCATTTGGCACCAATGCAAGTTTTTGAGCTATTCAAATTTGTCATCGAAATATCATATGTACTCCATTATACAGTTTGGAGGCACTTTTTCTCAATGTTTCCTAGTATATCCTCATGAGTATCACTCCAAGTAACAAATAAGCTCTCCTTCCCAATCGCCTCCCACTTCATAACGGCAGAATAATTATTTCATGGTGTTCCTTCGTTCTTGTGCCCATTAATATGTGATAATTAGATGGAATATTTATTCAATTGAACAACACTTTTCAGAGGGGTGCAAGCTTTCATAATGCATTACCAAGCATCGCACCAGTGACTTTTCTCAAATTAGAAAACAGTACTGAACTAAACTACAGTTCAGGACAACATGTTAATCCCTCAGTGAGCAATCAGCATTTTCCTCTTTCTTTCCCCTAATAAATAGAAAGGCACCATGTTTGAGCACTCAAAAGGAAGGAGAAACCATGCTGAGGTACTGAACTCTTTGTGCAGCTCATTCAAGGCAATCACACTAACCTAGTTGATCCAAACCAAAGAAACTCTACCTTAGCATTACAAAATAATGAGCTAACTTTGAGACCAAAGTGTTTCCATGCTCAGATTGAGCCATGGACTTACGATATCCAATCAAGGGAGTGGCCTTCCATGCTTACTCTTTGGAACCAAATTACACATTCTCCAATTACTTAGGACACAAATGCATCGGGTTGCTATTGGCTACTGCAAGCAACTAAACAAACGGTTATGATCCAAACGAGTAGAGCGCGCACCGAGAGGCAGTCCTCAGGGCGGAGGACGGTGGGCACGATGGCGGAAGACGCCTTGCCGTCCGCCTCCCCTTCCGCAGCAACCGCATCCTCGGCCTTAGCTTCCGCCGCCGCCGCCTCGGAGTCGCTCCCGGCGGAGTTGGAGCAGAAGCGCGCCCTCCTCCCGAGCGTCGAGACCCGGCCGCCTCGGAGCGCCCCCAAAACCCTGAGCAGCGGCGACCTGACCTCCTCAACCGCCGCCACGGCCGGCGCGGCAGCGAACCGCGAGGGGAAGACGGCGGCGGCGGCCGCCGCGGCGCGCAGCATGAGGGGGTCGAGCGATTCTAGCTAGGGTTTGGGCGAGGGGAGGGGGCGGGGGCGGGGGATGTGGCGGCGCGGCGCGCGCCCTGTGAAAGGGAAGCTCGATTTCGTTGGTTTGGGGAGGAAGAAAGGAATGGAAGCACCGAACGAAACCCTTCTAAAACCCCCTCTCTTTTACCCATTTTTCATTACTATTCTATAACAAATTTTTATTAAACTGAAAGCGAAAAACTATCTTTGGCATTTTTTTATTCTACAACAACATTAGCTGAATTGACTAGAGGAAGATTCAGCTAATGTATAACACATCTAACATGTTATACATGGCTAATTAAGTAGTTTAGTGCTTTAACCATGAATAAACTATATGGGTCTTTTTATCACGTACTTACCTCCGTCCTATAAAAACATACCTACTGCGAGATGTGATACATCCTTATTAGATTTATTTTTTTATAGAATGAAGGAATAACATACTCACACACATAAACACCATTTCCACCCCTACATACACTCACACACACGTTTAGAATGATTAAAAATCTATAGCCTCATGTAAGTGCGCATCATATTTGTATTATTTTTCTCTACCGTATTAAGTGTAGTTCGATTCCAATATTATTAATTGTGAAACCAATCACTATTATTTCATTAGCACGTTTTTCAAACTATTAAATGATTTTTTTTCTAAAACTTTCCATATCCATGTTGTTTCAAAAATTAAAATAAATCTATTTTTAAGTTTATAATTATTAATATTTAATTAATTATATGTACTAATGAGTTTTCATGTTTCGTATGCGTTGGAAATCTGTATATAACCTGAGAAAAAGAACTCGGTCTAAATATAAACTTTGATATATAAAAGACCCTTTTCGAGGAGAAATATCCGAAGGGTTATCGCTGGTCTTGTGTCAAGTGCCAGTCACTCAGTTCATCCACAGCAAAGCGCACAGGCATAGCAGCCTCCTTCCCCTCTTCTTCTTCTTCAGTAGTGGAGTACATGCTACCTCTGCTTCAGCAGCACATGGGAATCACCCATGCCAACTCCATCACCACCGAGCCTTCTCCTTCTCCCCGCCCGCCGCTTCTTCGCCTCTTGCCCCAGCCTCGCCGCCGGCGTCATGCTCATGCCAAACACATCGCCCTCTTGACCAACTGCAAGTGCGCCTCCGCCGCTTCCGCTTCCGTGGAGGAAGACGACGTAGCAGGTGGTAGGTGCCTCTTTTGGCCGGGGAAACATCTTTTGGTTTAGGATTCTTCTCTCTAGAGATTGGAGATTAATTAATCAATAATAAGTTAATTCATTCACCAGTCGTAGTCCCCTGACCTAACCCCTTCATATTTGGGAGATAATACTCGTATTCAATCCCACCATTTTTTCTGCCTGAATTGGGGAACGACTGTGTTTTGCTTTGTTACTTTACTATATATTACTACAAGCCTTAAATTTGTACTCGATGCATCAATCTGCAGGGTTGGGATATCGTCATCCTCCAAAGCAAATACAAGAAATCCTTGATGTTCCACCCAATCCCAGTTACCTTATTTCCCCTCGCAGAGATCGGATCATGTTCCTACAGCGCACAGCCATGCCTCCATTATCTGAGCTTACGAAACCAGAAATTGTACTTTCCGGCATACGCATTGATCCTGGGTCTAACATGAGGAGCAGAATGTAAGTAACACACCATTACCATTCAATCATAGCAGGAGGGTTGACACCTCATATTCTTGTGTTCAATGATTTACTTATTTGTAGGTCGTTTTATACCGGCATTATTATCCATGACCTGATGGATAGTGGAACTTTGGGTCCAGCAAAAGAGGTCCATGGATATGCTGATGGTGCAAAGATTAATTTTGTGACATGGTTATTTCCCAAACATGTTTAAATTTAACTTTTAATGTGCAACCAAATCATATCACACTGTTTTCTATTCATATTTCCTCTTTCGGCAATTTTGGAATTTCAGGTCACCTGATGGTCAGCACATGGCATTTACTGTGCGCTACGAAGATAAGGTGATTGGCTGATGCTTTGGACTATGAAATTGGACAACATCTTTAGTGGTTATCGATCCTTTTGTTTCACTGTTGTATTTTAGTAGGTGGACAACAGCGTCAACTTGTCACTATGGGTTGCCAATGCAGAATCTGGAGAGGCTCGGCCACTCTGCATATCAGAAGACATAAGATTGAATGCTATTTTTGAGCTGTGAGTGTCTGCATCTTTCCGATGGAGCATCTTTCTACTCCTTTCCTTCCTAAGTCATCAGATTTTATCATGTTTTTCTTTACAGATTTGTATGGGTGAATGATTCTACCGTATTGGTCTGCACTATTCCTTCGTCACGTGGTTGTCCACCAAAGAAGCCATTGGTTCCTTTTGGTCCTAGGATCCGCTCTAATGAGCATAAAAATGTAGTTCAGATGAGAGCCACAAAAGAAATGTTGAAAGATTTGCATGAAGAAGAATTGTTTGATTACTATGCAACATCACAGTTAATACTGCTCTCACTGGATGGGACAGTGAAGCCAATTGCCCCACCTGCGATATATACTGCTCTTGATCCTTCACCAGATGAGAAGTATCTGATGCTCACTTCTGTCCACCGGCCATATTCTTCTACTGTCTCGTATAAAAGGTTCCCAAAGAAGGTTGAGCTGTGGACAGTTGATGGTACATTTATCCGTGAAGTTTGTGATCTGCCCCTAGCTGAAGATATTCCAATCACATCTGGTAGTGTCCGTAAGGGGAAGCGTTTAATCAGTTGGAGGCCTGACATGCCTTCAACATTGTATTGGTGAGTAACAATTCCTTAGAAGCTTCTGTTGAAAAAAATATATTGTTGTTCTAATAATAATAGTAATATTTTTCCAATCCTGATGATAGTAGGTAAGCTCAAAATTGTAGAATTTATAATGCCAATGCACTGCTTCTGCTTTGATGAGATTTGCAAAGGTGACCGTGTTATTGTCTTCTCTTGATAGGTAGTGCAGCTAGTTGCTTGCGTACGAAACAACTAGTTGACAGATAATGACCCTAGGCATGCTATTAGTTATTCTTTTGACTGACTTTTTACCATGTAATCACAATCCATTTTAACTTGACTATCAACTTTTCTGAAAGATCAACTTAATGCAAGATTTGGTGACATAGTATGTCAAAGGTAACCTCAAATTAGTTAGAAAAGGTGAATGGAGATCTGTCAGAACTCAGAAACAATCATCATACTAACAGTAGTCCCTACTTAGTTCGTAATACCACATGTCCAATCACCATGCTAACAATAGTTCTCAGATCTGACTGCGACCCAGTTCTATTTTCGTATGTGATGTTTTGAAAGGGTGGAGGCACAAGATGGAGGAGATGCAAATGTTGAAGTCTCACCACGCGATATAGTATATATGGAGCTTGCAGATCCTTTAAATGGCGAGAAACCTCAAGTCTTGCTTAAACTTGACCTTCGGTATAGGTATTAAATTACTACTGGCCTAACATTTTCTCCTCATGGTGTTACAGAGTGAATATGCTTTTACAGAAAGGCAAATTATGATGAGTACATTTGGTTTAGCTTGGAGATAAATTTGGATTTCGACTTCAAAGATGTAATCAATGATTTTTCAGGCTAATAATCTGTGTTTTTGCATTTAAAATACACAAATATACTTTGTCCAACTGCTTGCCAAATCACTCAAAATTTACTATTTTGATGAAACCTGCAGAAGGATCTCTTGGTGCAATGGATCACAGGCACTGGTTTATGAGCATTGGTACAGGACACGCAGAACAAGAACATGGGTTATCTCTCCTGACTGCAAAGATGTTAGCCCACGGGTATTATTTGAAAGATCTTCAGAAGATGCCTATTCAAATCCTGGTTCTCCAATGATGTGCAGAACCCCTGCAGGCACCTTTGTCATTGCAAAAATTAAGACAAACTATGAAGGAACCTACATCTTGTTGAAGGGAAAAGGTGCCACACCAAAAGGAAGCATCCCTTTTCTTGATCTTTTGAATATGTATGCTTACAACTATCTCTACCAAACATTTCTGTTGCACCTCCCATGCCTGCTCTGTTATGACTCTTTGAATCCATGAACATAATGTAGGCATAACTTTTTTTCTTTACAGAAATACGGGAGTGAAAGAGCGGATATGGGAGAGTAGCAAGGAAAAGTATTATGAATCTGTTCTTGCTCTGATGTCCTATAATCCAAAGTGTGAAATCCAGCTTAATCATTTAAAGTTGCTTGTATCAAAAGAGTCAAGAATGGAACCTACCCAGTATTATATCAAGGCTTGGCCAGATAAAACTCAAGTGCAGATCACAAATTATTCCCATCCATATCCGCAACTGGCATTGCTGCAGAAAGAAGTAATCAGATACCAGCGAGTGGACGGTGTTAAACTCACTGCTACATTATATCTGCCTCCAGGCTATGATCCATCAAAAGATGAGCCTCTTCCATGCCTAATTTGGTCGTATCCTGGAGAATTTAAAAGCAGAGAGGCTGCTGGCCAAGTCCGTCGCTCACCCAATAAATTTGCACGCATCAGGAGCAACTTTCCTCTTCTTTGGTTAGCTAGAGGGTACCATGCGCCTTATTTTTGTTTCACCGACACATCACTTTTGCAACATTTACCATTTCATGAACTAGCAATTCTACCTATGCTGCATCTTACAGGTTTGCTATTCTGGCCGACCCAACAATCCCTATAATTGGTGAAAGAGACCAAGAGGCTAATGATAGGTAGTTATACTATTCATCTAAACATGATTATGCCACCCTGTACTTTGAACTTCTGGCCTTGCTAGTATGCAAAGTACACAATTTTCATGCTCTCCAATGTCCGTCCTGTACTCTCCCTATTGAAACATAATTCTGTTATTACCTTAAAAAGCATGATATAATTAGAAATGGTGCTATTTCTTCCTTCTCAGATGAGTAATTTACTATTTCCCTAGGTACATAGAGCAGCTAGTTGCTAGTGCAGAAGCAGCGGTAAATGAAATTGTAAGAAGAGGGGTAAGACTTTCTCTTGTATTTGTTTCCTGTCAAATAGTTTATGTCTTTCTGTCTGGCATTGCTTTCTATGTTTCCTCTACTGGGGTTGATGTTCTTTTTTCAGTAATCAGTAACTAATCATATAGAATTTGCCCTGTTCTTTAGGTTGCTCACCCTGACAAAATAGCTGTGGGTGGTCATTCATATGGTGCATTTATGACTGCTAATCTCTTAGCTCACGCGCCTCATCTTTTCTGCTGTGGAATTGCCCGTTCTGGAGCGTACAACAGGACACTGACTCCATTTGGTTTTCAGGTTCACTTTACTGTATAATAGATATCCTTCTTTGCTTAATGCACTTATGACTTATGTTTCCTGTATGTGTTTTATCTGTTTTGGTTTGAAGAAAGAGGTACGGACACTCTGGGAGGCTACCGATACCTATATTAAGATGAGTCCCTTTATGTCAGCTAACAAAATCAAGAAACCAATTCTACTCATTCATGGAGAAGATGACAGCAAAGTAACAACAGCAATGCAGGTAGCAACAGTACCTTCAGAGATAGATGAGTTCTAAATATTTTGTTTATTCTACAGCTGTAGGTACTATCTAAAACTATTTTTTTTTATATATGCTTGTAGTCAAGTCAATTTTATGATGCTTTAAAAGGTAATGGTGTGCCATGTCGTCTTGTGATTCTCCCATTTGAGAGGCACCACTATGTTGCAAGGGAGAGCGTTATGCATGTAATTTGGGAAACTGATAGGTGGCTGGAGATGTATTGTGTGAGTAACTCTAGGAACATCCAAGTTATGGAATCCACTGTTGATACAACATGGTCACTTGCTTGTGAAGCTCTAGCCTTGTACTTCACCAAAATATATAGTCTGGTAAGGTTTTCTGTGTTTTGACTTTTGAGTTATGAGATTAGCCTCCTCGAGAGCACACCAGTTAGTTCTGTGCAATACTGCAACTTTTTTTAGTTTGAATTATTAGTTCGCTTCGTTTCGATGTTGTTTACTTTGAATCTAGAACATGTGTGAGTGTGACAGGAGAGTTTTCTTTTTATTTATCTATTTTTTATTTGGCTGTAGACTTGTAGTACTCGTGTGACAGAGGATTGCAATGCTTTGTGAAGTGCATGTTGTCTATTGCAACAGGCACCTATTTATTTTTGGCTATATGGGACAATTAGTGTGTTCTACCGACTGCTTTACTACTAGTAAATTTTTGGTGTGCCATTCAGTTACTCATGAGTTCCATGTTATGTTCTTTTGCAGAGCAAGCTGGTTCACTTGGCCTTTGCTCAAATTTTCCATCAGGAAGTTAAAAAATAATGTACAGTGATATCAATGGGCTACCATTATCATCTGCCTCGTGGTAAAATATCTTATTTGGAGCATCTCTACTGAACTAACCTTTATCTACAAAAAGTATTATACCATCAAGATATGCTACATAGAATAGAAATTATGTATTTCAACTACTGCACCGTGCTGCTTTATGTTTATATGATTTCACTTAGTGTGTAAAACTTGTAATAAACAATTATGGCTTTATGCATCTCGGGAGGCAATTGTTGGAATATTATTATTCCATTATTATTCCGTTATAATTAAACTGAATATATTGAATGCAAGATTTCTACATCCCCGGATATCATCCCATTATATAATTTCTGCCGAATCTCATCCTGTAATGTGCTCATGATGTTAACACGAATGAATGTGCCAATAGTTTGGTTTTATTGGTATAGATGCATAACCTCTACTAGCCATTAAAGGCCAACTTAAGCTTTAGTAAATTTTTATTTTATTTTTGTCCAATGTTGCGTGTAAAAAGAATGGCCTTATCATCGTCAGTTCATCTCTTGTTTGCTTTCTGCAGATGCTGCTATCCGTTTCCATTTATGCTTCCACCCATTAATATTTGTTATGCTTTCAATCATGAATATGAGATGGTTTTCTGTTGCAGATTCCGTTCAGATTGAATCTCTCCCATTGCTAGTGCTACACATAAATGGTATTACTCGAGAAAATAAAGTTGCGAAGACATGACCACTAATTTTTAGATATTATACTCATTTTAGTTCATATAACAGTAATTTAAAGTGGATTAAAATAATTTTGCCACATTTAGAGTAGATTTTTTTGGGTAAGTTGCCACCTTTCAGACCATTTTGTATCATATTGGTTGAGCTTAAAGAAACTTGGAAGGATTGTGTTTTTTTTTCTTATTCGCCGTTCTGTTTTCCTCACTCTATTTTCTTTGGAAATTGCATGGCATTGTATCTGTTGCACTGTTAATAACACCACAAAGCAAGAATAGTTATACATATGGTTGGTCCCTGTCATCTGTAAATGATACAGACATACAAACAAGGTAACTGCTGTATCATGTGAGTTTATTTGGATGATGTTTGCCAAATAAGTTCCTGTTTTTCTTTCTTTGGCTGCCTCTTTGATTAGGCGACGCTCAAGGTCCAAACAAGATCATCTTAGATATCACCATCGCCCTCATTTTTAGTTCATCTCCATACTGTGCACTCACTGGGATATGATTTGGACAGCAACAGTTAGTAGAAGAAGACAGCATGGTTAAGTCAAATACACCAAATTAAAGCTAGTGTCAATCCTTAGAACAATACTTCCTTGTCTAAAAAGACAAAAATTACATGTGTATAAAGTGATCAAATGCGTCGATGATCTCTACTCCCTCCGTCCTATAATACAAGGGATTTTGAGTTTTTACTTATAACGTTTAACCACTCGTCTTATTCAATTTTTTTTGAAATTATTATTTATTTTATTTGTGACTTACTTTATTATCTACAATACTTTAAGCATAACTTTTTATTTTTTATATTTGCAAAAAAAAATTTGAATAAGACGAGTGGTCAAACGTTGTAAGCAAAAACTCAAAATCCCTTATATTGTGGGACGGAGGGAGTATTAATTTCCAATTGTTTGCTTAGATTTCTATGAAGCTCCTAACCTTGTGCTCTGTTGCAGTTACCACTGAAGAAATCTAAGAGGATTTGAATAGTCAACTCTGTCCAATTCCAGCAATACTACTGCTGGGCTGGGGTCCTGGGGACTTACAGCAAGGATAATAGTAGAGCTCACTACCCACTATTAACTCATCTTAAAGCCAACATATATAATAAATTAGCTATAAGGTTGGCTACAATCTTTTTCTCCTCTCTCTATCTCTCAAGCCATTTTCAACCCAATGACTAGGATGGTGTCCATAGCATTAAATAAGCTGCCACCTAGGATGAAAAATGATGTGGCAAGTGAATAAATGAGGAAAGAGGAGGAAACCATGTCTTGCATGAGACATGGTTTCTACACAACATCCAAAACATCATATGTGATAAGTAGCATTAAATTTAAGTATGTAATAGTGGTATTTGTATTGGAAGAGTATTGTCTAGTACTAGTTTCTTGATGATGTAGAGTTTATAGAAACTATGCCTAGTGTCTTGGGTTGGGAATGGCCTCACTTATACATTTAATATATTTGTCTTAGAGCTTGTATGAAGCTAGCTCTTATATGAGAGCCAACACTCTTGATTTTTTTTGTTATCTCTCTCCTCCACATAAGTCTATAGTATGCTTATAGCTCACTATAATACTTGCTCTTAGGCTGTGTTCGGTATAGGAATTTCCCAACCTCTCCCCACGTTTTTCGCGCGCACGTTTTTCAAACTACTAAACGGTGTGTTTTTTTAAAAAAAGTATCTATACGAAAGTTGCTTAAAAAACCATATTAATCCATTTTTTAAAAAAAATTAGCTAATACTTAATTAATCACATGTTAAACGCTACTCCGTTTTACGTGGTACCCTCACTCCCGAATACAGCCTTAGAAAACTACTAGTACTAGCTAACAATAACTCGATTATGGCCCTCTTTAGTTCACACCAAACTTCTCCCAAACTTCCAACTTTCCATCACATCACATCCAAAACTTTCGTACACACATAAACTCCCAACTTACTTTTTTTTTCCAAACTAACAACTTTCCCCAAACTTCTCCCCAATTTCATGAACTAAATACAACCTATGAGAATGGCCAGACAACTCAGGTAATAGATGAAAGAAAAACAAACTATGAGCGTTGTATACAACTCCCTCCGTCCCAAAATATAAGCATTTTTGAACTTTGATACGGTCTCCAAGATACTACTTTGATCAACAATATCTATAAAAGTAAGATGTTTTAAATAAAAAGAGTTATATAATATGATAGTTTGATTAATAATAAATCTAGTAACATCAATTTTATATGATTAATCTTTTTTATTTTTTTATTAATAGTTAAAGTTAAAAATGTTTACTAGGCTAAAAATGTTTATATTTTAAAACGGAGGGAGCAGATTTCTTTAGTAATATTCTACATGGACAGGATCAAAGTGATCACCTGCAGGCTGCACTGTTTCTGCTGCTGTAGATAGGTTATATCCATCCAAAATCCCTTATATTTTAGGATTGAGGGAGTAGTAGCTCGTAGTACAAATGCAGTTCGTTTTCAAGCACACATTTCTAGACCTTTGTACTAACCTCATCAGTTTTAGCAGGAGAAGTCAAAATGGTCTGAATTTCGTTGCGTCAGTTGGAAGCATTATGTGTCTGGTAATCTTTACAACTTTACAAGACGTGTGTCGTGTGGAGGCCACAAGCCTCTCGGCATTTGTTCAAGAATCCAATAAATCCTTCTTGCAACTTGGTGAGTGGAGATTTCTTCCTTTCTATCAGGATAATAACTGAGCAGTAGCCACCACACTTATATTCAGGTTCCATCACAGTACGCCACACTCCAATAATCATACTGCCAAGAGAACATAATGCTTGAAACTCTTTCAAATTAAGGACACATTGCATGACATCTAAACAATTATGATAAACTCTCTACATATTTATCTTCTTTTGGTCTCCTTAAAAGCCTTTGCATTTTCCTTCTCCTTAATGCAATGATACACAAGCCATTTTCTGTATTTACGGAAGAAAACTTCCATATTTAATTTGAATTAAAATCCATCTCCCATCTGAGATTTAGATGTCGATCAATACAATGCGCTCCTTGTTGATCACCGAAAGCTACAGCAAGCGGATCAGATCAGCACAGAATATTTATCGTCGTTTGGATCTTTTCATTGAAAGCTAGCTCCTTGCATGGCATTATGTCAGTCAGGTTGCAAGCGAACGGCTGAGACGAAGTCAAGTGGAAATCAAAATGGATGGCTCATCCATCGTTGCAATTTCCTTCTTTTTTTTCTTGTGCGAAGTCAAGCAGTCCAAAAATGATTGGTTTTCTTGTGGACACTTTACACGCTTCATCTTGTACAACACTTTTGTCTTCTTTTGGTGCCCTCCGATGATTTCCAAAGGCCACCAAGCAAGCCAATCCATCCACTCGCAGTTTCAATGGTTCTCTCTTTTTTTTTTCTTCTCGAAAACGCTCAAAAAGTTTCAATGGATCTCGTTATCCGAGATAGTTGCAAGCAAAAGGAGAGGAGGGGGTGACTGCAGTCATAGGTTATTTTTTTAAATGTTCACGGGAGAGTTTTTCCACCTGAATTTTCATTTAGATAGATAAAGTGGAAGTTACAGGGTGATAACAAAGATTAAGCATACATTAGGGAGAGAGCAGAGAAGAAGCAGCATTTCCACCGTGTAACTACAGGGCGTTCTTTATCGTTTATTCGTTCCGCCCATAACGTTGCATCTTCAGCTTAACGGCGTAGGAGTCGTTGGATTGACGGGGCTTCCCCTCTGAAGACCACATCATGCTGATGGTTCCAAAGACGCCAGAAGCACCGCTGGTAGAAAGCTTTGTACTCTACAACTGGAATGATCGCCGGAGGTTGTAGCTGCCCCATAAGTAGTGTCGAAGTGACAGAGGGCTTGAACCTGATTGCAGTCTTAGATTTAACACCGATACTTATATTCATAGCTAATTATTTTTAAATGATAGGCATGTGATGTACCTGTTGACTATCGACATCAAAACACCTGCAGTGACGAAACAATGAATTCATCATAGGGTGTGCGTGTGTATATTCATATAATCATATAAAAAATAGCTTCGTTAATCTCAAAACATGTTGGGTCCAATCTCAACAAGATACTCATGTGGTAATGATGTGCATGTGTGCATTCGTAGAAAAAAAATGACTATCAATCTTAAAATATGTTGGTCCAAACTCTCAAAAATACTATTCTTTCAAAAAAAAAACTAATGGGATAAGGTGTATATGTGTGAGTTCATAAGAAAGAAATGACATCACTAATATCAAGATATAATGGACCAGACTCTTAGAGGTGTTCATAAGTATATGTGTGTGTGTGTTTATATAGAAAAAAAAAAGGTCATCTGTACCGTGTTTTGGGGGAAAAAAAAGGAAGAGGTGATGAGAAGATCGGAAACGCAGCAGCGAGCAAGAATGAGAAAGCAACTCAATGATAAAATTGATACTAGGTGTTGGACAGAAAGCTCCAAGGCAGGCAAATTTTACTCAAGCTGTCGCGTTTTTCCTGAAAAGGCAGTTGATTTGGTGCGATTTGATTTCCTATTGTGGTCAATATGAGATCGTTTTTGGTTATAACCAATTGTAGCCTCACAGGGTAGTGTTGCTGGTTGCCTT